GACGAGAAATCAATAGTTAGCTAACCTCTCCTTTAGATACTTAATTAGCGGCTACGGCAATGTCTAGATAAACAACAACCTTACGGTAGCATAAATATAGTTATCTTTAGAGACTTTTATTAGTTAACTCCGGTGTTCTAGAAGCCCCTGTCCTATACTATACTAAAGATAGCAGAAGACATCGCAGGTCAAGCAGCCTATTATGCGTTTACTAAATCCCTTCTTCTATAGGCTAATATGCGGCAAGAGGGTAACGATCCGGATTAGGTTGCTTTCCGAGCAGCCCTCGCCTCTCTTCGTACTAGTACAGCTTAAATGCTATACTAGCAGACTCTTATATAGCGCGCTAATATCACTAATCTAGTAGAGCGTCGGAAATTCGAGGACGCTACCCGTATCTACTTTACTAATACGGATGTTAACGATCTAAACTACTAGAAGCTCCGAGATATAGGGAATCCTATTCTACTAATCTAGGCTTTATACAATCGACCGGATATCGCTAGTATTAGCTTAAAAGGTGTCTACAACCTCGAGAATATTCTTAAGGTATTAATTAGGTACAAAGTTATACTTCTTACTAATCTTTAGACTGAATTCGCTATAGTTAACGGCAAGCAGGGTATTCTATACGATATTATCTAGCCTAAGTCCGCTCGTAATAAGAACCTACGAAAGGAACTACCTCTATGTCTTTTAGTTACATTCGAGGGCCTTAAAGATAACGCACCCGCTTTGTTTAATGTTAGTTCGCGTAAGATTCTCCCTATCTTTCGAGTTCGGCGTAATGTTAATAGGTAAGACGACGACTAGCGTAAGCAATTTCCTCTAACGGTCTCGTACGCTTTAACAGTCTATAAAGCTTAGGGCATAACTCTCGATAGAGCCGTTATTAAGCTTAGTCTAAAAGACTTCTCTACTAGGCTTATATATATAGCTTTCTCCCGTATTAAGACCTTTGCCGGACTAATGCTCGAGGAACCCTTCGATCTCGAGCGTATACGAAATCTCGCCGGCAATATACAACGTATACGCCTACTCGATAAACAGCGCCGCTAGTCTTAGTTTCTTCCTAAGCTACTAGATACCCCTATACTATCTTCTCGTCTTTTTAGCAGTATTAGAAGTGCCTTCGCTAACCTGTCCGACAACTTCCGTATAGCGCTTAATTAGTAGCTACTCCCTTCCGATTACCGTAATAACGACGATAATACGCTAATCTAGACTCTATTAGACTTGCCTCTCCCTAGTAAAGATAACGATTCTATAGACGTCGATAGTAAGCCTAATACTACTAAGCTAGTCGGCTCGTAGTCAAACGACGAAGAGATTCTAAGTTAGGGCTTCCCGCTAGTATCGGGTTAGGTTTATTATCCTTTACCTAAAGCACGCCGCTAGCTATTGCCAATTCGCGAAGTTAATATAGACATAGATCGATTACTCTTTATCGAGCAAATCTAGTAAGAGGAGCGTCGTGCTTAGCTTGCGCTACGTTAATAGGTACGTTCTAGTCTATCCGATCCTGTCCGTTTAGCTCGTCTACGCGCTATTTCTATCTCGTTAACTATATCGACGTCTACGGTAGCGAGCTTGACTTTATTATCTCCCCCTACGCCTCTAGAAGCACTTATAAAAGCACCCGCAAAAGTATCTCCGAATATAGCTCCTTAGCCGATCCGTCTAGTAGACTAAGACTTAGAGCGGGAATTTAGAAAGTAGGTAAAGGTTGAGTTAGCTCTTCTACTAGTCTTCTAATACTACGAGCAAGAACTAATAGACGCTATACGCCCTCTCTAGAAGGCTTATTAGAGACGGTTTATTAACGACTTCGAGGGCGAGAGAGTATTTTAGCAAGTCTTCCGCCGTATATTTCTTACTAAAGCCGAGATTACCGCTACTGAATTACGAATCCTCTAGTACGCGAACAAGCAACAGTATCTTCTAACCGGTAGATGCCCCTACCCTTAAATAGTCCGCCTTATTAAACTTGCCTTCGAATATTAGGACACTAGTATAGGTCGTCGTATATAGGTCAATCTAGGCAACGTACGCATTTAAATAAAGGCTAGTACCGGCATCCCTCCTCGGAATTTAACGCATTTCGACAAAGTCGCATATATTCCGCGAGAGCTCGATATTAGCTCTATATCCGACGAGGTTCTAAAGTCCTAGTATAACGAGGTTGTTATAACCGACCTATTACGTCTATACGAAGAGACCTTCATTCGAGGCAGGGATCTTATTATACTAGATAAGGCTTACCCGTTCCTCTTCCTCTCTAAGGCCGGCGAAACTAACGTAATTAATATATTAAATATAGCTATTAATGCGATCGAGACCTTTAGATAGCTATCTGCGGCTAATCCTTAAGCTATCGATTATTAATAGTAGACCGATAACAGCCGCGAGGGTATTTATTAGTACTAGCAGAGCAGTAACGATCTCCTAAGTGCTTTTAACTCTCTTAACTTCTCGCCCGACGACAAGCTCCGAGCTAATGTCTTCCTATATTCGTCTAATAAGCACCTTGTTACTGCGCTTATCGACCTACGTACTACTATTATCTAGACTTAGAATTCGTAGCTAGACGTCTACTCGAATAGAGAAAGAGCAATCGGCCCTCTTAGTATACGTCTTATTCTAGCTTTTATACGCCTACTCTCGCTCTTCCCGGATACACGTACCGCTAGCTAGCTATTAGCTAATTAGTAGATACATAAAGAAGTATACTAAGTTACTCGCTAGGCAGACGCGTATAGCTACGGCACTATCGCTATTAATAACGCAGTCGCTTTTATATAGGGTTAAATTCCTCGCTAGGTCGTCGGCGACGAAGCGTAGCTTCGGGCTTACGCACTTAACCTTCGCATATAGCACCTAGATACGCTATATAATAGCATAGATTAGGACTTTCGGCCGCCGCTAGCGCGAATGCTAAACATCCCTACAATCCCTCCTATCTAGGCAAATAAGTTTAGTATAGCGTATTACTAGCAGATCCTTTACGAGTTAGAAGAGCGGCGGTCTAAGGCAAAGTAGTAGGCGGAGGCGGACAAGCAAATCTAGGAGTACCTAGCGAAGGAGGCAGTAAAGGCAGCTAGCGAGGAGGTGTCGAGTTCTAAAGCCGAAGTGCCTTTAGATTAGTTTAATTTCGAGGGAGGTAATAGCGACGCCGATATAGATATAGATAATAAGTAGCAAGGCGTACGTAGAGATACGAGATAAAGGCAAAGCCTTTATCTAGATTCAGTCGATTAAGCCTATTTCTACGAAAAGCACGCTAGTAAAAGCAATTAACGCGATAACGACCGTAGCTTCTAATTAGCTAACTATAAGGCGAAAGCTTCGCTCGCACTTCTAGGTACGCGTAGCCGCCTAGGAGCACATTTTATAGGACTTACGGGCTTTAAAGGCAAGCGTTATATACCTCGATAGGGGATTTTTACTAACGATAAGAGGCAGTTATAACTCTCGTATAGAGGAGCTTAGCTTCTACTTTTGCAAATTTCGTATAAGTAAGAAACTCTAACCCCTAAATAATCGTATATAAACGAATAAGCCCTAGGAAAAATATCGTATATATCCTAGATTATAATACTATTAGGCCGAGCCGTCTCGAGATTAGCTATATGCCGGCTTTTGCTTCTTATTACTCGACCTATCTATCTATAGTACTAAACCTATTATCCGGCTAGAAAGCACTTATAATCCGGAACTCGACTACGTTAAGCTACTCCTACGGTAGGTACTATACCGTAGTACTAGGCGCTAGTAATACAAAATATATATTATAAAATACCTATAATCCGGAGTTTAACTACGTTTAGGTACTACTGTAGTAGGGACCGTACTATATCGCTCGACGTTAGTAGGGCAATAGGGATATTATTTACCGGGTATAGGGATAAAGCGTTCGGAAACGAGTATATTAAAGCCCTCGCGCAATCTAAAGAAGTTTAATCTAATTTCTATCCTACGAGAAGTCTCTATATAATAATATAGTCTCTAGAAAACCCGGAAGCCGTCGTATATATACGAAGTATCTCGCTACGATAGTCGTATAAGAGCGATAATTCTACGGTATATTAGTAATTATACTAGCTTTAGCTTCGGACTACGGCCTTCTAAATAAGAAGTTCGAATATAGGTAGTAGAAGTCGCTAGAGCCTTTTTGGAGGTACTATTAGTTCTACGAATCTAGCGGTACTTAGCTATACCTCGCGGTCTAACTATCTAGCTATAAGGGTAATTAGAGTGCCTATATATCTTAGCTCTAATAGTATTTAGAGAGGCGTAGGCCGTCTAGCGCCTAGATACTCGATAAACGAGAATATCGCATACGCTTATATATAAAGGCTATTAACGTTAAACGGCCTTCTATAGGCCTAATAACGCTACTATCTAGCTAAGTGTTTTATAAAAATATACTACGGTATTAGTACTATAAGATATAGACATTTATAGAATATATACGAAAGATTCGCTAGCGAATTATCGCTTAAGCGGGACGATTATTGCCTATATAGGAAAAGTTTCGTATTTCGAAATATATAAGTACGAAAATTATATTATCTATAGGCGAGAAACTTCGTATATTATATCGTAGAAAGGCGAAAAATATATAGCTTATAAGCGAACAATTCGCGATACTTCTTACATTCTATAGAAGTCTTCCCTACCTGCTATATACTCCTACCTACTATATAGTAGCGTACGGCTTTACTATATATATTTAATACGGTCGTATTTACTTAATAATAGTCGGATTATAGAGATCTTTAGTATATATAAAAGCGCTAGAAGCGCTATTTAATCTAATATAGAGGCTATATCTTATATATCGTTTAAAGCTTACCAATCGCCTTGCGTTACCTCTAGCCCTTCTATACAAGCGTAACCTGAGACATCCGACAACGAGAAGCAAGCTAATGCTAAGAAGAAATTCATCTACAAAGCATGCGAGCGTACTATTCGCCGACGTTTAGGTTATTACAATGACAATGTCTTGCGTGCGGGAGGCTCTAACTATGCACGTATAGGCCTCGAAATCATCGGCAAAAACAGACCTACGACAGCTGCGAACTATTATAGACGTAGTAAAGAAATAATCGCACATTGACTCTAACTCCGGTAATAGTCTTCGAGGACATTTCGGTTAATACTATAGGTTAGATAGGAACATTATCTTACAACGCAACGTAGGCTTTGAGATTATAGGCATAAGGACTGCGAACTATAGCAAAGCTCGTTCTATATATAATTAATCGCATAATGACATCCCGTTAATAATCTTCGAGAACAACTCACTTAATACTATAGGCCTAATGCGAACATCGTCTTACAACGTAAGCTCTAGCAATATATATACAGCTTTAAGATCAACGGCATAAGGACTGCGAGCTATATAGCAAAGCTAGCTCTATAGTGCACGTTGACTTCAACTCCGTTAATAGTCTTCGAGGACATACCTATTAACACTCGGCGCGCCTAACGCGATAAGAACTAGAGTGGGAGGCAATAGCACTAAGTTTAGAGGCAACGCTTTAAGACCTTTTGTATATAGGATAGCATTACAATCTAGTTAGTTCACTATAGCATACATCTCCTACCTGTTGTGGATCAGTTAGCACTGCTAAGTGCTAAGAGCTAATTTCCTAGTAATATATATAGCATCTAGCGTAGACAGAACTTAATCCCTTCTTCTCTATACAATTCTATAGTTAATCAATCAATAACTTGTTCTACTTAGCTCAATTACAATAGGTTATAAGCCCGGCGTATACGCTCACCTGTCCTAACTAATATAGACGAATTGTTATTATAGAGATACTAGTTTGAAGCTAATTCTACTAGCTACAGATTAAGTAGTACCTCTAGAGTTAATAACCGAAATAGGGCTACCCTACACTTAGTACTAAATCAGATCCAACTAACAATTAGCACCTGCAAGCCAAGCGAGCTAAGAAAGAGCTTAGCAGTATAGCTAACAACAAAGAATCCGTGAAAAGTATTAAGGAAAATCGTATCCTTACGAGGACGATTAACTTTTTATTATAGAGACAGATCCTTTAGAAAGAGCTACTAAAGGAGAAAGTGCATAGATATGTACTTCATAACTTAAAATAGGCAAAGCTATACTATAAACCTCTCCGAATTGACTACGATAACGATCCGGATTTTAATAAAGCTCTTAAAGAGTTTATAGAGAAGGATAGCATTACTATAGGCATTCTAGTTAAGATGATCTTACTAGATCTAAGACCCAATTTTGGGAGCATAATTACGTAGAAGACTGCTAAGGACTACTACGAGACTATAGTAGCTATATACTAACCAATTATTATAGTGGATATCTATAATACCCTAAAGGATTTTGGAACAGTTACTCTTAAGCAAGCAATATCCGATAGTACCCTTAAGTACTATAAAGACTTCTAAGCATAGGTGTAGAAGCACAAAACAGCTACTAAGCAGTTTGAAAGAGTATACGGGGTCAAGCCTAAGGATATTAAAATCCTAGATATAATAATTAGGATGCTCTTCATTAATAGTCTTTAGCACTATAAATAGCTTAGAAGCTAGAGGTACAATAACAAACTAGAAGGGACTAGCTAGACTCTCGAAGCAATAATTACATCCCTTAGGAAGGAAAAGCCTCTAAGGTCACAGAACTAGCAATAAGGCAAAGCCTTTACAGTTGTCTCTAATATTAAGGTTAGGGATGACAATAAGTAGTGTTAGCACTGCAAGCACAAGTATACTAATGCAAAGTGCTAGAAACAATATCCTAACAGAAAGCTATCTAAGAATAAGGACAAGTTAAAGAAGAAGTCAAAAGATAAGGACAAGTCTAAATCAAAGGATAAGGATAAATCTAAGTCTAGGAACAAGGCTACAGCTACTAGAAAAGATAATAGCAGCGATGATAATAACGAGTATAAATCAGATTCTAACTCGGAAGGCTAGGCTTTAGGGGCATGCGTTGCACTAACCCTAGCCTAAGCATCCTTTAATTAAAGCCTAACTCCTATTGCATTAGCATCCCCTATAAACTAGGACAAAGCAATCAAAATCTGGGACACTAGTACATTATACTACATATTCAACAACAAGGACTAGTTCTATAACCTTAGATCCCTTGAATCACCTACTAAGTTTAGCCTTACTTTAGGTAAGGGAAGCTGTAGAATGATTAGGGACATTTACCTTGAATTCCTTTAGAAAGGCAAAACTACAAAGATAGTGCTTAGAGAAGTGTTGTATTTACCTAACTCTAATATAAATCTAATCTTAGTAGAGAGGATCTATAGTAAAACTGGATACTTCCTGCACAGGCTAACTATAACTATCTAAAGAAAGGATAGTAAGGTTATTAGAGAGGCAAAGATTAATAATGTTATAACAGTTCTGAAGTATATTAGGATTATTCCTCCTAAAAGCTAGCTAGCTGTTATACTAGCAGTTGCCTAACCGAAGGCAGACACTATTAGAGTGCATTAGAGACTTGGCTATATTAGAAGCAAGATACTAAATGCAACTAAAGCCTACTAAGACTGTCTTAGCATTAACTATATTAATACTACCGAATTAGGGCACTATAAAGCCTATAAGCTTGTAAGGTCTTAGAGGATAGTCTTAAGGATTGTAAGAAGGACTCTAGTTTAAGCTCTAGATGAAATCTATATTGATATTGTTAGACTAGTTATACCTCTAGACATCTATAGGAACCGCTACTTATACCTGCTAACTTGTGCAAAGATAAGGCACAGATAGGATAACGAGACCCTAGACCTGAAAAATGGTCCCGCTCTTATTAAGAAGTAGATAAGCTTATAGGCCAATCAATTTGGCAAAAGACTAAAGATCTAGTTCTTAGACAATAGGGGCTAGTTTAATAACAAGCACCTTTAAAAGGCTACTAAAATCAAGGGGTATAGGTAGGATTTCTCAAGCCCCTATATACCTAAACAAAATGGCATTGCAGAGTCATTAAACAAGACTATCCTAGCAAAGGCTAGGGCTATGCTTATTAATGCAGGTTTACTATAAGAGCTGTAGAGCTATGCTATTAAGCACTCTGTGCACTTGACTAATAGGCTAGCTAACCTAATAACTAAGGAGGTTCCTCTAGTCTATCTTAAAAGGGATCTAAAGCAAGGGGGAACTCTAGTAGATCTGTCTAGGGTTAGGAGATTTGGTTGCAAGGCATACAAGCACATTAGCAAAGAAGAGAGGCTAAGAGGTACAAAGTTCATATTAAGAGCTCTAATCTACTAGAGCATTAGATTCTAGAGTAACTCCTCGATAAACTACCTCCTCTAGCGGCCTTAGTTTAACTATAGTAAAGGACTATAGCAGCATAAAATCAAATTCTCCTGTTATGTTACCTTTAATAAAGATTAGACCTACGGGGATAAAGGCAGAAAGGTAAATCTAGCCCCTCCCTATATTTAAGTTATTAAACACTCTTAGTTAGGAATTGACCCTAGTAAATCTAGAGTGGCTTTAGGATTCCTACCTAATGTTAAGCAAGCCTAGAGCAGCTAGCAGGTGGTTAGTAGACCTGTTCCTTCTAGAAGTAGTAAAGAGCCGTTTTAAGTACCTTCGGGGGAGCTAGTACCTTCGGGGGAGCTAATACCTTTAGGGGAAACACCTCTTTAGAGGGAGCAGATTCTATTAGATCTAGAGAATCTAGAAAGCCTAGTCGAAGAGACCCGGGAGCTATAGGCCCCTAAGAACCAATACTAGCCTAAGAATAATAAGGATAAGGATACGCCGATAATATACTAACCAAACTAGTTAGTAGGTTAGAAAAGGCCGAGAGCCGCCTTACTACTAGCAGCTTAGGAAGTTGCAATTAGGCTAGTCTTATACTAGCCAAACTAGCTAGTAGGGCAGAAAAGGCTAAGAAGTGCCTTACTACTAGTAGCTCTAGGAGCTGTAACAAAGCTAAGGTACTTAGACCTTGCAGATGTACCCCCTATAATATCCTCGAGGGGTAGGTAGATAAGGAGACCTAACTATAGTAATATAGCTAGGGTCCTAAATGCTGCTCTTAGGAGATTCCTAAAGAAGAAGGCTAAGAAGCTAGGGGAGGGTAAGCTATCTATACTTTATAAAGCACTAAATAGCACAGATGCTAAGCTTTAGAGGGAAGCTGTTACTAAAGAACTTAGGTCTTTAGATAAAACAGGCACCCTTAAATGGATCTCTGCTAAAGAACTTCTAAAAGGTAGAAAACTAATGTTAAGCAAATAGGTCTAGAAGATTAAGCGCTTGCCTAATAGTTCCACTAAGAAGTTTAAGGCGAGATGTATAGCTAAAGGGTTTACCTAAAGGAAAGGTGTTAACTTTAAAGAAACCTTTGCTCCAACCCTAAGAGCTGCAATAAGCAGGTTCTACTTAGGACTTTTAGCTACTTTTAGCTAGGTTAGATGTTAAGTAGATGTTAAGGCTGCATTTCTAGAACTAGACATTAATAGACCTAACTATATAAACGCACCTAAGGGGTTACATTTGATTAGAAAAGACCTAGAGGAATTTCTATATATAATTGTATAGAAAGGCTTATATAGTATAAAGCAGTTAGCTGCTTTATAGTACTACGATACTGAAGCTATACTCAAGACCCTTAGTTTGTATAAAACTAAGAGCGATGCCTGCCTCTTTATCGGAGAAGGGATTATAGTTATCCTTTATGTTGATAACTTTCAGATCTTTAGCAAGACTTAAGCTAGGGTTAATAAGCTAATCGAAGGACTTAGGAAAACCTATACTATTAAGGTTGTCTAGACAAACCTCTTCCTAGGACTGTATATTATTAAAGACAGTATAAGTCTTAGAATCTCCTAGAAGCACTACTCTCTAGAGAAGCTAAGAAAGTATAGTCTTAACTAATACAAGGGTATAAAGTACCTACTTAAGAAACTCCTAACTGCTTTCGAGCTAGACTATAAGAAGGAGAACTATAAACTCTTCAATTAGATAATTAGGGAGCTATAGTATCTTTCCAACTAGACAAGACCTAATATTACTTATACTATTAACTACCTAGCTAGATTCCTACAAAACCCTAGACTAGAGTATGTTGCAGCAGCAAGACATGTTTAGAAATATATTGTAGGAACAGTTAATAAGTCCCTAGTATTCAAGAAGAGCAAGTCTAGCAAGGTTAATATTAAGAGCTACCTTAAGGTCTACTTAGATTCTAACTTTGCTAGTAACCTAAAGACCTCGAGGTCTATATTAGGATTCCTGCTCCTTATAGTAGGAGGACTAGTTCTCTAGAGATCCTAGCTTTAGAAAGAAGTTGTCTACTCTAGTACTAAAGCTAAGTATATAGCACTAACTAAAGCTGCAAGGGAGCTAAAGTAGCTAAGGAACCTCTCTAAGGAAATTAGTAGCTTTACTAGGTTTAGGTTTAACTATATTAAAATCAACTACGATAACTAGTTAACTATCTACCTTATAAAGAATTATACCAACTCTAGTAGATTAAGGTATGTTTCTCTAAGGAACTATTACTATAGGGAATAGTATAACAAAGGGAGGATTGATGTTTAGTACATTCCTACTAATCTCTAAATAGCAGACTAGCTTACTAAGCCTAAGTCAAACAACCCTATCCTCTAGGATCTAGACTAGTAAAGGACAAACTCTAAAGTTACTTATTTTATTCTTATTTATTACTAGAATAGGAAGTTAAACTCAATATACTTATTTTCATTTTATTACTCTCTATAGACTAACTACTCTTCTAGTTCTCTACCGGGGCATCTCGGTATCTAGAGCAATCTTTTAGCTCTTAGTATAATATCTTAAAGTAGAAACAAATATCGAAACTAGATTAGCCTAATCTATAAGGACTAGAATCTCCCTAATACTACAAATCTCAAATTATGCATTAGAAGTTTTATCTAAAGGATCTCTAACCTTCTAAGAATACTCCTATCCCTTTAAGGACTGCCTATTTCCTCGTTAGAATCACCCTTTTCTTTATCCTAACGATTAGATAGCCTACTCTAAGAAGAGTGACGATCGGACAGTCTACTCTAAGAGGAGCTAGACGGGGCTAGTATAGCCGATCTAGAAGAAAGCCGAGAGTTTGGATTGCGACTACGACTAGCTATCGCAGCAGCAGCGTAGACTCCTACCTGCTAAGCTAACGCATTCGCAATCGCCTAAGCGCCTTCCGGAGTGTTCTAATTAATCCTAGAAGGAATCGGGATATATAGGCGACGCTAATTACTGCCTACTATACTACCTAGGTTACGAGGCGGCAGCCTAATAGGACCTAGAAGACCTGCCTAGCGGTTAGTACTCGAACGAGGGCGCGATATATAGCCTGCAACCTAGTTAGTTTTTTTTCCTAATTAAGGTCTTAAGTTAAACCTAACTTACTCGACTTGTTATAATAACTATAATAGTTCGGGCTAGCACAATTAGTATAGGCACCCTTAAGGAACTTGCTCCTATTAACGGTTAGAGTAATATACTCCTTATATATACCCTTACCCTCCTAATAGGGCTTATACCTATCATTTCCCTAATAAATAGTGCGACTAGAAGCAGTATATACGAGTGCAGCCGGAAGATAGTTAACGTTAGATCTAGAGGCTAGGTTGAACTTCTTATCCGCCCTGCGCATTATAGCTACGACAGTTAAGTATAAGGGAGAGTTGCTACCCTTTTGCTTAAGGGTGCGTACGAAGATAACAACGTCGGTATTGCGTAGCTATAGAGGCATTTCGTTAAACTTCGAGTTAGCTAGAGCGGTTAGGATCTTCTATAGGAGCGCGACGGTAATCTTAATCTCCTTTAAGACTACTCTCTATTAGTATAGGAAGGCGCATCTAATTAGCAAAAGCCTTACTATTATTAATTAGCTACTACTTATTATAGCGACTAGGCAACTTCTTATTCGGATTATCTCCTCCGCTACTACTACCTATACTAGTAGCTAGGCTACCTAGACTAGGCTAAGTTGCTATAGCTATAATAGTACCTCTAATTGGAATTAGGTTAAGTTAAGCTATATTAGAAAGTATTAGTTATATATTAGTTAGTAGAAAGAAGAAGTTTAAGTTTAAACAAGAAAGCGCACTTCTTAAATATAGACTGCTAGGCTTAGGGTCTAAGTAGTAAGCGTACGGTAAGCACGACTTTATCTTTACTTTAATGTATATAAAAGGACTAGACTAATTAGCGAGCTAGGAGAAGCAACCCTATATTACTTAGATCGTTATATATAGGTTACTTGCATCTAATAAGTTACAAGGTAGTTACACTTTAACTAACAACGCGTATAGTAGCTAAGTAAGGGAAAATGGCCTTTCATTCTAATAGATTCTACCTAAGGGGGAGTGTTATAGATCAGTTAGCACTGCCAAGTACTAAGAGCTAATTTTCTAGTAATATATGTAGCATCTAGCGCAGACAGAACTTGATCCCTTCTTCTCTATACAATTCTATAGTCAATCAATCAATAACTTGTTCTACTTAGCTCAATCACAACACTACCAGATTGGGATTGGCGGAGAGTCAACAAAGTCCCGATCAGTGAAACACGCATCATCCTTCTCGACCTAAGTCTTTGCTAGATGCCGCACCGCATACAGCACGCCGAGCCAACATCACCCCCACCATTATCAGGTCCTAGATTTCTGCACGCCTCGGAAAATTGTTTCTCGAGAGCTCTGTTAGCCCAATCATTTTCCTCATCTCTCCCATCTCCGAATATTCCGCCGCAAAATCCATGTGCACAATGAAAAGGTGCCGGCTGGGGAGAAGTCCAAGGATGGTGGCAAAGTGGGCCGTCTAGTAGGAGTTGGAGTGCGTCAATCTATCATCAAGTACTGGCTCCCGGACGAAACAAGGTCGACCGCAGCAGGTTATACAAGACTTTCGAAACCTCAAGCTATCTCACGACTCACGGTCCCTAGTTCCATTACCAAAGAAAGCCACCCGTTCTAACTCTAAGCATGCCAAGGACAAAGTCAAGAGCAAGACCCAGTCGAACAGGAAGGCAGGAAGGGCAATGGACAAATGTTGCACAATCACCGAAGAAGAGCTTTTCACGTCTTGGTAATGCCAGATATGATACACTCGCTTGTTTTACAACATTCTCCGCTACACCACGGTCAGACCACAGGGTAAACCGCAAAAGAACGCTGAATCTGGGGATATGCCTGCGCTTGGTGATGACGGTAGACGACGCCTTGTCTAGCATTACGAGGGCACCTGGTTCATGGGGAACACCTCAGGACATTGACAGGCACATCACGGTCAGACCCAAGGGTATACCGCAATGGAACGCCCCATTTGGGGTCGTGTCTGCGGTTTGTCACGACGGCAGACGAGAGATGCAGATGGGATGCAGATGGGAGTCAAGTGGACGCACGCGTCTATACACCTCTTGGACGCGACATACCGACTGTGCCCAGAACTCACGACTTCCTCTGCGGTATTCAAGTTGACCAAGACGTCAATTAGCCTAGAGGATCCGACAATTCACTATCACCTGTACCAAGGATTCAAAACTTCCTCTCCGGCCCTCAAGTTGGGCGGGACGATCCCCTCTCCGGCATCAACCAAGAAGGCATTAATCAACCCAGAGAATCCAGCGGGCCACTATCACTTGTACCAAGAACCCAGGAGCTCTTCTCTAGCATTGGCCAAGACGTCAATGAATACAGAGAGTCCAGCAGGCCGCCATTACCTGTGCCTAGAATTCGAAAACTCCTCTCTGGTATTGAAGATAGCCAAATCATCAACCGATCCAGAGCATCTAGCAGGCCACTATCACCTTCACGAGATCAAAAAAAAAAGAAGCTGAGAGTGCTTAAGGAAGAATGCCTCACGAGCTGCATTAGCGTTAGGCACACACGCTGGCACTCCTCGCTAGCGCCGAAGGTCGAGCGTAGGAGCACAGAGGCGAAGAAGATTCGAACGCAGCGGAAGACCCCAAGACTAAGGCTCATGCCGAATTCAAAGATAATTGCTAGATCGAGATGTTCGTTTTCCATGTTTTTGGATTCCACCGTGAACCCAACACCTGCTTAAAGCAATCCGTTTGATGCCACTGCACGACGGCATCCTCTTTAGCATCCTTCTTAGGTCTAGCTCCTTCGAAAATCCTCAGCAGTAGCTGTTCTAGCTACGAGCTCCCTGGTCATTTGGATTCTATAACTGCTTCAAGACCAGATTGCGGCATTTCTCGGAGGCGTAGACACTCTGGTTGACTTTGCCGTCCGAGTTGTCGTCGCTGCGTGGAATTTGACCGGCTCGTAGGTCTTCGTGCTCGTCATTGCGGGGAATTTGAACAGTACCTTGACGGGCGCGTTGCGGCTGCCCGTCCTCGTCATTTCGTCGAATTCGAACAGTGCTGTAACCGGCGCGATGCTACTCTTCGTCGCCATATTGATAGGCTCGGACATATGCGTGAGAGTTGCTTGTTTTCTTCATCAGGCGAGATATTAGCAGGGGTGCTACTTTGACCTCAGATCTGGATGTGTTGGGATGGTAGCCGCGCTCAAAGCTCTTCTTGACTCTGCCTACTTCTTGACTATGACCACTGTCGCCTTATCTGCGTAAGGAACTGCCTCCGTGTCTCCTGCAGTCTCTACGACCATGTCCTTGCATATAATGGCGGCGGTGCTCTCTCGAATTGTCTTGATTCTGGCCACTTCTTGACTCTGCTGATTACTTCTTGCCTTGACCACTTCTTGACTTTCCTCGCCACTCCTTGACTCTGCTGGCCATTCCTTGACTCTGCTGGCCACGTCTTGATTCTGCTGACTACTTCTTGACTCGGCCACCTCTTGACTCTGCTAACCACTTCTTGACTTGACAGCTTCTTGGCTCCGGCCAATATCGCCTGATCTGCGTGGAAAGCCACCTCCGGGTCTCTCTCCGTGTCTCTTGCGATTTCCACAACCATAGCTTTGGATAATGGCAGTGGCGGCGCCCTCGGATTCGTGGTCGTAGGAGCCGTGGATCTGGTCAAGGCGTTCGATTCCACGTGCCAGGTTAAACAGCGCATGCTGAGCAGCGGGTTCGGGAGTGCATCTGAAGTCTTCTCGATCCACTGGCGAGTACTCACGGCCTTGTGCGGCACCTGCGTGTCTGGCAGAGTGATGCGCAGGACGAAGTGCGTTGATCGTCCTCTGCACTGTTGTTTCCGTCCTGCTGGATGTCCCCAGCCTCTGCGTTATCGTTGGCTTCAGATCCGTCACGCGCACCCAAGTGTCAAGAGGCTCTATCCATATTCTGAGTGCCAGCGTCTGTTCCAACTTCTCCGGAAGCACGGCCACTTCAACTTCTTCCACAGTCTCCTCGATCGAATATACAGCGCCTCGGCTTCGCGAAGAGCAACCAGAAGCAGAGCGACTAGGAGCGACGGATCGGCGACTGGGGGAGTGACTATGCGCTGCTGGATCTTGCTCATTGGCGCCTGGTCTTCCCACAGCGGGAGCCGGATGCAAGCTCACAGCGATGGAGGTGGTTGGGATGCATAGAGAATGGTTGACTTTAGGGTATTGATAGGAAAATTGAGCTTGAATGAGGACTGCTTTGCGCGTGGGAATGTGGTTGCCGTTCGTAAAGGTCTCGCGTGTCATATTCAGCAACTCTCTGTAGAGCCAAACATCAGCGAAGCTGTGATGTGGCCTATCAGCGCACACGGAGGCCCTGAAGTCGTGAGTCTGCGAGCCGCAAGTCCAGTGTACATTGTAAGGACAGGAACAGGTGCCTACACCGAAGCTCGAGCTTTCGTAGTTGTCGCTGTCGTTGGCCAAGATATTGAGGCATCCAAGTCGGGCGTGAAGATCGACATTGTGAGTGAGGTCGCGCTTCGTTTCGAGGCAGTGACGGAGGAGAAGAAAAGTTCGCGAGGGGAGTGAGAGAAACGCCGGTCGCCGCCAATTGAAGGACAAATGATGGGCTGCCAGCTCTTTTCGCTTATCCGAGCCGAGAATGATGAGCTGACAGCTCTTTTCGCTTATTCGAGCCGGAAGTTTCAAGGGTTTGTAGATCCTTTCGCAGCCAGTCAGTGGCTACAGATGCCTGGGTGTGCAGTGTCAACGATACTGACCTTTCAACTGCGTGGGGGTTTCGACCTACGCGAAAGGAACATCGACAACCTAGTGCACGACATCGGACAGGCACGCCGTCTGCCATGGGGTCCACCATCGGACGGGTGGGGCAGGATATGCAAAAGGCGGCCTCAGGAGTGGAGTGAGATGAAATGCGAGGCGGATTGGCTGGTAGCGTTGGAAGAAAGAAAGCTTCCTACGAAGGAAATCACAGCACGATATCTCACGCCTCCCTACTGAACTCTACAGTAGCCGCTGGTATCTGTACCATAAAATCCTGCTCTTCATTTGTCGTGCTCATGCTTTGCCTTATGCCATCCCTATCCTCCGCCTCATCCCATGCTCCGCCCCAAACCATGCCTCTTCCTGTGCCTCATGATATGCCTCATACCATGCCTCATGCCATGCCTCGCGCCATGGCTCGGGCCTGCTTTTGCATTCCCTCCTTCTCGCCTTTTTCTCAAGCCGCCTGTTGGCGTGTTCGCCGACACTTGTACCATTCCAGACAAGCACGCCATCCCCAAAGACTCCGCCACAGCGCTTGCCGTCCATGCGATCGTTATCATCGCTAATGTCCGCCATACACCGCCAGAAGTATGAAGAATGGTCGAGAGGGTGGTTTCTTGAAGGGCCAGCAGTGGCAGAGTCGTGCCGGATTGCGACAGGATAGAGTTGATGCAGACGCCAATCTCGCAGGCTACGATGTCTCTGGTGTGATGAGGCGAGGAATGTTGGTAGCGGTATCGTGAGTATATCGGTCGATTGGCGGCGTAGATATTCGTTGTCGCCACACACAGAATCGCCGGTCGCGAATGGCTTTCGACTTCCTAGGAACGGTAAGAGCTAGCTACGAGTTCAAGTCACTTACTTGGAGCGAGGTGGATTTGCAAATTGTTTGTCTCTGCTCGAGGTCTCCGGCATGATGACCTGCTGCTTGAAGTGGGAGTTGTTAGGAAACGCGTTTGCGAAGAGCAAGGGCCAGGTTCTTCGGCCGGCCGCCCCCACGCCCGCTTACATCATCAGCTGGGACGACCCGAAGCTTTCCAGGCAGGAAACAATGCTACGCTCGAAACCCTTCCGGCCGACTCCTGTTCACCATCAACTGCGCACATCTTTTGGATGGTCCATCAGCTATTGAATCCCCTGCTCGTGGCCTCCGAATGATCTACTCGAATGAGGGAAGACTCCAGCTCTGTGCATTTCCATGTCCAAAAACCCGCCTTTCTCCACTACATTCTGCACATTATCAAACTCCGTGCGAGACTTGTCCGCTTTGCTCCACCAGTGAGCCCCGGTAGTGGTCAGCATCGCTTGCTAATATCATGACCGTGCCACACGTTCTTCGACCGAGCTACGCAAAGTGGCGACAGCGAGGCATGCCAGTTGGAATTTGGTATCCTCGTTGAGCATGGAGACGAACAGGCGAACGTCTGATGTAGCAATTCCGGGTCCGACATCCCACCGATCAGTTGGGAATATTTGCTACAGCAGCACCGAAGCTTCTTGCCATTTCCGTGCTCAGTCGCCGGTTGTTGGATCTGCTTGAAGCTCAGAGAGTCAGGATCGCGCAGTCCCATCGTTCTTGGTGAAGATTGTGGCCGTGGGACGCGAGTGGAGTGAGTTTATGAGATCTCAAGTTCGAATTTTCATCTCATCGCACGGGTTACCACAGGCCGGAAGCGCCATGTCATAGCATAATTGTCCGACAACAACAGCCACCATCCCAGCACAGAAAGAGCAGATTCTGCAGCAAGAAGTCCCACAAAAGAACCCAAGACATCACATCCATCGGCGCCTGGGGAGGAATGCTTGGGAAATATTGACCCAAGTGTCCGTCATTTCTGGAAGCGGAACGCTTGATGAGAAGTTCGCCTGAGACATGGAGGGTTTGATCACCGAACACTTGAAGCAGGAACTCACCGACATCCAGGTTAGCATGCTGGCTTTGAACGACATCGCTGCAGGGCATCGTGAGGGATGATTTCTACATCTGCCGTCGCTCGACCAATGAAAGAATGTTGCTGATCCCAACCGATTGCCCTCTTCTCGAGAGCGGGAGAAGCCGTGGTAGGACGTGCGCGAGTTACCATGATGAGTGGGAATTGCTGAACTCTCGCTAGGTGGAACTCACTCCCCACCTTGTACCTGTATTGCGTTTGGGATGGACAAGTCTGTCAGCGATACATCGCCTCTGGCCAAGGAGCGAGATACCTCATGAGCAGTGCTCTCCCTTGGCTGTTCATCAGCCTTCGCGCCACTCAACACATTCAGCTTATCTCATTTCCCAATCGGCCGGCATGCCGAGCAAGCATAGCCAACCTGATGCTCTGCGTGAACAAAGGTTCGTGGGCCCAGCCTCTACTTGGTCAAGAACTCGGTGGCCTTGACCATCCTCGGTGGTGATGATCGTGCAGAGCTGAAAACTGCTCCATTCCTGTTGGCATGATTCAAATTCCCAACGAAAGCGGAAGACATGGCAAAAGGGCACCAATTGGAGAAGTTCGGCTTGGATATCTTCCAAGACCTGGATCATGTCATTATCGGCAAGTGGGGATTATCAGTTCAAAGCATACCTGCCACATTCAGCCCGAGGATTTCACAATTGGCCTTGCCACGACTGTCAGCATCATCAAGCAGCACAGTAGGACGTCGCTGGGGTGAATTTCAATCGAACGATGCTCCCAGACGTCGTAGCGTGGAGCAGAAACACTAGCAGCCCAGTGCTTCCATCAGCAGGCGTCCGTAGAGGGCTGAAGAAAGTACACTGTTCCGCCTCCGCAGCGCGACAGGCGCCGACAGAAAGGACCAGGAAATGTTTGATGACAGCCATCCAGTGATGTTGGAAATATCCATCACTGCTTCTCCAGGTCGTTGGGATGCTCATGGTTAGCAGGCTTCGGCTTCCAATCTTGCGACGCCTCCCTACGATACCGCCTTTCCCCTCGCAGAATCTCAAAATCAACTGGAGAATCAGGCGCCCGCGGCTCTGATCGGCTCAATGGAGACTTCGCAGACCGGTCGAAGTTTTCTGCCTATTCTGCCGTCAGATCCTATTGAACATCGCGGACCAGACCAGCGCAACGAGGACGGAATTTCTGCATGCAGTACTGTCACTGGGTCTCTACCGCCTTCGAACATCTGCACGTCTTTGCAGTCAGAACAGTTTACCGATGCCAGGACCGTCTCACCAATATCCTCGACCTCTGAAGCATGGAATTGTGTGCCCGGTGCAGTTCTCGAAACGTCAACGCCACCCATCTCACCGGTGGAAAAGCCGAAACAGGACCTGAGGTTGCATACAGTGAGGTGACTGGCATGGTCGCACGTGGCCAACATGGCCTGTAAAAGGGCGCCTGTATCGAGGAGACAGCAAACATCCGAGCCACACGATGGAGTTCAGTACTCTCCACGGCCAAGAGTGTCATCGAAGCTGGTGGCAGGCAGCAAGCAGTCGTGTCGGTACTTCAATCTCGCCATTTCATCCTTCATCGGAGTAATGAATGTCAAGTTCAATCCCCATGAGTCGCAGACAGCGTTGTCATTGCCGAATAATGTCTCAGTGCGAACTTCACAAACAATATTCATCTCATGAAGGACTTCATGCGATATGGCCGCTCTGAGTGCAAACCTTGATCAAGGCATGCGGGGATCTCACACGCTCTCCTGAGCCCCGAGTCACGTATTTGGCAGATGTGAGGAGTTGTTTTAAATCACGAAACTCATCGATGAGTGGAATGGGAGAGAATATGAGCGTCTGAATGATGAGGACATTTCTACACGGACACATACACCGCTTTCTGGGGGGTTTTTTTTTCGTGCACAAATTTCCAAATGCATCCACGCGCTCCAAACGGTCTTCGAGCGAATGTCATTTGCGTCTTGACCTGACCCGGCGAATGCTCATGTTGTGCTTTTGGTGTTCGAGGTTACACGCCTGTGTGCCTGCCTGGGCGAATGATGGTAGGCGGGGTGAGCTCCGAGGGTTGGTGGGTTCTTTCCTTTCGCCCTTCCTCTTGCATGCCGATCCCTGATCTTGAGGCTGGGTTCGTTCTCAAGACACTCAGCTCAGGCTCCGGCATCAGCATCAAGAATCTAATCTCGAACACTTGATCCACGAGTACAACGATATGCGACAGACCATCCAAGGTTCCTCGAACGGCCGCTCGCCCCACCTCCCCTCTCACCGCCCGCTTCTCGCGAACATTACGACGGAGTCAGAAGCGATTGAACCTCCGAAGTCCAGGGCAGATTCTGCTCAGCATACGAGTGATACACCGAGCGAAGACACGGGTGAGGCCTGCCAGCACCTTTCGCACAGACGACGAGGATGTGGCACAGGAGCCCGAGGCAACATTGGAAAGAAGAGATGTAAACTACGCAAAGGCGATTACGGTGGAATTGGCCCTGACCCTTCGCATAGGCGACGAGGATTTGGCACAGAAGCGGGAAGTAACATTGGAAAGAAGAGATGTGAATCACGCAAACGGGATATCGATCGAACCGGAGGTGACGGCAACGAAGCGACGCTGATGGCGCCCAACGACAGGCTGACAGCCGTCATAATGATGTATCAGTTCTTCTACACTCGCCATTATCGTCGAGAGGCAGGCGCAGCTGCTTCGAGGACCGATGGAGATCGTAATGCTGGTGGTGACGCACGAAAGATGTTGAGTGACGGGACCAAGACTCCCGTACTTGGACATGAAGGCCAGGCAAGAGCACAGCATCGGGCGGAATCAATGACTGCTGGTGGCAGACTCGCTTCGAGGGCGGATCAAGATCGTGAACCTGGTAGTGACACACGGAAGATGTTGAGACACGAGACCAATACTACCGTACCTGGACGCCAAGGTCGGACAAAGGCATGCCAGCGGGTAGAGTCATTCGATGCCGGTGGCAGAGTTCGGAAAAAGAAACTACAGTTTGCGGAGATAATCCAACAGGATATGGGGTAGGGAAATGGACATTTTCGGTCGTTGAGCATCCCATCTCACATCCTTTGGGGGTGCACGCGAGCAGAGAGCCGGATTTTGACACATCGGTCAGAAAGGAACACGGCAGCGGACGGAACCTATGACTTCTGGTAGCAGTGTTCGCAAAATGTAAGTATATGATTCGGAATGGATATGGAATAGTGGAATTGAAATCTTTGGTCATTGAGCATCACATCTTTCATCTTTCTGCTGCGAAATGGATATGAAACTGGGAAATGCATGCTGCTGGACAAAGATAGTGTGAAGTCAGAGCCACCATGCTGCTGCTGGTATGAAGCATGTCAACGCCGAAGATTTGCATCTCACGACTGCCGATTCTCTTCAGGAGCATTGGCGAGTTTGCAGGCTGAGCAGGCGCTAGTAGCCGAGATAGTCGATGTTACGCCAACGAGGTTACGCGCACGCCAACGAGGTTACGCGCACGCAATCGAGAAACCTTCTCTGGCATGTGACGGAACAGCAGTATTGGCAAGAAGCTCGATTCCTAGCGCCGAGGTTTCCGCTAGGAGCATGCATGTTTCAGCGCTCACATGTAGTCTTCTTACCTTCTACGTTGTCTTTTCACGGCACCGCGGGCTTCGCTGAATGCTGTGCTTCCACGTATCCTGACACTACTGCCTACGCAAAGGCTCATAATGCGGGCAATAGACCTCCTTGGATGAGTCTAGGATTGCAATCATTCATAGCCGAGTCCCGCGCCGGGTGCATGGTTTTGTTCTTTCCAGTAGCGATGAAAACTAGGATGTCACGAAACGGATGCTCTCGTCTTCAAATCCAGTACGAGTAGCTTCTTGATCAGACCTCCGGCTTTGGCGCTCACGAACGTGGGAGTCGTTAGCTTACATCGAGAAAATCTTCGAACGGCGCTTCGCCGACTAAGAATGCTTTAGCACGAGTCGGACTTGTGGTAGCGATACTTAGGTGAAGAAGATGTGCTCGGTAGATGAGAAGCGGGCATCAGATTCTGGACTCCATCGAGTATCTTCTCTTGTTGAGGATAGCAGAAGTGAACGACTCTCAAAGCGAGAAGAGAGGATGCAGCGTGTGCGAAATTCGGGCCGGGATACTCCTACTTGAGCGAACTCTCAGGTCCACAGCTCGCACTTGAGCGGCCTGCGACACGAATTCCACTGCCAGGATAAGAGGGTTGCAGCACGAACTTCTACTCGACTCCGGGTTGTAAGAGCCCAATCCAATAGCTGGCAACGAGCTTTCGTTTTAGGAGACCTCGGTAGCTGGCATAGAGGCAGATCCAGCAGTGGGACTTGGGTGTTGTTCGGGTGCTTGGACTGGATTGCGCGGGGATACTGTAGCAAGTCGATCTTCAATTGTAGATAGCGAGCCGTGATCGTTGTTAGGTACAGCGCCGTGGATCTCACAGCTTCGAGCTGCCTGTGAAGATGGCATGAGCAAAAAGATACTGGTCCTGATCCTCTGATTGAGTAGTTCACTCATTTCGGCAAGCCATAGCGCAATCCGATAGCCCAAATTCTCTCCTGCAAGGTGGTTGTTCCCTATGAAGTTTGAAAATCACCATGTTGATTATTAGTGCATCGCCAGTTCCCATTTGCTTTGTCAGAGAAGAAATGACGAAGCGCATCAGTCTTACATTCCGATGTACATCTACGTCAGTCGTGTATCCTGAACTCGGATCAAGTTTGGGTGACCACTAGGGAGATTTCTCGTGCTGTAGGGAGCGATCGTAGTCGTGCAAGCGATCCTTTTGATGTTTGATGCTTGTCATATCCTCTCTTACGATTGCCGACTCTGACCACCCACCTTTCATCATGACTCTTGAAGGATGACGGCTGTTACGCTCACGCAAAACAGAATGACGCTGCTGAGCCACAGTACTGCCGCCGTCGACTCCTAGAGGCCAATGATCTCCTCGGCGGACCACGCACAGCCATCATTCTTTTGACCCGAGCAATTGCTGTTGCAGGCAGTGCATTGAGTGCGCTGGCAGTTGGGAAGTGGTGCTTTTGGCGAGGGAGACCCACGGCCATTGGTCGATTTGTGCTTGCAGTCGACTGAGCTCACGGAACCGTTGAGTATCGAGTGGGGAAATTGTGATCATTTTGTACCAGCAAAGACGAAGTGGCAAACCGGCTGCGCTGAGTTGGGATCGTCTTGGCTGTGAGTGGCAGTCCCGCGAGTGCATCACAGCACCAAAGCTTCATGGGGAGCGATGCAGCCGGCCATTTGCGGCATCGGATATTGAGCCAGCTCAGCCTCGTTGTTTGCGTGTCGACTGTGTGTCACTTTTGTGGATCGTATTTGATGAACACAAAGCTGATCTGGGAATGCGGCATGAATTGGAGGGATACAGTACCGGAAAATGGGGAACAATCAAATAACTGCAAGCGCACAACGTTCTACGCCGACTCAATAATGCAAGCATGGAGACATGCACTCATTCTCCCTCCATGCCACATGTGGTCATACAGAAACCGCCTGGCAAAGAAGCATTAATCTTCCTGTAGACTGAATCCTGGTGTCCGGAATCAATAACTTCGCTGAGCTCATAGGCCTGTCCAGAGAATGTACCGCAGCCAAACATTGACCTCATGGGTCCTGGATCCTCGCGAGCTGCGGAGATAAGCCTCCCACGACTCCTGTAGGTAAGCGACACTGATTCCAGCCTGTATGGCAAGTCCGCTGGGTGAAAAATCAGATTGAACATTGTGTTGACTGTTGAAACGTGGAGATGAGATTGCGGGCTCAGTTTCCGGCAGGCGGTGCTCTGCAGTCGAATCAGACTTGGGTCCACAATCATGCCGTTGGTTTGCGAACTGGTTTCTCAGAAGAGAGTGGGGGACGGATGGAGCCTGGCTCGCCGCACTGTACCGGCGGAAACATGGCTCCCGGAAATCATGGCTCCGACGAGACTGCTTTTGAGATCATGTCGATCATTTCGGAGGAATGAGTAGTGGGCTTCATTTCCAGTGCGACTGTTTTTCACTGCTCCTACATGCTGCACTCTGTTATGATCATCTCTTCTGCTACGTACATCGGACTGTGGGGCTCTGTACGGGTATTCGTGGTGTGTTGGAGATCAGCGCGCAAAGATTCCGTGTTTTCGATGATGCTCTGCTGCTGTGGGTGCTGCATCTTTGTTCTGCAAGTCGTGCAGAGCTTGGGAATAGCCAGACCAGCAATTGCAAAGTGCCTCACATTCACAGGCCCACTGCAGTTTCGCCCGTGATCCACTTGACTTCGGATCCCGGAGCGCATCCTCGAAGAGACGGAAGGAACAGTTCATGTATGGGATATTGTCGGGGACCAGTAGTAGGAGAAAACTGCTTGTTTGGAGCGCCGCAGCTTCTCGCTTTCGAAACTGACCAGGCACTTCGGGAGAGAGGACAAGCCGAAGATTTGCTGAATAGTTGTACCATAGGAAACAAGAGCTGGAAACATCTCATCATGCGAGACACTTCTACTTCCACACGGCTATTTGTAGATTTCTGCTCTTTTGCGATGATAGAAGTCTCCATGTCCATCTCCATCTCAGATGCCTTCCCAAGCTCCTTGAAAGCACAATGTGGGTAGGCCTTCGCATGTGCGAACGAGGCTCTGCTCGTATTGTCGATGTCCTTCTCCTTGTCGGTGGCTTCTGTGGTAGTAAGCATCCTCGGCAGACATTTTCTCTGGGCTAGCTTGAACAGCGCATATGTCCGACATCATTGCACCCGTGGCGCTGCTCATTGCGATCTCATCCTCGCCGCGCCGTCCAGCTTCACCCTTTATTCTACCTGTAGAGGCGATACGCTCAATTGCTGGCTCACGGCATGGCAGGGGCAGCTCGGCGTATTGGAGGCATAGGAGTCTTTCATTCCGCCTATCACTTTCGCTTTGGAATCCCATCCAGTGGTGTGAAAGTTGTGGATGTGTCTGAACTCCGGCTGCGGCGGATTTTCCAGGCTTCAACGATTTTGTGGGAGGCGTGAGGTGGCTGACCGAATGAACGACTGCATCAACACAACGAGCAGGAAATACGTTGTAAGAAGTACATATTTGAACTCAGCGGACTCGAATACACCTACCCAAGTGTGTTGTAAGTCTCAAACCCCAAAAGTTGAAGATATCGTGTTGAGTGGTTGGCGATGGGGGCACGGAGAACATAACGCGCTTGCGCGAGAGTCCGGCACGGAAATGTCGCGCTTGAGCGACGAAGCGGGGTCTCAACTCAGGTCAAGCGCAAAGCGCAAAGCTTCCCAAGTCATCTCAACACTTCGCATACCTCGCACTGCTACTCTCTAGTCCACTGGCACTTACTTTGGTTCTTTGGTTGCATGAATTAATTATACATGGCGAAATTGCGATCTTCGCCGAGTTCCACAGCGTCCGCCGCGCGTCCCAAGTCGACGCGAAAGAGTAACAACAGCCTGCCACGACGACAGCGACAGCAACCCGAGGACGTGGACATTATGTCCGTGATACACGAATCCACGTCAGAAGATGACATAGCAATTGGCCGCCGATTCCGCGCAATTCTCGACGAGGCGCACGACGTCCACGCTTCCCTCGAGAAGTATCGGCGCCTTTGGCAAGACTACTGCACCGTGGAAGGGACAGACTCGGCAATTGAAGCACACACAAGTCACGAGCAGGTCGCAAATCGGATCATACACAACTTTCTTCACCAGTATGCACATGAGTCGCTCACACCGAAAGACATACGTTCACACGTTCGAGCCATTATGTCGGAGAAGTTTGAATGGCATGAGGATGTTGAAGGCCTTCGATACTACGCCATATTTGGGGCCGATGGAGTTTCGAGACGTTTCATGGTCGAGCTACGCGCGCTTGCGAGCATGCGCCAAAGCCCATGCGATGAGGCCACGGAAGGAGGCCGAGGGCTGACATTTGCTGAAGGCTTTAGCATGATGCGAGAAGCGCAGGACCAACGACGAGGCGAGACGCACCATATTCGGGGCACAAGTCTGGAGGCTCTCTGGCGGCCCAGTGACTGCGTGAGCGCCATCGAGATGGCTCGAGAGCGAATGAAAATGAGCAAGGTGGAAAGGCCGAGGCGTCGGCAGCCAAAGCGGAGTACGGAGCCTTGCGCAGAAGAGGCAGGCGAGGTAGACGCAGAAACACCTGGCGAACATGGAGATAGACAGCAGAGCAGCGCAAGAGATGGGCGAAGAGACAGCGCGATATCTGAGGGCGGCATAGAACATGGGCGAAGAGGTAGTGCCTCGCCGCTGCTGGATGGGTTGTCATTTCTTGACACAGCCAAAGACATCGAGGCGGAGGATGTCGAGGGCCAGCGCAAGGACAAGAATGGGACTGAGGAGAGCGACGAGGGCCAGGACAAGAATGATGGTGTAGCTGGGGAGATGAACGACAACCAAGACGAGAACGAGAGTGTGTTTGGGGAGCACGACGACAAGCAGGACGAGAATGACAGTGTGGTTGGTGATGTTGGTGGGGAGGATGATGGTAGGGAGGATGATGGTGGAGCTAGGGAGTACGACGGCGGCGGCCATCTCGCATTTGGTGCTGAAGACTCGAGTTCCACGGCGGAGGGCCTCGACTTTGCGGACTTCCCGCTCCCGCCCGCATTCCCGCCTCTACCTGCTGCAACTTCACAAGGACAGCGGTCTCCTGCCCGCACACCTTCACCTTCTCCGTCCTCCACCACCCAAACACAACGCACAAGTACCCATACCAGCACAGTGGCCGACACAATTACAAGCACAAGCAGAGATACGATGCGTGGCTTGAAGCGACCTGCAACTGAGGCGCTTTCATCACGCGCCCGGGAACCTCGGCTGCCAGGCGCTGTCTCGCGTTTCAAGACCAATCACCTCGACCCATACGTCCATTCTCAGTCCGGCTCTCAATATGTTCAGCTCGCTCGGCAGTTCTTATCTGGATTCGTATCGACATCGGGATGCACCATGTACGACTCAGTCACCAACGACGTAGCAATTGCCACCGCAGCCGATGGTTCTGGCAGCCACGACGAAACCCGTGCTGCGTATGTGACAGTGTACGACTACACCGCGCAGCAGGCCGCATACGTTATCCTGTTGCCGCTCCCGGCCGACGAGCTCCCGGCTGACCCAGCTTCTCGCCCTGCGCAATCTCCGGCTGTGCGTTGGCTCTGCGCTCATGTCCACTGCGACGAATCAGCTGACTCGGTCATTGTCCACTCGTTACCTGGTCCTTACTCCGCCGCCACTCTACACGCCCGTCTCAGTGCAGTGCTGTCGCATGCTGTTCCTCATGATCGGGCTGCGCGGATCCGCAGCATACCGCCCGAAGCATACAGGATCGACGAGTTTCCTGCCCCCAGTGACGCCGGCTGTCAGGATCCCACCGACTTTGTCAAGTGCATGGCTACCGCGGTGTGCTTGGTCACCGATGGCGAGCCTGGTCGGCATATCTGCGTCTGGGCTTGGATCAGCGCCATGTGTATCGTACACACCCAGTCCAGCCGCCTCACGGAGTACCAAAGTGCGATTGAGCTGCCCACGCTCAGATCAACCCTTACCGAGAACCAGAGCCATAAAAGTGACAGCGTCTTGGGCACGGCCGCTGCCGCGCTCGCTTCGTTCAGATCCGACATTAACAGCCAACGCAACGAACTCCGCGCACTGAGCCAATATTCAGAGCAGCTCGAACTCATTGGCAGATGTGTCACCATAGCACGAGACCAAGCTCCTCCCCCTGATCCTGTTGTTGTCGCCGATTGCCAAAAGAAGATCAGCATGTACAAGAGCAACCTCGACAGCCTGAGCCCTGACGACGAGGACTACGATGATACCCAGCAGAGGTATCAGAAATACATGCAGCGCTTGGAAGACGTCAAGCGAAGAGCAGAGACTCCGAAATCCCTTCGAGACCTCGGACTCTGGGTGGACATGTGTGTTCGAGAGGCTCAGAGGGAGGAGAAACTCGCTGAAAAGCGATATGACGACATGGTTGATCAACTTGAGCAGCTGCTCCAATCCGAGATAGACATGGGGAGGGCGGAGAAAGCGAGCCGGACTGCATCGGTTCACAGGTCCACTTGAATGGCTGCAGGAACATTACTTGCTGGCGTGACTAATGAAGCATCGGAGGATCCACGAACAGACTTGGAAGCAATTGCTCAGTGCAGGCATTCGGTAGACAGTGGTATCGTCCAGATATTGTAGAAGCAAGTGGGAGCAAGACCGCGAGGCGCTTTGACGGACTCGATTCATTAAGACTCGGGAATCGTAGGAAGTGGCAGATTTGAGGAGCATGTTTACGACCCATCGAGAGCAAATTTGTAGTAGAATTAACGAAACTATCACGAGGTGGCACAAAGAAATGCGGTATGGAACATGAATGAAACAGCATCTAGCGACGGAATCGCAGCAGCATCAAGGATGCTATGACAATATTAAGAATCTAGGATGTACATGAACTTTTCGAGAGAAAGCATTCAGGCATTAAGTAATCGATACCTACAAGGGGATCTCAAAAATTGGCATCCACTTCGCGCTCTATGATAGTCATCGCCATGTCATCATCTCATCCTCCAAGACAGCATCGTTACGTCGCGGTAAGAAAGGCGACAGATTGGTGGGTTACATTAGCTTTACAAAGGAAGGAAGCAACAAGCATCAATCCACGCCTTTGGGCATCATCAATGAAAGAAAACGTTCAACTTTGGTCTTTCTAGCAGTTTGACCGGTGTGGTGTCTCGGTTTCAGTGTCGTGCGGCTCTTCCTAGGCTTTCGATTCGATGAGTGCTTGCGACTGTCATCCCGAACGACATGCCTTTTGAAATATGTGGTTTTGATAGGTTGCGATGCTGCTGTTGTCGTACTCGCCTGTCTCGATCTAGACACTTTCCTCAATCTGGCGAGGCAGCCTCCGCTAAGTACTTGCATAGAGACAGGTATTCACTTTGGCGGTAGCCTGTGCCGTGCTCTCTCGCTGATTTGCCCGTAATCAAAACGACTTATGAACTCGGAAGTTCTTTATAGTTTTGTGCAGCAGCAGCTACCAGCAGGTGACCGAATAACCCCTCTAGATTCTCTGAATTGGGCAAAGTTGATGTGAAAGCGAACATTCTTGGTGTAGGATGTTAACTGTAGGTATGGTGCACGACAGCCAAGGAGCACACGCTACGTGGGTGGCACAAAAACGTGGGTTTTAAGGAAAGCAGATTTGTCAAGCCACGGCCAATGCTATGTTTGACTTACTGATGACGTGTATGTTCCTGCTACCCGACGTGCTCCTCTTGTCTACCGTGCTCGAATTTCACGGAGAGCACCTAGAGATTTCCAGACTGTTGACTTGAGCCCGTCAACAAGTGCTCGATGCAAAATGTAGACCGTCGGCGAGGGAAAGGCATTGGGCGAGTCTCTGCTCTGCACCACGTCTTGGGCAGCTCAACAGCTTTACCGGCGTTGATGGAGGCGTTCGTGCACCGCCGCGCTCATAATGGGCTTTCAGTTCTCGTGATTGTCAAGCGTCGGAAAAGCTTCAAAGGGCGGCGATTGGAACAGCCCCGGCGTGGAGATGGTGGCGTGCAGTCTTAGGGATTCATCGTGAAAAAAAAAATCATCGTGACGGGATTCATCCCAAAGGAAGTCATGCTGAAGGAAATCATCCCGAAGGAATTCATGCTGAAGGAAATCATCGTGCCGGGATTCATCGTGAAGGGTAGCATCGTAAGCAGTGTTGTCGTGAAGGATGACAATGGAAATGGGACCAGCATGACTCTAGGGATAGATACAATCACCGCGGGAGAAGGCGAGGTGGGCGAGCTTCAAGCCCTTTCACAGCCGAGCCCTTGCGTGCTCGCATCCTCGATCCATCCGATGATGGACTCAAAACCAAGGCCAATAGGGTTTTGGTTGTCGAACATGTGCTTGGCACGCTGATCTCAGCTCGAGGGCTGGCAGAGGTCTGTCTGATTGTGACTTGAGGGTAGAAGAATGGGATAATGCATAGAAAGGAAAAGGGAGGAGAGATAAAGAGTATGAGTAAGAAGCAGAAGCAGAGCGGTAACTTCCTAGGGTTTTGATGCATCTCGTTGCTGGTTTTGAGCTTTGGGAGGTTACGTGCTGAGTGACTTTCAAACAGACTTGGCTTCAATGAGTGGTGCGCTTCCTGGCGAGTATGTGGCGGAGAAGCCTCGCGGAACCGATGTGATAATGACGAGAACTTGGTCTATGGAGTGGATGGCCATGATTATGATCATGATCCTGGGCAGGATGTGTTGCAAAGATATGAGAGTGATGAAGTCGCTGAGTAGAGCAAGAAGAACAAGAAGGCCAAGGTTATGGGTGGTGGCGGGAAGACGAAGAAATCCGCTTTAATCGATTAACATGATGATGACAATGATAGCGTCCTGGCGGGATACGAGAGCGAAGAGGTCGTACCTAGTCCTGGGCAAGAAGCGGAAGCGTGGCGAGTCCTTCGAGGGGTCCGCGGCAAAGCGCAAGCGAGTTGAGCACGAAGGCTTAGAGCGTGCCTCGGTGAAGCGCAAGCGCTAGAGAGGGCTTTTTCGTTTCGGATGACGAGAGCGCTGAGGAGACTGAGTCGACGACAACAGAAGCTGGAATCAAGGGTGGAAAGCTGGAGGCTATTCGCTGCAAGATTTCGAACAAGGTGGAGAGAGCGAAGGCGAAGAAGAGACAGGATCTGACGAGGAAAACTTGATAGATTTATCTGAAGCCTCTAGGGACGTGTCGAGTATGACCTGTAGAATCTGTATTGATTGGTGTCGGTGATGGTACACGGGCATAACTTGTTTGGCGTTGAGACAGAATGTTGCTCACAGTGAGCTGTAGTCTCAGGACCAGATCCAGATAGTCGAGTCGTGTGAGTTCTCAGCGCGCACTCCTCACAAATCTCAAAACAAAAGCATTCTTGCAGATATGGATCAGGACGGCATAGAGCTTCCGACCCGAATTACTCTTGAGTGTTACGCACGGCTGTCTATTCGTATTGGCCAGGCGTGAGTTTCGCGGCCCTCTGGAATGGCGCATACAGGTTTATCTTCGGACAATGGTTGGTCATCGTTGGTTGTTGACTGAGCCCGCTGCGTTGGGAATGTCGTCGTGGAATTTCGCCTCGTTCGTGGTGGAAATGTCAGGAGGTGGCAGAGATGTGTCCCAGATCATCCAATGCCCTTCTTAGACTTGTGCACTATTGAAGATTGCTCTGAGCTCAAGCTTTCTCAAGATAGGTGGCCGGAAACCAGCTACGAACCGGAGATCCTGTACCAGGAGGTACCACAGCACGCGCATAGCCTGCAGTTTCAAGTCAGCTGTTGATTGTCTACGATCGTAGGAAGGCAGAGGAAGTTCTGCCATTCGGGCTTTGCTCGATGAGCTCAACGACCTGGGACTGTCGAAGTGGACTCTTCTCGTGGTCGCGGATTACCCGGTAGAGACGAGAGGGAGAGTCATCTCCGGTACTATCTTCCTCCTCTTGATCGTGTTCCTGTGCCTCGAAAACTCCATCATCTGCATGGTGCTTCCTGCGCTGACCACTACCGATCTCTTGCTCATCCATAAGAGGCCTGGAAGAGGGCATTTTCCTTGTCCTGCCATTCTCACTGATTTCCCTCGGAGGCGGGAAAAGCGTCTCATCCCACTCAACAACATCTCCTCCTCGTCCATTCCTCCCTTGACCACCGATTTCACGCTCTTATCCTGTAGCCACTCAACCATCACATGAACCGCCATAGCCTTCATCTCATTATGGAAGCCTACTGCACGAGGCCAAATTCGAGAAAGACCTCGACTGAACGTGTGGCATTCTCGCGTTTGGCCATATCCTGAAGAGGCTTGACGTGGAAGCCACAAGCAAGACTCGGGAGCGGATTCTTGTGCCAATTGTAGGGGTGAGTGCAGCGGAAACCGAGGCGGAGGAAGTCATCGCGTGATGTGATGGGTAGCGGCGCGCGTTTGATTTTGGTCGGGGTGTTAGTGATTCTCGTCTGCTGAGCGCGTAGAACAGTCGGTTGTTTTCACAGGGCCAAGAAGTTGTCATCATGTCTACTAGTAAATGTCTAGCAAAGAAATGGAGCAGCAGATAATAATGAGCTGCTGGATGCTGGCCGCTGTCGACAGATATCCAGCTGGATATGCCGGTGGGATGCGGTTTTGCGCAGGGTTTTGATCAAGCTCCCCGCACTCAGGCGGCAACCTGATCAATTTTGATAAACTATCATCTGCAAAGTTGCCGGTTCTGCGCACGCTTTTGATCAAGGCCCCGCACTCCGGAATCAGTTTTGATCACCAATCGCGGGCGAAGTCACAGGTTCTGCGTGGGCTTTTGATCGGGCAGCCGCACTTCGTGATCAGTTTTGATCACCAATCGCGGGCGAAGTCACAGGTTTTGCGTGGGCTTTTGATCGGGCAGCCGCGCCATCGGCACCACCAATCCACTGTGCGAGTGCCGTACGTTGGTGGACTGAGTCGGTAGAATGGTGTGTTGTCAATCTACACGAGGACGTTGCACGACAAATGCTGCTAACAGGAAGGCTACGACGATGCGCATCCGCAATCTGCTGAGCTCGCCATCCGCAATTTCTCGTAGTAAAAACGTTTTGCCGCAGTGGAGTTGCAATTCATCTGGCGTGCATGCGTGGCACTCTGATCATTTTGATCAGCTCGAGGGTTTGCCCAGGCGTTGAATCAGGACCCTGGCAGAATTTTGATCAATTTTGATCAATTGCAGCGTCCGAAGTTCCGCAGGCTGTGTGCACGCTTTTGATCAAGACCCCGCACTTGAGTGACACTCCTGTCAATCTTGATTATCTAGCTTCCTAGTCTTCTCTATGAACTGCTCAAGGAACTACTTGAAAAAATAAACACATCGCGGGGTCGTGAGAAATCTTTTGCATGCGCATTTATTTGCTGAAGTCGGCAGTATCCTTGAAGGCTTCTCGGTCATCACTCATCGCCGGAGTCTCTCTGAACCATTCCCTTGTTTACCACCGCCCCGCGCAACCTACTACGAACACAGATTAGCACGTCGTTACGATACCGACTCACGAAACACTCACCACTTCTCGTAATCGACGTTCTTCCCCTCAATTCCGCCCTAGTTCCACTCTAGAGCCTATCTTACGTTCGCCGGGAGCAAAGCATACTCCGGTAGCGATGGATCGCCCGCCGACGCGTGTGGACGAAGAACAACTTACATAACGAACTCTTTCTGTATAACGTAGCAGCGAAGCTGGACGGCATCCTCGTCGGCCTGTGTAATTGGTTGAGGGAGACCACGGACTTGACTGGCAGGTCGCAAGGCAGGAGCACGGATGGACTGGTGGCTTCGTCGAGCAGTTGAAGATACGGAAGAAGATGGCTTTTGGCGCTGCCCTTGGTCTTGAAGGACGACGTTTGACATGGCCTCGCGGACGACTTTCGACCAGCCGAGCCCAGGCGTGTCGTTTGGATCAAGATCATCTTCGAGCTGAACTTCCTTGAAAAACAATGGCCATTGGCGGCATAGGTGGACAGCAGGGCTGCTTGAGAAGATTTGAGCGCGCCGTAGGAGGGGACCTGAGTGGCTGCATCGAGGAAGATGGTGGAGATGAATAGGGTCGTGTCGGAGTGGACAGGATATGTCGAGGGACCTTCATGGAGTAGACCAGGCCAGGCAGCAGGCGAAACGTGAGAGCGGATGAATTGAGCGATGATCTTGATGGATCTGATCTCATCTTTGCGCCGGATACCTGGAGAGGCAGGCAGGGGAATGGTACACGCCAGGTCCATGAATGTGTTCAGGGAGGGCTTGACGTTAGCAGAGTATCTGAAGTCAGGGCGTGACGAAGAGCAGCGAGCTTCACTTCATCGCTGGGCTCAGCGCGGCTGCCTGGGTGATGAAAGAAGAAAGTCAGTGGAATTTCAGCAAGAGCTCCGAAGCATCAAATACCACGACGAAGTTCCGAGACGGTCAGGCTAGCGAATTCCTCAATGTTGTCTTCGTCTCGGCATCTCGATGATTCGACGCTGCCTGGTCTTAGTTGGTCTGCGTCTGATGTACAGTGATCAGCGTTTGGTGTTTGATGCACTTCCACACTCCCATCCCATGCCCATCATCCGGCATGGTCTTAGAAGTCCGCGCTCAGTACAGAGAGAGCCACACCCTGCCCTGCCCTGCCCTGGCATATGTGACGCGGTCAACGGCAAGAGCTGCGCAAAGTTGTATCCCGGCGTGCGTGTGTGTGTACATACCAAGCTCTCACAATCCTCATGGCCGGCCATTCTCGCAACATCCGTCGTTCAAAGAGTCGCACCACCATGGACGTGGATGTGTCTGCGTACATTACGCAGCCCAAGGCGGGTCTCCCTTGATGCCCATGTACTCTGCTGCACAGCCTGGCCGACTTTACGAGTAGTTCTGGAGCCTGGAAGGCATCGACACCAACAAGCAAACCTGCAACGGGCTGCCTATCGACCTTGCTTGTGAAGAGGTAGCGCAGAAGTCAGTGCATCTCCATGCTTGGGGGAAGTTGTACGATCAGTACTTCCAAAGCCACGCTCGCCGGGAGTGATGTCGAAGCTCACCAGACGCTTATTGACCGGATCTGGGAGTGGTCCGAGGACGCGCAGAGTGAGGATGAGTATGCTATGCTGTATGACCGGCTGCAGCGCTATCTCAGTAAAGACACTGTCGAGGCGGAGATCGAGAAAGCGGAGAGGTGGTTACTTGCTCCGGCTAGCTTCAGGTATCGCGATCCGACATTCTTCGACTACGAGCAGCAGCAGCAGCCCTCGTGCTCAAGATCAATCTCAGGCTCAGGCTCAGGCGCAGGCTCAGGCTCACAACCGCCGTGCTCACCGTCTAGCAAGAAGTATAAGCAGAAGACCCAGAAGAGGAAGAAGAAGGAAAAGAAGAGCGTCTGTCCAGCCTTACCTTCGCTACCTTATACACCAGCAAATGACAAGGGCTAGCGTGGCTATGACTATTCAGCTCTTCCGCCGCCATCTCATTCATCAACCGAGAACAGTAGAAAGTATCACAAGACGCCGGCCGATTTGCAACACCAGTATCATAGCTCTTGCGACTGATCTGGGAATATCATAATGTTTGCGGAGGAGTGATCCGGCGATGTAGTGCTTGCCCTCAATTTCCTTGAAGCTCATCTCAAAGGATCTTCTTCGCTATCATCTCCATCCTCTCTATCTTATTATGCCTTTGCGTTGGGTATTTCCATCTCATCTCCAATTCCTGATTCATTCTCTCCACCTCATCACATTTTCGCACATGTCTGCTTCCTCCCTTGATGCATGCATGCATGTCTCGGCCCTTTGCGACTCCTAACATCCGCTCTTACTCCGAGTCGCTATCATTACCGGAGGTGGCATTTTACAGCTCTGAAAGGTTGATTCTGAGACCGAGTTTTCAGCAGCTTTATGATGTACTCGGTGATTGAGAACCACGTTGGGCGACCTGCTGTTGTAGCGAAGGAGATAGTCGATAACGGGATGAGGACCCGCAAGGCTGATTTTGCTCTTGGGTAGCAGCACGCTCTGGCGTTCTTGGAAGTGCACAACAACAACTCGTGCAGATTTAGCTGGATACAGAATTGATCATCACATCCTCGTCTGAGGTTTCTTCCTCGCATCGCAAAGAGTGATGCTGAGGCGGCAAAAGTGCAGGTGTGTCGGGCTGGGGAGTCGAGTCGGCTTGTTGCTTGTAGCTTCCCTCGCATCATCATTCCACAACTGCTCACCCGAAGGCATTGGAGCAGCACGTAGACCACCTCCGATTGCGGGGAAAGAGGAATTGCCAGCCGATTTCAAATCATGCCTCGTTCGTATGCCGAGAGTTGGTCTGGGATAGCCTTTTGTTGTTGTTGCAGGGTCGATCAATATTGATCCCTTCACAAACTACCTCCCATTATTGCAGGTAGAGAAGCCTCGTCACACCCTTTCGGATATGTCAGAAACTTCCGAACCAGCAAGCAGCAGAGACATGGAGCTTGTTCTGGGATTGGGCGTCGGCGTAGGTGGATGGGTTGGTGCAGCGTGGTGATCCGAGTGTCGGCCGGACTTCAAATCCTCCATTCTCGGACTCCAAACCGCCTTTCCCAAAGCAATGCCATGACTCCTGGAAGTAAATCAGTAGCAGTAGCATCGGATGATCTTCTGCGTGAGTGCGAACCAACCCAAACACTTCTGGAATGTTGGGTAGAGAGGCCTTGTCAGTCTAGAAGGCATTCTGAGCTGCGGCAGAGACCTTCGAGCCGCAAAACCACCTCTACTTACTAGTACCTGGCGAAGCCAATCAAAAACCTTTTCCATAACCCAAAATACATCGTGCACTCGTCAAAATTTAAGAAATCTGGATCTATCATCCCTCGTTTGTATGGTATACCGGAAGTTGTTTTAGGATGCGTTCAGAACTGATCAAAATTGATCAGCTCTGCGGGGGTGATCGGGGTTTGATCACCGACTCCCGATCAAAATTGATCAGCTCTACAGTGCAAATCTGGATGATTAGCCTCCTCATCCTCCTCATCCTCCTCATCGATGTCACCGCCTCCGCGCTTCCGCTCCTCTCTCCGTTTCCGCTGCGCCACCACCTGCATTCCGTCGCGCATGTACAGCATACCTACCACGCTGATCCATCCCTGCACCATGGTCTTCTCGTGCGCCTTGAACGGGGTGCCAATTGCGCCGCTGGCTATCAACGCGTGTCGGTCAGGGCAAGCTGGGCGACACGAGCAGCCCATATCGTCAGTGCTGGTAGTGGAAGGCAGCATTTTTGGGTGAGAGAAGGCCAGAAGATGCATTGACGATGTCCGGACTCTACACACGGCTTCTGCGCGCCATTCTTGTACGCTGAACAGTGGAAAGGCGACGACGCCGGCGGTCAGCCAACTCCACCGGCATAGCGAATGCTTCTCGACAGATTCAGGATCAGCGTGGGCCAAATTCGAGATGCGCGATGCGATGCAAGGTGGATGTACAACACAGTAAAGCAGCATACTGCAGAAGCCCACCATTCCGGCGCAAGAAGAGGACATAACATTGTCCCACGACGCGAGCGCGGCCTTTTCGAACGATCGAGTTTGCGAGACTCAGTCTCACACAAGCCCAGCACCGTACCACACCGCACCGCAAAGAAAGAGCCTCGAGTCTCAACCAAGCACAGAACAGAACAGCACCGCACCGCACCGCGAAGAAGGAGCCCCGAGTCTTAGAACTACACCTCTTACAACGCTGCCCCACCAAGTCTTACCCAGCAGTACGGAGGTGAGCATGAATGAGCATGAGCATAAGCATGAGCATAAGCATGAGCATAAGCATGAGCATCGGCATCCCATACACACAGGCACAGATAGATCTGCGCTTCCCCGAACAAGGTCAAGTATATCTCTCCTGCAATGTAGGTACTGCCCTATTTCTTGCAAACATCACTTCCTACGCGATTGAATCCGCAATGCCTCTTGCTTTCTGAAACCCATCCGCACCGTCCTACCACTTGGATCACTTCAATCTTGACCCGCGCATCTGCGTTCGCCGCAATTCGCGATCACTCTCCTTGCGTCGTCCTCTCCTACATCATCGCCTACATCTCAGGATCTCCTGACTACCGCGCTGTTGTGCACCAGCTACAGAGCAAGAACTCTCAGCAATCAGCATCAGCACCCTCCGCCGGACTGGCAAAACACAAATCACAACGTGACTGCTTGCTGGGCAAACATATCGAGACTACGCAGCCGGGAGAGCTCTCGACATTCGGCTTCAATACCTCACACCCGGACTCATCGGCGCCGCCGACATCATACGCTCATCTGCAGCTGTCTACTCCCTTGCGACCAAACTTTGCGAGCTGTCTTGTTATTCTACCCAAAGCTCAGAGCATACTTGTCAGAGTACTCGACACGAACGGGCGACCTACATTCAGCCATAGCCGCAGTCTCCGAATCCAATCGTCTCATCGCATCGCTTCTTACTCACTACATCCCCGACTGGTTCCGCTTCCTTACTGCCTCCGGCCCGACAGAGGAAGAAATCATACAATTCTTCAAAGAGTTCATCCACGATACTGACGCTCGCCGAATCGAATCGCAAGAAACGGTCATCACACAGCAAATTCTGGCCGAGCCTGGCAATCTCGATACACTGCTTGCGAAATTAGGCTATGATTTCTCCAACTGCTGCCTCCCACGTCTCGAGGAAGTCGAGCAACGAACCACAACAGTATACTGGCTCATCCAATTCATCAAGGAGCTCCGGATCCCTTGGCTCGGCACTCCTGCTATCGCCTTCAAGACTCATCCCGTACTGGAATAATGCATGGCTTACGGCGTTGAGGGTGGAAAAGAACATGCTCGCGCACAGACCTATGCCGACCTGGTGGTCGAGTTACGCTCCAACCTCACCAAGATCCAAAAGGATGCATTCACCTATCAAAGCTTTCATCCCATGACTATGGATAAGCTGAAGGCAATCCAAGACGACATCCAACCCTGGGCAAGCAATACAGCTCGATCCCACGATGGTATTTTCCAGCAGACGAACGATGATGAAGATGACCTTGAACAGTATCGTGTGGGGCGGAGGAAGATGCAGAAGATTCATGACTGGCTAGTGCAGCTAAGGGAAGATAGGCGCGGCTCTCAACGATGCCAGCGTCTGGATGAGGATGAAGATGAATGATGAGTAGCCTTACCACTGCTGATATGATGGCGTCCGGATGAGAATGAAGACGAAGGATCAGAATTCTCACCAATGGTGTGCTTGACGGAGCTCCCTCCAGCTGGGCAACCAACGGAGTTCAGCAAGATTCGCCAAAATCGTAATCATGCGATCAGTTCTCGTCAACAGTCGTGCGCCTATGAGGAGCCTCAGTACCATGCCTGGCGGACCAAAAGTGGTCTACTTCAGCGACATAGCCCAGCGAATCCTCAGCGTGCGCACGCCGCCGCCCTGCCTCACCGCCACCTGCTGTTCTTTGACCTTCTCTTCCGCCGTGCTTTGCGCGTGCTTGTTGGTGCGATGAGTCTGCCGCTTCACAAACACCCAACCCCATTCGCGCGCCAGCTGCGCATCGCTCAATGCCTGAGTCCACATCTGGCTGTGCCAATGATGCGCTCGATCATCTCCGTCCGTGTAGCTGTTTTGGAAGCTCTTCTTCGCCATTTTCACGCTGCAGAATGAATGCAATTCACTGCATGGCATTGCACCCGCCCTGCCTTCACTACAACCGAAAATGGTATGCAGGCTTGCTTTCGGAACGCTTGCGAAGAGCACCGTCCTTGGTGAGGCAGCGGTACGCTCTGGACGGCGTGGAGTTTGGAGGGAGGGAGGATGGTGACAAACAACGAAGCTTTGCACTGCACCGACCTGCCTTTGAAGCGACCAGCACCACTGAAAACGGTATGCATGCTTGCCTTTGGAAAGCTTGCTGAGGGAACCATCCTTGGTGAGGTAGTGTACGGACTGTAGGGAGGGAGGATGGTGACAGGCGACAAACAACGAAGCACCCGACTCAGTATCGCCATCGCCTCCATCGCCAGCGACAATCGCCAGCGACAATCGCCAGCGCTATTCGCCAGCGTCGTTCGCCGCTCGACCGCCTGGCCGTTCGCACAACTTGGAGCCTAAGTCTCATTGCCAGAATTGCTGTCGTCCAAGTCTCGTCATCAGAATTCCAGTCAAAGTCTCAAGATTCATCAGAACTGCTGTAGTCAAAGTCTCGTTATCAGAATTCCCACCAACGTCTCAAGATTCACGAGAACTACCAGCGCAGCGTAGAATGGCTACGGTCGATTGGCGCCGCAGACCTGCACCTCATCTCAATAAAATTCCTCCTCCCTGAACAACAACTTCTCTCCTTCTCATCCCAACTTTCTACATCTTCCGCCATTTCCCAAACTCCCTCTAATCCTCTGCCAGCATCATCGACTTAGCAGCCATGGCCCGGAAGCACACAAAGCACAAATCCATCACGTACAAGGAAACCGACAACGACTCGGACTATGCTCATGGTTCTAACCAAGAGTTTGACGAAAGTTCTTGCGACAGCTATACAGCGACGATACCGACTATCTCGCCATCTTCTGCGGTCGCATCAAGCAAGAAATCCTGTCCAAAGGCACCAAGCTGGACTGGTCCGAACTCAAGGTAGTCGTCATCAAGGATGCAATCATCAAGTACGTGACCCGCCCGACATTTTCCATGTGTGCTTCTCAACCTTCCTTCCTCTGGGTTACTCGAAATCGTGCATGCCATCGGCCAAAGAAGTTATCAAGTTGATCGACATTATCCACTATCCTCCGTTCGCCGGTAAACGTGTAGCCAAGATCTGCATCAAAAGACTCCTAAGCCTCATCTCTGCCATCGCATCTCCAGAGAAATTTCTAAGCCTGATTCGCTTTATTAAAGAGGATTATTTCCAAGTCTCTTCTGCTCTCATCGCCACGCTAGTCGACCGCTCATGAGTCTTCGCATGACCTCCGAGAAGTTCTTGATGTAGGCCCTTACACTAGTGACTCATTCCCGTGGAACCTACGCATCTTAGCAGCAACTTGTGGCTCTGCCAGTTGAGAATCTTCGGCATATGCTCTGGCTTCATCGCGAGCTTGCCTCCTGCTTAGTGGGTCTTGCCGATGATAGTGATCTTGTCCATCCCGATCTTGACTTTGTTGAAGGTGATGCGCAGTTTCGCCCACAGCAGACGAGGGAGGAGGTGGAATATGAGGAACGCTAGTTGCCGAAAAGCTCATAGCAGTCCTGCACAGTCTGTATCAGGTCACCAGGTAGCGGCCCAAAGACATCGTAGTAGTTGAAGGTCACTCTCCACTCGCCTGTCGGCTTCTTTGTCGGTGTCGGTTGCAGTTGCGGAGGCAGGTTGGCGTGCGGCGCGGTCTGAAGGGTCATTACCTTACCGCCGCTTGAGCCGGGGTTGTGAAGTGAGGTTCCTGTAACTGAGCCTGCGTAGGTAGGCCAAGACCAACCTGGTTCGGCGCTGCGGTGGAGGTGGAGCGACTCGCTGCAACATCAAGCGTTGGCCTCATCTCGGGAGAGGGGTGGTTATTGCGCCATCTCCGCGAGGCTGGTCCGCCCGGTGGTGTTTGCGGTCGGTATTGCTGTTGCGATGGGGCTGCCGCTTGAGGACCAGCAGTGAGTTGCCTCTGCCCATGGCGCTGTGCCTGCGGCTGATACTGCCAAGCGAAGCTGACGATGGTTGGAATGGAATGCCGCGACTGACTAGACCTTGGTACTGCCTCTTAGCTCAGCATTGCCGGCAGAATTCTGGACAAAAGCTGAGACTGCTTCCTGCACGATCCATGCGGCGATTCAGCAGCAACAAGCGCGTGTGCTCTCCGATACATGGCGCCAGTGTCCAGCAGGTGTTGTAGTAGTCCTTTGTCATGCAAGCCCTCGATGAAGGAAGTGATGAAGTGTGTCATCTGGATCTTCGCCATGGTCGACAATGGGTGGTGAACAGCAGGTTCTGGCTCCACGCCACCGCATCGTCGCAGCTGTACGCTGGTACAAGTCATGGAGTGTATCGTAATGTGCGGACCTCGCTCGTCGGGTCGTTTTCCACCTGAATACCAACTGTTCGGAAGCGTGCAAGGAACTCGCGCTTGATTATTGCTACAATAGTATCAGTTGCTGCAGCCCAGACGTTCTCGTCGAGAATAGATTTCACCCGAGAATAGGCTTCACTATATCCGCCTATGCTGCCTCGCTGCCTCCTGCCATGCTGAGGTAGAAGTCTTCTACCCACATTTCTGGCGTTGCCCTCACTGCAGGTTGTGCCCTTCGAGACTTCTGCACCCATCTCCTGGTATCCAATTCGTCTCATGGCTTGCCCTCAAAGTCCTTGAGATCAGCACGCGCAGGTTCATCGCGGCCGAACGTGTCATCGGCCATCTTTGGAAAGCTCTGAAGGCTCATCGCCGATCGGCCCTCGGTTGACCAAGCAGACGACAGACGACCCTATGATCCTCATTGATGCTGTGAACGACGGCAAGGGTGGAAGCTGTGGCGATAGGCTTTGCGGACTGGTGGGGTTTCACATTCTGATGAATTCCTGTCAGAACGTCCTCCGCACTTACTGGGATACCAGCAAGGACGATGAGCTACTGGCGCATGGTCTGGAGGAGGATGATGGGTACTGGCTTGCAAATCGTCAAGGATGCCGTAAAGAAGCTGGCTCAGGATACATACCGTGAGATTGTTGAGAAGATCTAGAACCAGGTCTCAACTAAGTAGGAATGGAAGGACAACACCGGTCCTGCGTTCACCACAAAATGTCGAATGGTCAGGGAGATTGAGAACATAATGACCGTCCACACAGCTGTTGGAAAGATGGATCTCGGCCAGATACGGCGCATAGTGGTAAGCATCATCCCATCGCAAGCTTTGGCGAGACATGCAATGCTGACAGCGTCCAGAACCAGCTCATCCCGACCTTCTTTTGTGCTGTCCAGCGGAACTGTGGCGACACCTCCGCTGGTTACTTGATCCTGGATGTGACGATGTCCTTCAGAAAGCGATCTTAGCTGTTGGTGTTGTCAACACCTCCGGCAAATCGAGCAAAGCTGTTGAAATCTAGGAGAAGGGCCTTGAGATGATGCCGGCCGCAATCGACAAGGAGAACTCGAGCAGCGTACGCCGTTCTCGCGAGCTTACTCGTGCTGCAGATGATGCTGCTGATGCTGTGCTGATGGTGCTGATGGTGCTGATAGTGTCGAGGATGGTAGAGATGGCGGAGATGTTGCTGCTGCGATCGATTTAGATGACGACGTCGACATCTATGGGATAGATACGGAGAGCCTCGAAGAGATTGTTGACGTGTAAGGCGGAGGTGGATGCGGCGGAGAGGAGTTTGCGATGAGCCGCGGTCTTGGAATGGGAGAGTAATTGATTTGAGGGCCAAGAGAGGCTGGTGAGGAGTGCTGACAGTAGTTGAAATAGGGCTTCATGCCCAACTCCCAGTCCTTCGATGTGCGCTATGCTCAGCTCGCTGTCCTCGCTTCGATCATAGCGAAGGCCAACATGCTGTAGCACTGCCGACATTATGGCTCCTGTCTCTGCGCTTGAGTTGCCAGGCAGTATGTGGCGCATCCAACTATAGGCAATGGATCTTCATCTTCATCGTCATCGTCATCTCCATCGTCATCGTCAACACCTGCGTCAACACCTCCATGTCCGTAGGCTGAACTCTACCTTTCAAGGATGCGGCAAGCACTGCGAAGTGCTTCCTGCGATGGCACATGCTTACAGGTTCAGTGCTGCTGCCGTGTTACGCTTGATTGTGGTCTCATCTTCTTGGCATGCCTCGACAACTTCCACGGTCCGTCTCCCACCTCTTGCTTGATTGCTTGCTTGCTTGCTTGCTTGCTTGCTTGGGTGTCGGGTTGGTGGCATGGCTGCGTGTGCTTTCGAAGCCGTACTTGATACCGAGACCCCGGCGATGGGACACAGATTGCTGTTGTCGAAGAGAAGTGCGGTGTAAGAGGCCTGCTTGCCTGCCTCGTACGAGGGCCTGGCACTTCAACCCGATTCTTGATCATCTAGAATTCATTCCCCATGCCTGAGACACCGTCCATGTTCATAGAGCCCGCTAACAGTGAAGGCGCTGCGACGAGTGCGGTCGTCATCGTCGCCGTCGCGAAGAGATGGAGACATTCGGAGGATTTGAAGGACTTGGATGCGGTTTTGCGTGCTTGTCGTTGTCGTGTTGGACACTTTGACAAGCCCCATGCGTTGATAGTGCCTGGAATCAACTCCAATCGGTGGATTCAGTGCATTTCGAGGGTGTGGGAGGAGGAGTGTGGAAATTATTGTTGTGATGCGACGGTGAAGCCGGCTGGTGAAAGCGAATTGAAAGTTGTCTCGGTGCACAGACCACTCGCTTAGCCAGCCAATGTTTCGTTCCTGAGGCTGGCACCCGCACTTCCAAAGATCTTTGCCCTCATCTTCGCTCTGGCTCTCCAACGTCAACAACAATGTCTGAACACAGCAAATCCGAGTCTCACGCCATTGTGCGCATGCCCATACCGTCCCAAAGTCCCTTTCCCAGAAACGTCGGACTCCGAAACTCCCAGGAATACACGATGCCGACGGTGGAAGATGCGTTGCTTGGAGAAATCGTTGCTGAAACCAACGCTACCCATATCGCATGCGAATCATGCCTTGAAGCCTCCAAATGCAACAATTGGACGTGACGGGAACGCGAAGAATCTCTTCAAGCCGAAAAATGCGACGTGGCAAGCACCGATACCACCAGACACAGCGATGTAAGATTGAGACGAGTGCGGCATAAGGACAAGACAGCATCACGATCACGATCACGACCAAGATACCATTAAATGCAGCTATACCCTCCACAGTCATTGTCATCGGAGTTCATACCAAACAGCGACGACAAGCACCTCCTGATCTCTTCTGGCCAGCATCTGTCGCCAGAATGCGGCCAGCATGCAAATGGAGCGCCTTGTCTTCGTGCCACACGCCATCCCAGACAGCTTGATCAAGCGCATTCCTTCTTCTTGCGCTGAGCTTGGATCGCACACCCTTCACTCAGCTATGCCTCTTGGCATTGCATGCTTGCTTGCGGGATGTCGCCAACCTCAGTCACTCTTACTACCCTCAGAGTGCGACTTGGACTGTTCTCATGCGAGCGAGTGCCGAAGAAAAGGACACCTTCTTCAACGCGACGCGAAGGCATACGAATACGGACACGGCTTCAACCCATTCGGACGCAATAGTCAGATGGGCCTGGTTCCGGGCATTAGTTGCCTCTGCAGAAGTCATGGTAGCGTCCACTTGATCCCACAAGTCCTCTACTGCTTCTTCCCCGAGCCGGCCGGCGACATTGTGATGTTGGAGTACCCGGAGCAGCTGCGCGGGGCGTGTGCAATACATCTGGGTGCTGATTTGCAACACGCTTTCGTTGCTAATCCGAAGTATCTGCATCTGCCATCTCGACATCTCCGTCTCTGTCAAGTCCTGTCCCACGGCTACGCGAAGAGCCAGGATTATCGTCAACTGGACCGGATTCAACACCAGCTTGTAACTGTGCTTCTGAATTCTTGGCGGCTTGGATGCGCACGGCGAGCGCGGCACGCTTGTCAGTGTTGCGCTGCTTGTTCTTTGCAGTACGATGTTGTGCTGCAGTTTACGGTCTAGCCGCCCTTCCTTCTTCTTCTTCTTCTTCTTCATTTCCTTCCGCTGCTCGTGAAACTGCAGCTGAGTCTGGATCTGGATCTGGCGCTGGTATACCTTTGGCGCGATGTCCTGCGACAGATCTCTCCACGGCTGTCTCCCTGCGCCGGTCAGCACCATCATCACAATGCCAGTCACTGAATTTCTGAGGCATCTTGGTGATATCAACCTCACCTCAGAAGATTTCCAGCGATTTGTGATCCTTGAAAACCTGGCTCATCGCCCACACCAGCTGCTTGTCGATAATGCAGCTGTATGGGACACGAGAGAACAGGTTGCCGTGCCGGTATGGGTCTGGGAACAAGGTGGTTGCAGCAACAGTCCACCCCTCCTTCATGTATGGCACTGCCATGCCAGCTCTGGTGTTCAACTTCGGCGCTCTTGGTGGTTTTGCCGGCTCTCGGAATGTATGCAACACATCCAAGAACTATACCGTGGACTGTGGATGACCTAGTGGGGTAAGGGCGAAGGACGATGCGTCAACAACACTAGGTCCTGTCGCACCAACGACTCTTGCTCATAAATCAATAACAGCCGTTGGGTCCGAACACTTGCCTATCTTGCAAGTGCAGTAAGGATGCCACACCGTCTGCAGCGTATCCCGAATTGTGTCCAAGGTCTGGGAGTCCGTTTGCACCTCGTCGTGCCAGGCAAATATTCATTCGGATCGGCGAGGATAGGCAGAGTTGCAGTGACTGCAGCAGTTGTCGGTATGGAGGACCTGCTCATCTTCAGGAGCCGGATAGTCGTTCTCATCATCGCTGTAGATACACAGCAGGACTTCGCGGAAGTAGCGGGATTGGTGGAATGGTATCGCCAATTCCAGAGCAATCGCCAGTCATCGTTCACCTTATCGCGCTTCTCCATATCCTTCTCGGGAATCTTCTTGCGCGCTGGAGCATTGCCAGATCCGTAACCGGCAGATGCCTCACTAGCCGATGCGCCAGCGGGATGCGATCTGGCGTCGACAGTGTCGTACATACCCTCTTCGTCTGGCTCCTCGTCATCCTCAATCACGAACACCTCGCTTCGCACCATCTCTCCTGGAACTTGCACTTAGCTGAGACCACTACGCCTCACCGGGACATCTAGCAACTTGCTCTTATATGAATCGGTGTCAGGAGCTGGAAGAGTAGCGCTGGTATTACCTGGTCGAGTAACCGTTGACGGATGATCGGGAGCATCCTCGGGCACATACGTCTTGGAGTCATCTACCCAGTCCGGTGGGAAAATTATAGCTTTCCCGCGCACACCGTACACCAACGCACATCCAGCCCCACCGATCTTCTGCATCATGTCATCGATGTCCTTATGATCGGAAAGCCCGAAAGGACGAGGACAGAAATGATTGAACTTGTCCAATCCACCGGCGCCGACATACACGAGACTTCCAGGTGCTCGTTCGCCACGATGCTTCCGAGTTCCGCCAACAGCGTCTCCATCTCGGGCATTATGAGGCAGAACAACGAATGGTCCCAAGCCAATGGCTTTCTATCAATTTGCGTGCGATTTGCTGATCGAAGGCAAGCTGAAAGCCGTCACGGTTATTTTGCGCGAGAGGGAGAGCTTAGAGTAAGATGTGCAACGTGTGGCTGACACTGACATGGCAACAGAAGTCTGAGTATGGGCACAGATTTCCGGCTGTGTCGGCCATCATTCCGAATGATTTGCTTTGGAGTCTTACTTCCTCAGCATCTCCTGGCCATTCACAGTCAACACACGTCGCCCAGTACTCGCCCACCTTCCCGTTGACCGCATTGTTGGTGGCCGAGTAAAAAACCCTTCCTGTACCATCGACCTTGTCACCCACGAATCTCTTCATCAAGCGTACCAAGATCTGCTCAACCTGATCGGATGGAGCTGAACAGATGCCTCGACGTTCTTGCTGAGAGAAGCAGAGCTCAGATGTGTGACGTGTAGCTTAAAAGGTACCAGAAGTATGCTCGGATCACCATCAGATTCCCTGTCGACTCCAAGTCTACCATTTGCAAAGCTTTGTCTTGGAGTCTTGCTTCCTCGCAGCAGTACTCTTCCCTCGCATCTTATAGCCATTCGCAGTCTACATACGTCGCCCATCGACGCTGTTACCCACGATCCTATTCGTCAAGCGTACCAAGATTTGCTGAACCGGATAGCGGATGGAGCTGACCTTGAGATGCTCGCAGGAGATAGCGTCTCGTGCGCTAAGCCACTCGCAAAGAGCGCCGCCCGCCGTAGAGCGAGCTCAGGTCTACCTTCTTGAAAAGCTTCAACACGACCTGCTCCGTTGCGAGATCAGCCCGCAGTGATAAAAAGAATGAGGATAGTGCATCCGTAGGTTCAATATCGCCAATAGACCTCTCAAGAAGTGATCAGTACGCTAGCCACAAGCTATGGGAAGATTTCTCAGCCTTTTCGTTCTCCGCATGCGCTCTTCTCGCACCTCCGGCCTGTCCCATATTTATCTGCGGGCTGCTGTGTTTGCAATCTGGTTGGTCTTCTGTATCTTTTCCCCTACCTGGTCCTCTTGTTTTGGACTCGTCCCGTGCCAAGCCGTTATGCTCGTCGCCTGGAGAAACGCAGACGATCGGAATGCGATGCGCGAAATGGATTCCTAGACCTCTGAGGTCACCTCTCACGCGCCAGATCTCAGCTGCGGGCGGTTGGCGGAGAAGGCGGAGAAGGCGAAGGATGAGGTGGTGGTGGATTCGTCGTTGATCAGGAATTGGTCGTCAGTATCGCTGTTGAAATCATTCAAGAAGGAGCGAGGCTGGAATGTCAGAAAGCCTAGCGACCGACTTCCGCTTCTTCTGCTTACACTCGGATTCGAGTCGAGGCGTGGTAGAAGGCGGCCTTCGCTGCCATTCAGCCCATCACTGCTGGACATTCGGCCTCTCGTTGCTATTCCCATCATCCCCATGCCCATCACTCACCTACCACAAGTCCTTAGCGTATCCAACGCTGATCCTCAAAGGAGCCGCTTCGTTGATGTCGTGCCCCGCTTGTAACTGTGCCGAAGCTGGCTGCGGATTCGCAGGAACTTCGTCGCCGATGAGTGCGTATATCTTGTTAACCACGGCATTTCGGGAGTGCTGGGACCAATCATCTGCCATGGCCATGTGCTTTACCCGGCATCGACAGCAGCCGATTCACAGGTAGTGGTGTCTTAGGAAATTGGAGGAAATTTCGATCGAGCAGATGTTCTTGACTCTGCGAATTTGTATGCTCGTCCATTTTCGAACGTGGTCGTCAACGCGAGAACGGGCATTCCAAAATCGTCGGTAATGATTGGTAATGATTGGGTCTTGACGCAGATTTCGGAGATAGGTAGAGTATAAGGCTTCGCCTTAGGAATGTGTATGTGAAAGAAACAAGATGCTGCAAACCAATTCAGCATCGTACTTCGTCTCTCGCACTCTCCTTCATAGATACTTCGCCTTCGGAGGCCAGCCATCGAATCGCGTACGAGGCGTTGATCGAGATCTACCGAGCGTCGAACACCATGCTGCAGCCGGGACGGGATGCCTGGACTTTGTCGGCCTTCAGCCTCGATTTGCTAACTTCAGAGTTGTTGAGGGAAGCAGACAGAGCCTCGTTCAAATGAAAAGCGAGCTTCAGTGCGGAGTGCATCGTCCCCGGTGGATGGGGTGTATATTGCACGTAGGAACGAAAGAGAGCGACATGATTTCTTACCCTCGCATGCGGCATGATCGGCTCGCTTCCCTTTCCTCTACAATAGGCGGAAACATTGTACTGACCTGACCATTCTGCATGGGTTGGATTATTTCTGGGATCAGATGGACTTGTTCCAGCCTGCCTTTTGAAGCCACAACGCCGAATCGAGTTCTTCTTCATTCCACGAGGCGCGCGCGACACCCCACTGTTTTGTGAAAGCTTGAAGCACGAAGTCGATTGGGGCAGCGTGCGCGATTTACGATTTGCAGGAGCATGGATGGCGGTGGTATGGACGAGGACGGCGGATGCATCGTAATGGATGACTGAGTTCTGTATGCACCATGAAGGTTCCTGAATCATTCGGCTCACAGGAGTGCCAAGCGCGAAGGCGTTGTAGTGGTGGTGTTTGCAAAATTTCATCCTCATCCACCGGTGGACTCGTGCTTCGGGCTTCTTGCCCCTCAAATCTGGGCGACCACAGGTACCTGGCTTTGCATCACCAAGGCCGAAGCTGGCCGTGGGAGCTGGAAGAACACGGCGCTCGACCACGATGTCGTTCGACGCCGGTTGACAGAGACACTCTATTTCTGCAAGGCAGTGTCTTTGTCCCCAGCCGGCATGTCTACGCCGTTCTGGATGCCGGCAAGCGCGCGCTGAGGAGGCGCGGTGACTGCGATCTTGATCATGTTGGATGTCTGACGCTCGTCCATCTTGACGGCGCATGGCTGATTTTCCTTCATTCGAAGCACCCCCATCGGCAGAACAGTGTTCTTGCCGTTCCTTGGTCATCTTGATGAGAGGCGGGGCAGGCCTGAGGACTGCAGGCGGACGTTATAGATCACTGCCACTGCCCCAAGCCAATGGTTGATATCGAGATCGAGAGCGTGTTGGATGCCGGCATAGCGCGCGCTGGGGACGTGTGGTGACTGCAGACTTGTTGATCATATGAGATGTCTGACGCTGGCCCGTGGGGAAGGCGTATGATATTGCTGATTCTCTATGACCGTAATGCGAGCGGAGAATGTGGTGGAGATTGGGAGACTTGAGCTCACTGTCAAGACTCGAGACGGAGAGGCACAGCTGAGGAATCGGGCGCGGCGGGCGGCGGGCGGCGGGCGGCGGGCGGCTGCTCCCGATAACTTTCCAGGTTCAGTATCAGAATCTTGCTACTCTGCTGCTTGACATTGCACTTCAGCCTGCCCTCGCGAAGGACCTGAAAGGCGCAATGGAATGCGAACATTATTGATCTGCCATCTGCCACTTCCTCCTCATCGGCTCGCCTCGCTTCGGCACTCACTCCTCCGCTGCGCATCGAACACAGCAAGCCCGAGTCAGCACGGCCATGTGCATCTCTCTTGACGCACTTCTGAATCTGCCATTTCTTGATGTTGCAGTGGCCGAACCCGCCCGCCCTTTGGTACCGAATTTGTGCCCACTCCCATCCATACGGCGCCGAGGTAACGCCTGACCGCGTGGAGTTCAGCCGGATTCCGACAAAATATCGACAAGAACATTCCTTTGCTGCGTCCTACGCACTGCTCAACGCATCATGCTGCAACCCATCGTCAGCCGAGCCCCTTCTGCTCAGCATCGTGCTCATCGAGTCTTCCAAAACCTCCGACCCGGCGACATGGAAGTGGAGAAGACTGGCCGCGTCTTGTGGAAGACTTGGAGAGCAAGAGCTTTGCAGATTCGGGTGACGGCCGAGATGAAGGCAGCGAGAACACCGACAAGGACAAAGGCGTGAAGAACTTCGATGTGAGGGCTATGGAAAGGCTGAGCATGATGCAACCCAAAACACGCTCATGCACCACTTCGCTATGGAAAGCGAAGCGGACGTCCTCAATCTACTGACACTGCCTGGAGAGCCGCTTCACGGCACCAGGAAGTTTACATACAGACGTATACCTCGCCTGGCCAACACCATAAATCAGCAGTCTCACGATAACGAGGATAATTTCATGTGCCTTCCTACGCGCGTGTATTATCCGGTTTGCACCGATATGATCGTTGGGCACGAGCTTCTACAGCCAGGTTTGGAGGCGTTTGCCGAGTTCGACTGCGAGACTTTCCCCCCACATACCTTCTCGCCGGACACAAGACGAACAGAGTCTCAACTTACGGCTCGTAGACTTTGCAGGAGGCCGAAACTTCAACCCTGTCAGGGATCAGCAACCATGTCCACTGTCGGTGCGAGTTCAGCTGTGGGAATCCCGTGGAAAGGCGAATGAGCCTCATTGTTGCCAGCACGCTTTGCGGGAAGCTAAGCGGGTCCTGGGACTCGTACGCTGTAACACCGGAGGAGTTCACGAGTCGATTCGACCAGGCAACCTTCCTGCCAGAGAACAGCGATAAGGCCGGCCAGTATTTTCGCCAAGATCCTCACACGGCCTGGCAGCCTTCACTGTCATCGCAGCACGCGCATACCCATTCTTCGAAGAAAAGAGGAACATACAGGTAACGGGCGTGAGGCAAAATTCATGGTGGTGGATGTCTGTGGCTATCTCGATCTACACCAGGAAGACAGGTGAATCCTGACAGGTGAAAGCTGCGCAGGTGCTACCTGCCTTGTCTTTCGAGGAGGACCACCAACGTCTCCGCAACACCCAGAATTTGAACCTTTACAGTACCTGGTTCGAGTCAAAGATGGATCGCTTCCATCCATCATCCCGGACCCAGTGGATCACAGTCCCGCAACCACATCAATTCCCCACCAGCACGACGATTTGCCCAATTCAATGTTCGAAAGGGCCAATTGCTTCGCTACTCCGCGTACACTCAACCAGATTGGCTGGAAGAAATGCCGCAAGTGACGAGCCGTTCAGGTGAACATGACCGCTGACTGCATCGGCATGGCGCAGAATGCTCAAGGTGAGGCGAGCAGACGCAACCTGGAGGATGACAGCCAGATGGTCTGAATAGCCACTTTTGCAATGCAATTCGTGCTGTCGTCTTTCCTCTGCGGAGATCTGTGCTATCGCCTCAATCCTTGCTTTTTAGCGCGCTTTGAAGAACCTTCTCGCCCGACATTCACCCACACACCTCGCCTGAGACTGGTAAACGCTGCTTCCAATTCGCTGCGACACGTCCACCTCACGTATTCGGCCATCTGCTACTTCGGCGGCGATCCAAAGTTGCGACCAAAGCTTTTTTCCGCTGCACACCCACGTTCTCCTGCTGATTGAGTCTTGACATCGCAACATGCACCCAGTTGAGGATGTCAAGTTCGGCTGGATAGTGTCATTCATCATGCGTGGTTTGAGGATGATGGGGCAGCCATGCTCCTCCAGCTCCCAGATTTCTCCCTCCCAAAGGCGGACCTCCCACCCTGCAACATTTGGGTTCAAGCACGGGATGATTCACGAAAGCAATCCGAACTGGAACGCCAGCCGCGATCTCACCGAGCTCCGGACCTTTGATCATAATTATTATGCGTGGATCGAGGATGATGAGGCAGCCATGCTCCTCCAGCTCCCAGATTTCCCCCTCCCAAAGGCGGACCTCCCATCCTGCAACATCTGGGTTCAAGCACGGGATGATTCACGAAACTGATCCGAGTTGGAACGTCGTCCGCGATCTCACCGAGCTCCGGACGCGTAGCTCGAGGATATTGAGGCAGCCATCCGTAGCGTCGCTTGAAGCAGGCCACTGCTCGCACCAAGCTCCGGACCTGCGACAACGACCACCATGCGTTGCTCACGAAACCAATCCGAACTGGAATTTCATCCACGATCTCACCAAACTCCAGATCGACCATTATGCGTGGCTCAGGAGTGATGAGACAGCCATCCGTAGCGCCGCTCGAAGCAGGCGACTGCTCGCCAAGCTCCGGACCTGTGATCACGACCATCATATGTGGCTCGAGAATGATGAGACGGCCATCCGTGGGGCTGCTTGCCGCTTGAAGCAGGCGACTGCTCGCATGGGTATGACTGCTCTCGTCCATTACCACGGGAAATCATTCTGATGCGGGACATATGCTCGATTTCAGACTTGAGCTGACATCACAAGACTTCAGAGGCGCGCTGACGCCTAGTCCGAGTGATAGCACACTGGCATGGGTCAACAGTGTTCATGGCGGCAAGATTTCTCCTCGGCTTCAGTGTCGCCATTGCTTATAGAGCCTCGCCGCTCCTCATCACGGAACTCGTGCATCCGCAACATCGAGCCATCTTCACTACCATCTGTGACACCACTTGGTAAACACCACTTTGTGCACAGGCTCGATCGTTGCAGCATGGTCTTCGTCCGGCATATGGCACATCAACAACAACAACTGGTCCTGGCGTATTCTGTCGATCATCTAGGATGGCGCCCTCTGCCATCCAGCTTTCATTCGTGTGCTTCGTGCCAGAATCTTCCCGATTTCTCATCTCCAAAGGCAAGGTTGAGCAAGCCATCTTCACGATGCGCGATATCATCTGGGACAAAGTTCTCCGCGGATCATGATCATGCATGATGGGACGAACGTCCCAAACCTCCGAATTGTGAATTCCGAGTTCTGGGAATGCTCCAACAACATTGGCGACAGGCTGTGTAGCAGGTTGGTGTGAGAGCGGAGAATTCAGAAGCCTATATACAAGTGTCCAATGCCGCGTGGGCAAAGCTAGACAGTCAGTGGACAAGCAGACATTGGAGGCATTGCTGACGACGCATAGGGTACGGAGACTACCGGACAGCTGACTTCCTCGCGCGGCCCAACGTTGTCCTCGTCATGGAAGAGCCACAATCATACCCAGCCATGCTGCAAGAAAGCCTCAAGACATCTCTGGGCATCTATCATACAAGTTGACAAGCTTCTCGGAATGATGGCGACCTGCTGGAGTCCATCAAGCGCCAGGCCGCGAGGGTCGTCAGAACCATATGAGCGATCCGAGGGCTCTGATACGAGCAGTACTCGAAGCCAGGAGCGCACACGGTCTGATCCTCATCAACTACTCTCGCGCCGCGGCTATCTTCACCACGCCACACCCTGGATCCGCTCGGTTGGATTGAGAGAGCTTTGATGAAGCGGGGGAGATGCTACAACGCCGCTGCTTGAATATGAAAATTCAAATCCAATAGTTCATTGCGACTGGCATCGACCTTTTGGCTCCGGCTTTCGGGAATGTCGCGCGAGCTTTTCACGATCATCCGCAATTCCGTCGACATGCCGAAGCCATTAATGCTGAGCTGCTCTACGGCCATTTCGTGATCAAGACCTACGATGTTGCAGTCATCAGTCCTTGCACACGCCATGTAGATAAATCTTCTTCATCATGACACTCAGCTTTCCCACCCACGATTTGCAGTCAGCTGTCCTTGCACACGCCATGTGGTGAGGTCTTCTTTATCAAGACACTCGGCCTCTCGTCTCCACGATTTTCAGTCCAAGGAGTCCTTGCATACGCTATGTAGTTGGGTCTTCTTCATCAAGACATTCAGCCTCTCGTCCCCACGATTTCCAGCCAGCAGGCCTTACCCACGCCATATTATTGCTGAGTCTTGTTGGTCAGGGCACTCAGCCTTCCGTCCCCACGATCTTCCTGGCAAGGAGTCGCTCACATTGCAGGTGAAGACGTGTTTCGTCGAGTTGCCGCTGTGGAACCCAGCAACTCAGCTGCGTGCAAATTTGCACCACGAATACCACCTGAACTAATGCGAGTCTCCCTCCCACGGGACGTTCAGAAACTGCTTGCCAGATTTCCGATAGCAGTGGCGGTATCTCGAAACGAGCTTATCATTTCCTCACCTCCCTCTACTTTATGTGACGATGGAATGGGCGAAGTGGAAACAAGCCTGATAGTCGAGAGAAGCGCAGCCGTCCTGCAGTCACTTCGTTACGCAGATCATGGAGACATGAATCAGGCTGGTACTACCTCCGTCCACATCCTGGAACGATGGAGAAGGCGAAGTTAAAACAAGCCTGATGGTCGAGAGAAGCGAAGGTGTGCTGCACGGCCACTTTGTCGGGCAGAGGGAGAGGGAGAGATGAACCTGATTTATTCTACCCAACTACATCGTATTCTAATCGATACTAGCAACTCCACTCCCTTCATCTATCTCCGGACTCTCCTCCTCCTCCGAGGTCTCCGGGCCTACAAATTCAATTGAACCAAGCAGCCCACATCGTCGTTATCGTTACCGTTATTAGTGAATCTGCTCCAAATCCATCTCGTCGGTAGCAGCAATAATGGTTTGCGAAGGGAGGGGGTGAGCTGGCTTAAAAATCATCCATCTCGGTGCTAATAATGTTTCCGCGAAAGGTGATCTGAAAAAAAAAAACAGCTGCTGTCAGTTTCTAATTCTGGTTTGCAACTTCACGATAGAATAGGTGCTGGGTTAAATACTGATGCTGGCGGGAGAAGTGGGTTTGTCGTGAGTAGGAGGGAGGGGGAACGGAGGTGGTGATGAAATGTGGAGGTGGTGGTAGTAGCGAATGGCTCGTTGACCGCTTGAGCAGAATGCATGAAAGCGTAGGTATTAGCAAAGGAAGTCGTTGGTGGTAGCGAGGTACTGCCATCGTCAGGAAGAGAGATAGATGGTGACAGCGAGGCACCACCATAGCTAGGAAGAGTTAGATCGCCGTCGGTGTACAATCGAGGCCATGACTTCTTGGGAGCTGGGTCAGAATGCGGCGCCATGGGGGCGTTCTTAGCTCGACGAACATTCGCGTCAAAAGAAGTCGTTAGTGGTGGCGAGGTACTGCCATTAGCGGGAAGAGGAAGACTGTTGGCATTAGTATCGAATTGAGGCCATGAATTCTTGACAGCTTGATCACAATGCGGCATGAGGGCGTTGTTGGCATTAGTATCGAGTCGAGGCCATGAATTCTTAACAGCCTGATCACAATGCGGCATGAGGGCGTTATTGGCTCATCAACAAACCTCAGGGCCAAAAGAAGTCGTTGGTGGCAGCGAGGCACTGCCATTACCAGAAAGAACTGGATTGCCGTCGGTGTCCATGTCCAATCGAGACCACCACGAGTCCTTCTCGACTCCAGGTTATCATAAACGAGGGCGTTGACCGGTGAAGTGGTCGCTGGCAAGGCAAGGCACCGTTGCCTGCAAGAGAGGGAACCTTGTTGGTGCTGATCTTTTGAGAACCGGGTGGCTCCTGCATAGCTCCTCCGAGATCAAGTATAGCAGTACCAACATCGGCCGAGGAAGTTCTTGTTGACGATGAGATGTAGAATAGGCATGATTTGTGGTGTGAGAACAAGTTTCCGTCACATAAAACGCATTCCATGCGCACCCTATCACTACCACCACCTGGTGAAGCTTCCGGAAGGGTCGATAGCGAGATGTGGAACGGGCATGATATGCCAAGTCTCTATCACATAAGTGTATACCGTGCCCAACCCTTCATCGCCTAATTGTGAAGCTCCCGAGAAAGGTGTCTCATTAGAAAGGCTCCGTGCGCCAAAAGTCATGCCGTCGGACTCGCTAGAAATGCCTGATGCGCCATCATCAGCTGTAGGCATCGAACAGGACACCTCCAAACCCAAGTCGATGCAATTCCGGTACAGCATGGCATCCAGTTCTCTTGTGTTATGGCCGGGCCCTTCTTCGCAATGATAGCCGCAGGCACAATCCAAAACCATCTTCTTCATGATGTCCAATCTTCCTCGCGAGTCTCTCTTGGCGATGCTCTTATCCAGGTCGCGCACATGTCGCTGGAACAAGGCAGCCTTCAAACCATGGTTGTCCTTCTGGCACTTCGGCGAAACGGACTGTGGAAACAAGCAAAGTGCCCTGCAGTTGGAGGTTTGCAGTAGTTCGGCGTACTTCCCATGAATGGAGTTCTTTCAAGCATTCTTGTGGCCAGTCCTTTCTTTGACTTCCTGGTTCGGAACAGACGCTGGGGCTTCCTGTGCTTCACAATGCGATCGCGATCGGTCTTGGGTTCCTCGCTGAAGCGACTCTCGGCTTGCTTGTTTGTGCATCGTGCGCTGGGCTGAGGGTTTGTTGGCGCCATCGTCGTGACCAGTCAGCCTGCGGAGGTTGAGCTGTATGGGTAATGGAGCTTGCTTGGCTACGCAGGAAAAGAAAACTTCGAAAAAGGGAAATTTGTCCTTACATGTGCTGGCGCTGGCACATCCTGACAGAGTGCTTCTACCGTGTACACTTACACTGTCCTCGGAGGTATGCAGCCCTCCGCGTGCAAACCGCCAGGTAGCGCAGAGACAGCTTCCTGCTATTGGAAGTTCGAGCGCATGTTCAATGCAGACGTTCTGAAGCAGCGCTCTGCCGCTGGACTCTCCTGCAGCGAACTGCGCCTGGAAAAGATTTCCCGGCGGTGATCTGGCAGGGAGCTGCAGGAGACTGTTAAACCGAGCCAGTCACCCGGTGCAACTCTTTCTGTCCAGCTCCAGCAGGATGGCTTGGATGAGGAAAACTCCGCCAGGACTTCCAAATATCATACTCTTGAACCAATGGACAGGCGCGGGTCAGACGAGACGGGAGAGAGGGCGCCGGAAATGAGAAAGTGTTTCGGAGGTGAACAAACTAGAGGATATCGGGCGAAGCGGAGGTCGGCGCGGTAGGACGTTGCGCGGCAAGCATAGCTCTAGATGGATCATATCGAGCGTGTCAGAGAGGATAGCGATGGCGAAGGTGTCGGCCGTGGAGTGGGAGAAGTAGAGGTGATGGTGATGATAATGTCGGTGTTGGAGATGAGAAAGACGAGAATGTGAAGCCTCTGGGAAAGCTCGGCGCGGCGCGCCAAGAAGACGGGATAGCATGCCGCACGCTGTTGATCAAGAAAAATATTATCAAAATTGATGTGATCAAACTTGATATACCCAACACATACACCAGGTAGCACCCAGTCGTCAACGTCCACACAATTGATGCGCACTCAGAGTGCCGCGAGCATCAAGTGAACCGGTCGAAGGTGAATTTCAAATGCAACCAAGCTGGCATGGTATACTTTCCTTTAAACAGTCATGTACCTTTCTACCTACCTACCTACCCTTCCGCCTTCCGTCAAAAACTTGTTCCAAGGAACAGAGTTCTAAGCGGAAAGTGATCATACCTACCTTCTTTGGATGAGTTGGGATTGCCTGCCGTTAAGGATGGATGCTGCGATCCAGCTCGAGCGGCTTCGGTGCCGATGATTTTGAAGTTCTTGGACATGATGCAGTAGCGAATCTGGGAGGATTTTTGATGGGAGAGGGCGTTCTTTCACAGATGCCCGAGCTTGAGTTGGTCGATGAGCCTGCTGAGGAGTCCGCTGAGGGCAATGGATGCGTCGCTATGTAGGCTGGTCAAGTGCGACCTTGGAAGCACCTGGTATGGGGGTTGGACAGTGATGAATTGCGACCTGTAGGGTTGAAAGTGTTGATCATGCGTTGTCGAGATGTATATCCTGCCTACACGCCGTCAACTCCATCCACCTACTTCGTCAACTTCTCCCAGTATCGAAAAGATGTAGTAAGCTGCCGTTCTGGACGTCAGATCAGTATGCCTCGTAGTCTCCGCAATGTACCTGTCGTCTCTCACCCCATTGCCCATCGCTCTCGATACGGTCTCCAGGGAGAGCGTCATCAGTCTATTCACGGAGGAGTAGAGAGGAACAATGCACATCGGTGTTGATAAAAGCGAGGCGGATGGAAGTGAGTGCGGAAGTTGTCGCATTCGTCATGCGTTACAAACCTGCTGGACGTCGACTTTGCCGCAGCGTATCGATGAAGCGCATCAAGTTGGATGGTACACTTTCAATAGATTCGACCCCCCGAACATCTAGTGTCTCGGCATCAGAGAATCGCACAGCTGACACAAGACATTGCCATTGACATTTGTTATCGCGCAGCTACCAGCTTGTCCAACAGTATGCATGCATATCATCGACTGCAAAGAATTCGAACTCATCGTCCCTCATTGTCCCGCTGGATTGCGTTGTGCTTTGACGCCGTAACCAGAGCATGTCCTCTCGCTGCGAGAAGCCCCAGCTGCGAGAAGCCTCAGCATCGCTGAACGGCTGAGGCTGAGATGGCGGGAGTCCCTCGATGAATTTGCATAGGCCGCAAGTTCCAGTCAACCAGGATGGAGAAGAATTGGAATGCAAAATGTCGAACATTGCCAATTTCATTAGTGAAGTTCTCGCAGAGCCCAGTCGTCGTCAGAGAATCGGAATGGCGTGTCGTCAAGGTTGTGAAGTCGTTCGAGGTATCTCGGCGGACCGTTCTTGAATGCATTCCCATGATTACCGCAATCCTCTTACAGTAAGTTGCCAGGTAAAGTGCCGTCATATCCAGAGACGAGGGCGAAGGGGCGAAAGCAGTTCGTACGCTGTCCAAACAAGAAAAGAATTCAAACTGCCTCACAGCCGTCATGCCCACCGCCGTTCGCGTCATCACGTATCACATAGCATCGAACAAACCCGAGACTTCCTCCTCCACCACTCCCGCACACGCGCATACGCACACAAGCACCCAAGTGACGTCTACCAAACACAGCCGCTCGGATGACAACTCGAGCACATGCAGGCCCAGAATTTCGGAGACGCCGGATTGTTCATTTTACACTTGGTCCTCGTGATGGAAGATGAAGCGCTCGCCACGCTAGTGATCTTGATCGGCCCAGTGGGCGTTGGCTGCCTGATGGGCAGAATGTCCCGAGTCGGGATGGGAATGGCTGAAGTCGACCGGACGGGAGCAGTCGTAGTAGGTGGAGGTGCAGTTGAGTTGATGGCCATTTTCTTGGAATGCGTGGCAATGAGGTTGGCTGTCGTAGGGACGGGACGAAGATGCGTATGGCGTGGTTTGCTCACGTTGATGTCTCGTGCTGGCGCGCACCGTTCTCCTTATCTTCACGAGCCGACAAGATTGAGTAGACGAAGGTAGCGATTGAGGGGAAATCTCCTTGCTTCCAGCATGAAGTATTTCTTTGGTGCCCGCATTACTTGCTTCTCGCATGAATTGTCTCCTTCGTTTCAGCATGAGTCGCCTCCTTGCTTCCAGCATGACGGGGCAGCGTAACGGTAGCATGGGCCGCATGCATGTTGCCTTGTCGGGTGTGTGCGCGGACGACGCCATTTCGATGTGAAATGAGACGGAGGCCGATGTAGTGACTGGGTTGCCGTACTGTATTCTTGGCCGGCTCCTCCACAAGATTCAATCGTCTATGGCGATGCTGTCGACATTGGGAGAAGTCGACATGGAAGCGGTCCGCCTCTGCCTCTGCCTCTGCAACTGGCACTGCATGTGCTGGCTGTGTATGGCGGAGGAGGTGGAGGAGGTGGAGGAGAGTAGTTGAGTAGTACGAAGCTGTTGGCGTCGGCGAGGCGAGTCCAGTCTCAGTGCACCGACCACTCGCTTAGCTGGCCAATCGTCCGATCATCCTCTCCGCCCTTTGCTCTCACTCGCTTTGTGCTTGTCCATTCTGCCTCCCAAGACATTCTTCGGACACGTTCGTGCTTACTGAACAACCCATGCCCATACTCAAACCATTCTTCGGTGGGATCCGCAAAGTCATCGTCGCGCTCGAGGGACCAGATCCGACAACACCATCACGTCTTCGCGCCCGGCTCGGCCACCTCGCTGACATGGCTTGACGTCTTCCACAATCTCTGTCACATTTCCCTCTTCACTCTTGCTATCCTTCACATGCGGCAAGTGTGAGTGTGCCATTGTCTCATCCATGACTTCTCCCAGAACCTCCCAGAACCTCCCACACCACCTTGACTCTCGCCGGCAGCCGTACAGACCGCAAACGCGAAGCGATCTTCCGATCCAGGATGCCAGCACGGAATCAGCTCGCTCTTAGCAGCCAAAGCGGAAAGGAGACTCGCTAGTAAAGAGTGGGAGGCACTGGGAGAAGGCGAAGCGGAGTGGAAGAGACAGTAAAGAGTAGGAAGCACCGGGAGAAAGTCAAGCGAAGCGGAAGAGACAAGAGACAAGAGACATATTCGCAAGGTCGGTGAAGGATCAATTTTAGAGCAACGCAAGCAGCGTAGAAGTCATACGCGACGACTACCTGTCTCCTTCTCGCGTAGTAGACTTTCACGGTACTGTACAACAATACAGAAACAGAGATGTGCATACCACCGAAACCTGTCTCCTTCCCGCGTCGTAGACAGGTCCACGATGTTGCGTAAGAATACAAAAGTAACCCCCTAAAGGCCATCGATAACCTGCGCCACTACTCATTCTAAGATCGATAACGTTAGGATCATCTGTACGCGCACATATCCACATCCACATAGTAATTTATTAACTCCCCTTCCTTATGCCGTCCCATCTCCTTACCGACCCTTTTTCACTCCTCCTCCTGCTGCTCTAAAACCTCACAAACCTCCTCGGCAATTCCATACCTCGCCCCTAACACTCTTCCTGCCCTTTTTGCGCAACCTCTAGGGCGGAAGTGGGAGATCCTTAGTTGCCGAGGCGTGTGTAAGAGGCATTGGAGGAGGGAGTTTAGGTAGGAGTAGGGATTTGGGATCTTTAAGAAAGATGAAGCAGGAGAAGGAGAAGAAAGGTGGATGAAAGAGGTAGATAGAAAAGGTAGACGAAAAAGGTAGATAGAAAATGTGGATAATAAATATAGATAAAACAGGTAGATAGAAAGGATGAGGAAGAGATTGAGAATTAGTAGTAGGCATAGTGTAGCAAGCTTGTGTCCGATAGTTGTGTATCCGGGATGAACGGGCTTTCGACAGTTGGTATCATGCTCCGTAGACTAGGCGGCAAGCAGCTTTGTGAAGCTGCTTTATGTTGGTACCGTCGGTAGAAGTGTTTTGTCTTTTTTGACCGGCATTCGAAGTTATGGAGTAGGATAGCATAGCAGGTCTGACTTGGAGTTCGGAGGAGGCTTGAAGTATAGTTTAGCAGGCAGCGTCGTTGGTGAAGAGCAGGCCTTGTTTCTTGCTGCCCTATTGATGCATAAGGTAAGATGCCATTCCCTGCCTTAGCCATGTCGTACCTTCAGATCCCACGCTCGCTCAGTCATAATTTGACGTCTCCCTCCTCGTATCTATAAGGATAAGGAACGAGGTCTATCGCTTGCAGCAAGCTTGACTATGTACGCCTATCGCTTAGTGGTGTTTATCCACGTGTTGTGCTCACTTACCAAGACTCGCTCCTAGATGCCGTATGCTCTAGAATGCTTTGTGTTTCCAAAAACCTCGAAGCCGTCGCGCGACGTTGTAGAGCGCGGTAGCTGAGAACTACTGACTATTTCATCATCAACCAATTCTAGCAAATTCGGCCCCGGGACCGATCTTAATGCCACTCGCAAGTGAGGTTGCTGATCAATGCATAAGGAGCTTGAGCGAGTTCCTTTTCCTTTAAGGTAACGCAGACGAGGGCAATAGTCGTCAAAATTGCCGATACGTTTTCGTACACAATGGCCTAGACGCCATCGTCTCTTCAACGCTATAACTCCAAATCGTAGCACCTCGCAAGCTTACAGATTCCCGCCTACGCTCAACTATCTCCGGCGGGAAAGTCAACCTCGATCTGGCTGCGTATTGCTGTTTCTACGTAGAATGTCGATCCTCGCTCTCCCTAGCATATTCCATTCCCTCGTAGCAAATCATCAGACATGACCAATTGTTACTTTGCAATGCCTATAGGCTAGTGTTAGGCAAGCAGGGCTCCAAAGGAAGGCTTCAGCCGTGCATTGTAGGCAATGCCACGGTACGCACATTTGGTTAGCCAGGCAGTAAGTCTTTCCTAGATAGTCGTACAGTGGTTTCGGCGGATCTGCAGACAGTCTCGGTCTCTACATCTCGGAATCTTCCAGACTCGCTTTTCAAGTCCTCTAGCTTATGTTACGTATTAGCACACAGCTCATTATGAGTACATTGTTCTGCTACGCCTGCCATGTCTAATCGATGATTCGATAATAGTACAACCTAGTTCTGTACGGATGAGTTGCGGGGCAAATTGAGCACTGCTTCGAGGTACGCGTACGGTAATGATCTTGCCCATGCCTCCTGGAGCTGCAGTATGACCATATTGTTATCGGCTCGCCTCCGTCTACTCAAGCATCCTGAGGCCCAACTTTGAGAAACAGCAGCTGTTGAGCCCCACTGTCGGCAGTATCACAGGTTTTCGGGCATGCATTTGGTGCCCAGCCTTCCTTCAACGCAGCCAAGATGTCTCAATAAAGGCGGCCGAATCGTGGTACTCGGCCGGACGGTGCTCTTCAACATCCTTCCTTATACCATCTCTTTCTCCTGCCCGGCAAGATCTTAAGCGTTCGCAAAGTCCCGGTAAAGCTACGGGTAGCACTCCCAGAGATGTGCGAGATGGCTTTCAACCACTGATTGCGCACATATCTGGTGCAAGGCGAGCTTGTGATCCGTTCCAATCCTTTGAGCTGTGGCCGTGAGACGAGAAATCGCGCTGATGCAATCGCTTCACGGCGCGTGGCAAGGCAAAGAGGGCGTGGTGGCCTGCGTCGCAATGTCATCCTGGACGTGACCGCATTGGCACTCTCATAAGCATTTTAAGCGCACAAAGACCAGAGACCGGTGTTTGGGCGTAGACACAAGAAAGCCTTTTCTTGCCACAAACTTGATCTTTTGCCAATCTGTTAACAACTTGCTTCAGAAGTTTTGACTGGTGCATGCGACAGAGCCCCAGACAACCAGCGCGCAATTGATCAGAATTGATCGGTCGGAGCTTCAATCGCCGGCGGATGTGAGCGCGCGCTTTTGATCAGATCCCCCGCACTCTGATTACCGCCCCATCAATTTTGATCAATTTCCCCAGACTTCCTCGAGGCGCGAACAACAACACCACTTTCCGTGATAGGTCCCATCTCTCAGGCTTCCTCCGCATCATACAGCCGAGTCTCATAGTCGATGCATGCGTGCTACCTCCTAGAACTACCTCCCAACACGTTAGGTGTGCGTGCGCGATGGCCAGAACACGGAAGAGTGGCTGCATAGCTCAAGGTCGACCTACAGCAAAACCGAGACCAAAACTTGCTCCAGACAAGCAAGGAATACAAGGAGAAGGGACAGCCTCGAACGACACGCAATGCGACAACCCCGATGACATGATCATCGAAAAGATCCTCCAGACGGCGAACAGCGATCCGAAGCGGGCACTTGATATGTTCCGAAACTTGGACAAGAATGCGGTATCAACACGGCCAAGGTTCGGTCTTCTGATGGGAGAAGTGCACCAGATCTTTGATGCTATCTACAACAATACGGGTGTGACTGAGCGCAATCTCAGAACGCAGGTTCAACTGGTCCAGAAGGACACGTTTCTCTGGTGCAAAGAACTTCACGGATACAACCTCTACCTGCATTTCGGAGCGAGTGGGCTGACGAGGACCTTTCTGCGCGAGCTGCGTGAACTGGCAGAAATGCGTCATAGTCTCTTCTTAGATCAATTTCTCGCGTGGGAGCAGGCCCTCGAGCTTCTAAAACGAGCGCAGTCGCGGCGTCAGGCTGGTCAACGTACGAACGGCACGAGCATAGATCTCGAGTGGCAGCCATCAGACTGCAAGGTCGCAAGAGCGATCGCAGAGGAGGAGCTCGGCTTTGTGCAGCGACCGATTCAGACGAACAGGAAGAAAGGTAAGCGGAAAGAAGCGACACCGCCACTGCCGGACGGCGGTAAAGGAGACGGAGAGAATGCGATAGCATCACAAGGAGGCCCTGAGAATGAAGCATCCCCGCTAGAAAATGGCGACCAAGACGTAGGTGGAAGTGAGCGGAGAGGATCAAAAGAAGCGACACCGTCACTGCCAGCCGCCGGCGAAGGAGGTGGAGAGAATGCTACGACATCACAAGGAGGCTATGAGAACTCGCTACAAGATAGCAACAAAGATGGTGGTAGTGGTGCACGCAAAAGATCAGAAGAAGCGGCACCGTCACTGCCAGCCGGCGCCGAAGCAGATGGAGACAATGCGACACCAACACAAGGAGGCCCTAAGAACTCGCTAGAGGATGCCGACCAAGATGAGGGTAGAAGTGAGGGCAATAGCATCGACGATGAATCGGAGGTGGACATCGAGCAGGCACGCGCAGGTAGTGATGTTGATGCAGAGATCAATTTTGATCATACAGATGCGGGATTTGATGCAGGATTTGATGATGGATTTGATCAAGGACTTGATCAAGGAGGAGGGGTTGGACTTGGCGAAACGCGTGAACACGCCTCACCCTTGCCGAGCTTCAAGATTCCGAGCTCTCCCAGCCGCCATTCAACTCACACGCACATTCAGACTGACAACGACGAACCCCTCTTCCAACTCTCAGTAATGGTACACTCGCCGTTAAAGAGTCCCGCCTCCAAAAAGCGCCGTCTGCTCAACTGGAAGTCGTCGCCGTCGCCGCCAAAGATGAGCGACGCGAACCGCCTAGCAGCTGCCCGCGTATTTCTGTCACACTTCGCCAGCACCAGCAGCGTTGCCGTCACCTTGCAATCTCATGCTGCCGCCGTCGCCATCTCCTCTACCGCGGTAACCACTACCTCGACTCCTCCGCTGTTCCTGGCGCTTCTCGCACCACAGCCTCCCAGTAATCCGTCGCCTAGTGAGCTCGATTCAGGCTGGGTACTGGCGCGAGCCTGCGACCGCGAGCGTACCTCCTTCACCCTTCTCACCTCTCCGAGGGCCCGCGAGCCGCCTCCTGCCACTACCGCCATCACGCTCGACTATGCACGCACCGCGCTGGTAGCTGTGCTCGGCCATAGAGAAGGAGAACGGAACATTGAGCTCCGACAAGAGTCGTTCCTACACGAAATTGTAGACCTGGACCCTCACGAGGATGATGGCTTCATCAGCTCCTTGGCTGCTGCCACCTGTCTTATGACGGATACGGAGCTGCCGAGCCGTGTCTCGCTCTTTGCCTGGGAAAGTGCTCTAGCTGCCGCCAGTGAGGAGCATGTTCGGGTGTCGGAAGTCAGGAGGGCTGTCGAGCTGCCGGTGTTGCCACAACTGCCTGCGCTTGAAATGCAGAACGACTACCACGGCGACCTCCTCACAGCATGTGTCGAGAAGTACAGCAACAGGCTCGCTGCCTGCGAACTCCAAGGAGAGATACTGGACAAGTACCTTAGCCAACTGCGTCTCATCCGCGAATGCGCGACATCATCCGCTGCTTGTATCGACTCTGCACCTGCTCAAGCCAAAACGGACCGCCTTGACGAACGTATTGCGACACTTGAGAAATTGCTGGCGCTTTGCGATGCCGATGATTCAGAGGCTTCTGGATACCAGCAGAACCTCGTCAGATTGAAACAGCAAAAGGCGGCAAGTCTAGGTGAAGATCGACGCAAGAGGCTGGAGAACTTGACTTCCTGGATTGCCATGAGCATCCAAGAAGCCGACATCAAGAAGAGCGCGGCAGAGCGGAGCAAGAAGAAGGTGCACACTTCTCTACGGAACGCGCAGAGCTTACTGGCGTCGATGATTCCGAGAGCGGAGGATGATTGATCCAAGAGCAACAATGGAAGCGCATGGGCTGCAGCAGCGTTTTTAAACCGCATATCACAATGATTAACGATGCAACGATCAGATGGTTGTAAGATACCGCGACACGAGGTGGCAATGGATAGCGGACATGGAGTTCGTAGTGAGATTGGCCGCCACAAGTGTCGGCATTGCTATATGCGAGCAATGTGTAATAACAGCAATGTCTACAATCTGTAATGTTTTCGATACGTTTTATCTTGCTTACATTTTCAAACTCCCAGGCCGGTCTTGATCAAGTCCTGCTTCGTCACTTCTTCAATTCTTAGCCTCTTAGCTTCCACTTTCCATGGCCCTCAACATTGTACGAAGCATAACTGACATGAACGGACATGCACAGCAACGATGGTGGCCGTTCGCGTAGCAATAGAATCTGCACTACCAAACCATGCCATCGCCGACGACTTCGTGTTACTCGATACCAAACATTCGGTAGGTAACAGCGTCTATCAATACTGATACAATTTCTTGATCCTTCTTGGGACAACTTGCCAAGCTCAAAAGCTGTAGAACGCTAGGGCTATTGATGCCTCTTTACTGAGCTTTGAAGTCGAGGATTGTATACGAGACCAGCGGCAGATATGATGTACGAGGAGATGGAGAAAAGTTTGGCTGAAATTTTGCATGAGCTGGACTGGCTTCACCATTGCCTCTGCGCTTCTTTTGACATCAATCATACACTCGACGAAACCACCTCGAGGCTTTGCTGCAACTTGATCTCGATGGCCGGCGAAGTACTATGCGTGGCATCTTCCTAGATTGAGAGTCTGCGCGGGATAATCAGAATTGATCAGAATGCCGCTTGAATGTGGTGAGATTGATTGGAGTTGATTGAAATGCCGCTCAAGCGCGGGGGAGATTGATTAAAAGCTTGCGCAAAACCGGTCACCATCACCACCGTCGTCGCCGCCTTTGATAATGTTGAATGTACCTGTCTGGCTCGACGATATCGAGAATCGACCTCCCGAGGCCCCAGCACCGCGAAGACGCGACTTTTACAGTCACCACGACGACGTCCTCTGATCCACAACGAAGACCAAGACGAAGCGCCAGCGGCTCGGGCTCAGAGCCACGATGAATCGCAAAGAGGAGCATGGCGAACGATGATGGGAGGAGTGATGGGCGCAAAAGCCCAAGAAAGGCAAAGAAAGCCTTTGATAACAGCGCCAGCGCCAACGCCATCTGATTATAACGAACATGAACATAAACATGTACAAAGCGTGCCATCACGTAGCCGCCCTCGCTCAACGCCCCGTCTCCGTCTGCGACAATAGCAAAGAGGTCGACGTCGACGATGATGGTCTGGAATGTATACTTCAAGAGAAGACATAGACTAACGCGAGAACATCACGGAGCACGGCGACTGCGACTCGGCCTACGTAGATGGAGAAGTTCCTCAACTACATCCCTCCGCTGCAAGCAGATGTTGTCTCCCAGTCCAGCAGAAGCTCGACGCGCAGTTTCCGCTCCAAGAGCCCGGTCAGGGATGTGGTGGATCTCCTCATGGCTGATGCACCCATCCTCCACCTTATTCGCCAGGACACAGCACCTCCTCAGTGCAGGTGACCTTCGAGACATCACCGGCGGTATTGGAGTGGTGCCGGAGTCGGCTGTGGTGAGTGACTGGTCGTATCAAACAAGCTTGACATCCAACATGGCTGACAATCATAACTTGGCAGGAAGATCCGGCGCGGCATGTTGACTGACCTCGCTCGTTCTAGCAGAAGTCCCCCATCCCAGCGACGAACGAGATTCATGGGACCTGCTCGACATCTTGCAAGACGCTCAGATGCTGGATGAATACTGCCAGCCCGAATCAGCCTAGAAATCGGGAGCGCACTCTCCAATCTTGATCAAGAGTAGCCCCCAGGGATTCTAGTAGAGTCGCCTACTTCAATGTGTCCGTCCTGTTGTTCCCCATACGCTGATTGTCGATCCGAGCTGACATTTCGTTTCCAGGACCCAAGTTCGCCCTGTATTCGAGTTCCTCCCGACTCGAGGCGCCAAAACTACCGAAGCACGACTAGTGGACTACACTATCAACATCAAACCGACCCGGGACGAATTGACAGCTACCACGCAATTGATACAGACGGAGCCATATCACAGGTCGACTATCACCCAAAGCCGAGCCACGGCTCTGCGCACAATGCCATGTGCGATCTCCATCGAGACAAGGACAGAAAATGGCGGCAGCACATGCCCACTTTCAACGATTGCGGACAATGCTGGGTCTGGAGGAAGGCGTTCCACAAGGCAAGGAAAGCATGCATTATGGCTGTTCATCCCATCATTTACGTGCTCCAGCACTAGTGGAAAATGGTGATTGTGGTTGCTCGCAAAAATGGCAGTGAGTTCGCGGTGATTGACCTCAAAACTCCAACAGGAGGCACTGGTACGCTCTCGAAGCTTTGGAAGCTAAGAGCTTCGCTCAGGCGGTTGGCAAAGTGGGCGGAGGATGAGTATTGGCCTGCTCTGTATCGAAGGATCTTATCACAAGACGCTCAACCTGAGTGCAGGGTTCCAAAGACACGAGAGCATACTTGACCAACCACAAGGTATCTGTGCTGATCCCAACCTACAGTATCCCATTCAGACTTCTCTTCCGCTTAATGCTGCATCATTCAGGTCCATCTGATCCGCGCAAAAAGTCTGCTCATTCGCCTCGCCTCGTATACCAAGAACGCCTGGAGCTTTCCCCGACGATCGCTCCACGCCTCTGGGCCAGCGCCAGCCTCTGATGGAGAATATAATGAAGCTCAATCTTCCAGAGTCCATCAGCGCTATCCATCCTGCGTTCCACACCACGATGCTCCGCGCTGCCGCCGACGACCGATTCACTCCCAGGATAGGAACTTGTCAACGATCCACCACCTCAGAAACCCCGATGAAGAGCGGGATTTGGAAAATATCTACAACTCTCGGAAAGAATCCGGATGATGGGGGCGCGCTGAAAGGATGGGGAACAGCGATGAGATGACTTCTTGCCTGCTGCGGAAGGACTGGTCGTCGAATGCCACCAACGATACCGAGCAGATATTTCAACACATCCATTTTGGCATAAACTCAACCGCATGCGGGTAGACTGTACAGCTCTACGTTGAAATCATACGCCGATTATGGATCAAGGTGAGTGGGATATGCTTTGCCGAAGAAAGTCATAACGATACACTCAGCGAAAACAGTCATGATGACCAACCAAGATTCGCAGAGTGGGACAATTTCCCGCATCCTCGACGCCGAGAGGAGAGGAGGGGGGAGGGAGGGAGCAATGGTGCTTAGGCATGTACTCGGACTCTGAAATATCCACCATCACACGCCTGTCCGTGCAGGAGCTGTGGATATTTCTCAAGCACCGATGCGATCAGCGCGTTCGGGTTCAATGCCGCCCGCCAGGCCGTGATCCTCCGCATCGACGTGGAAGGCACCTTCAAAAGAGGTACGGTATCGAGGAGGGTGCCGATTGACCGGCCAGCCTTGAGGAGCGCGTTGGATATAGAGTCGTTCTTGCGAATCTGGGCTGGGCGTGCGAAAAGGAAGGATCTACCAGCTGATTGTATGTATGCGGATATCAGTCGCGGCGATCCGGCCGACAATCATCACTTCCAACAAGAAAGAAATCGCATTGGTGCGGACGTGAACGATTCCCTAGGGACTGTGGCCGACGTTCGGGTGTTTTCGCTTTCGCCAGCAGGGCGGACTCGGCCTCGATTCATCAGGTTGTCGCCACGATGCACCACCACCGGGCGGACGCCACAGGGCAGTGGATGGGCATGAAAACCAAAGCAAGAGAGATAGGGAATAGAAAGGACTGGATGGAATCTTGTCATCTGGTGATATCATATGTACAAGCGCACGATTGCCAGACAAGACGGTGGACGTTGACTCAAGTACCTGGCGCTTGTGCACGCTCTTGCCACACAGCACAACCGCGGCCAGCCACGAGCGTACTAGAGATAACGCCTACTACAAATGCCACTGATAAGATAATCCTGCTGCCAGCTGTAGTGATGTTTGTGAATATAGGAACCACAGGATTGCGTTGGTAATTAAGTCGATGCCAAGATGAATTTCCCAAGCGCCAAAGGCTACCAGTAAAATACGGCGTACTGGCAGGAAGGAAGCCAGCAGGCCCGACTCCTGGAACAAGATGATGTGTCAGCACCCTCTTGCCATCCATGGATATCAGTGAGAGTTCGCCGGTTGCTACCAGGGCAAGCTCTTTCCTGCTTCTTACACACCGTCGCTACCAACACTTGGAGCAGCAGCAGCAGCGTTCAGAGACATGTTCACCTGACATAATGCAGCTCTGACTCCCGTGCTGTCTTCCACACTGCCCGCACGATCGTCGTCACTGATTTTCTATCCCTCTCCTTATCCTTACCCAGCACCAACACAATCACTCGACCATTCTCCCACCTCCGCCAAATCCCTCGCTTGTCCCTTCTTAGCCTGGCTATTGGCGTGATCGAGACCGTAGTGACTGCCATAGGGCGTGCTGCATTGGCAAAACGTTGTTTTCGTCTTCACCGTGACGCCTAGTCGTGACTCCAATCGAACACACTCCACCCCCAACCGACTGGTTTCAACAGAGCTACGTAGCTTCTCTAGCTAGCTGGCTGGATGGATGAGGAGACTGCCAAGGTAAAGAATGGTGATCTGGCGATGGAATCGGGAGCAATGCTTTCGACAGGATATGGGTCGGCCTTCAGCAGGTCAGTATCAAAGCAAGATCAGTTTCCTTTCTTTTTCCATGAAGACGTAAAGCCGCGAAGGAGCGCTCAACGTAAGCAGGCCAATTTTGGCGCCGAAGATGCCGGCGGCTTAGAGCAGAATCGCGAGGATCCGAGCAACGACGATGTCGCTGCAGTGCTCCATTGGACCGTGTTCGCTACGAACTAGTGTAACATGGAGAAGATTCACAGTGTGACGACTGTCGTGAACGTTAATATGGTCGTGGAGGACCTTGACGAGGTTGCGATGGCCTGCGTGGGAACACCGAGAGCAGTGTGCTTCCCGATCGTTCGTCCAAACGGCGTGAGCGCGGGTGGTTATTACGACCGTGATGTGAATCGCGGCTGTCCAGAATCTCGCGGACGCGGGGATAGAGGCGGCAAAGATGTTCTTTGCTGCTCAGATGGGAGAATGAAGGTGCCTGTAGTCGTTACTCCTCCAGCATCCCAGGCACTTCCGCGCTCTTCACAAATCGACATGCACTCGCTCGCTGATCAATCTTCAGCATAGATGGCATCCAACACGCCAGCAATGCCTTCACGCGGCCCGTCGGCGGTGGGCGTACCAGCGACGCCAGATTGCGATGAGGAATATACGCTGCATTATGGTCCGTTGTTCGCATCGCTACATTCGAACAGCAGCTGATGCATTCGCAGTGCCTCGCTATCGGCAGCGGGCTTGTCAGCAGCACTCCTGCACCGTTCAAGAGCAAGTCACAGCCTTCCTATCCCGTCCCATGCACAACGCAATACTGACAGCTGCTGGCGAGTCTCTCACCCCGAGAGTTGGTGGTATACATGCCAGAAACCCACTACTGTCAGCGCATTGCTCGCGGCAAGTTGGAAGTTACCACTTGTCCCTTCACTCTCCGACCTTTTCCTCTGGCTGATCCTCTTCAAGCAGCCCATCCGCTCCCAACGATTGCCGACACGAGGCAGAAAGAGTCCAACTGCAGCCTGAACACCGCCGAGGGAAGCCACCTCTCCACCATCCAAGGCTTTCAAATCTGCTAATCACTTTCTTCTGCAGTTTCTCTTGACCATAGTCCTGTTGGGTTGGCTTCTTCGGAACGTTCGAGCATCTTGCTATTGGCTTGAAAGTGTCCCGATGCTGGCTCTATGCGTTGTAAGAGTTGGTAATAACAGCCTAGAGATTGACTTGCAATATTCGGTACTGGGAGCGCAGGCCAACGGCGAGGAAGTTCTACATTCGCGACAGAATTATTCGGGAGTGCCAGATTCGCCGCAGATTCCAAGGGCCCTTCGGACTTCCTTCGGCACTGAAAGCGGGAAGGAGCCGAGCCTCCAACCCCCGGCTCTCAAAAGATGACCGAGTCCACGCAGCTGTGAGATGGATCTGATGGAAGATCCCAAGTATGCCCACAGCCAATATTGTCCACAGCACAGCTTCCTTACGTCTACACGTCCTTGCGCTCGTCGAGTATGCGTGCATCCCCCTCTGCTCGTAGCTGATTTCCATTCAACATGCCGCGAAGGACGACTCCCCTGCCAACCACCAAGTCCTCCAAGTCGCACAGCATGCGTGGATACGCACCACGCGTGCATGAGCACAGTGGCCGCAGAAATTGCACGAAGCAGCAGAGACATGGACTCCTTCGTCTGCTTCACCAATATCCGCTATGGCAGGCAGCGAGCCACTGGCCAGCCTGGACGGCTCCGAAGAAGATGTTGACAGCCTTTCCAGCTACACCGTATACTCGTCCGCCGACTCCGACGACGACTCTCCTGCCGCCGACGAAAAGCGCAGAATCCGAAAAGAACTTGATGATGCCGCTTTTGCTAAACTCGCGGATCAAAGGGGCGAGGGGGAAAGGACTTTGAAGGAAAGGGCCAAGGAGCGAGAGCAGCGCCGTAGAGAGATGCTCAGTGTCCTCGGGCAATAGCTGCATGTAGTTGCCACGGCCTTCCCGTCCACGGTCATACCAGACAGAGAACAACAAGCATCTCAGAGAGACCGAGTCGAAGTGCTCGAGGAGTACTACTACGATGCTGAGACTCATAAAGCCCGCCAGCGCCCTTTGCTTCAGGACCACACAGCGCCTATAAAGGCTGGCCAAGAGCCTCAAGCATCTGTGCTATCCATTGAACCTTGGAATTCATCGGCACAACCTGATCCAAGGCCAGTCGATGACCCTTCTATGGGAATGGATAAGGATCAAGTGATGGCACGCTGCGGGTCATGCTCCTCTACACCAATCTGTTCAATCCATGGGAAAGGCAAACGGAGCATCTAAGGAGGGGCAAGTTATGCATGGCTCAAGATGGCGGAGCAGGACAAGTAAGTGAAGACGTGAGAACGTTTTTTACATCCCCAATTCATCTAATCTTTGCTGTTCTGAAAGACAATTATCCCTATACATCATCACAAGCAGTGTATTCTCATTAGTATCGATCTTGACCGCCTTCGCCTTCACCTCCACCTCCACCTCCACATAACATACGGCCGACGCGTGACTTCGCGGCAGCGTCGCGGATGCAACGGCCATGCGACGCGGCCGCGCGGAAGACGCCGAAACCGATCAAACAATATCAAACCTCCATTCGGAATAACACTTAACATTCAACATCAATATCTCAGCGGCTGCAATCATGTCTGCTACGACGGACACTGTCAGCAAGAAGGTTGCTGCAAGCATAAGAACATGGCTCGAGAGGTCGCCACCTGAACTCACCTGCTTAACCACGGAAGTTGAAGTGGTCACCAAGCACAGCTTCATTCCGACTGCACTGGCCGTGTTCCTCTTCGGAACCACCATCGTCGCACTGTTGGTGTCCTTGCGTAAGATTTCAGCATCTGTTTCGAATCTCGACTCTCGTTCTGACAAGCATTCAGCGACCCAGAAGTATACACCATCGCAGATCTACGACGGACTTCGTTCTTCACCGTTACCCAAAGCAACTGTTACGCCAGCTTCAACGCTACGAAGAAGTGCATCAAAGTCGTCATTGAAGCAAGCGCCAATTACCTCTACGCCGGCTTCAGCTTCATCTCAGACCGCGCGGCAGATTCATACGCCTTCACAGAGACCGGTATAGAGTCAGAAATGCTGTTGACGTACAGGTGGGATGAGAGGTTGAATTGCAGAAGTACTCTTTCGGCCATGAATGTACGTGAGATGCTGTACAAATTCGCAGCAATCGCAGAAGAATTTCCATGGGCTCTGACCGAAGGGAGATAGTAGGCGGTTGGCGCGACGTACCAGCACGCTACCAGTTTCATGAAGGCAAGGAAGAGGGGAAAGATTGTCCTGAAGATGGGGTTGAAGCCGAGAGAGAGCTCTTGCGTTTGGTCTGGGAGGTTCCTTTATGCGCGCGCTGATGACCGCCCTATTGACCATCAACTCACGCACATACGTGCTGGCAACAGCCTTCTCCAGCTTTTGTGGTATCCCTTTGAGATTCCCTTGCTCTGCGCACTCGTTCGGTTTCCGCTTCTTCTAAGATTTCATCGCGATCGAACTTGGTTGACTCGCCTGTTCTCGCCAGTGTTCGCCCATGTCGGAATGATATCCCATGGCCACCGAAAGGCCAGCCCATGCAGTAATCTCGTGAGTATGCACGTCTGCTTCACGAACAGGTCTGCGCCTTTCGGATCAACTCACTCTCATACCAGTTTGAGACAGCGTTTCCAGCTATCAAGAGCTTATTCGGTATGTTCAAAGTTCCTCAATATCCGATCGGCACCTCATCGCCACGACGAAGAGAAGGGATTGGCCTGCGATAGAATGGCGCTCGTGTGAAGGCAGGATGGAGCGGGGTTCTCGCGCACGCTGGTCTGGTTTGGCTTTCCCACTGCTGAATCCAGCTTTGAAATCGCGGCCTGCCATGCTAAATGCCTCCGGAAAGAAGAGGAGAGAAGGGTGGGTGTAGAATCGCAGTTGCGCTTACGATGCTTCGGATGACGCTGCCGAAGACCCTGATCCCTGCACCGACAGCCTGATCCTGGTCGAGCGGTAGATACAACATCTTTGGGAGGTGTACTTGTCAATGCTGTCCCGCCCACGCCACCGACCTTGCGAGACAGCAGTATGCCACTCACAGTACCAACAGTCCGCCGTGTGGATCCTGTGTACACCACATATGTACGCCCGTACAGATGCACAACACGATCGTCGCGCAGATGGCTGCGAGCACTGAATGGTGGCCTTGGCCGACTAACACCGCAGGATACGAGCGAGTGCGAGGGCTAGCAAGCAGACGAAGACATGGCGAAGGGCACGCACGGTGTGGTACCTATGTCTGAGGATGTCTGAGGTGTAATGTGTGGAGATCAGGGAGGACAGAGGGCCACGGTGTCGCCGGCATATACATCTCTGCATATACCCATCCACGCCGGAACAGACCACGCTTATTCATGCCATCGGATCTGGAAACATCAAGGTGCACACCAAGCTTGAACGAACCAGGCCAGGTGCAAGAGTCGATCAGTGGGTGAATAGCATGCGAACGCGTTGCAGAACGCCCAAAATACATCTTTCCCAACGCCAGCGGCAAGCCTTTCACCGCCAAGACCGTATACTGCGCGAAAGTAGCACTGCGGATATCATAGCTGCTTTCAGGAGAAGCCCAAGGGCTCCACCTCTCCAGACCTTGCACGACAAGTTGAAAAGCGGCCTGTTATCAAGCAGATGGGTGAACATTGGCTCCGATGGAAACTTCTCGCACCGAACCATCGCATCACACGCAGTGTGATCGCCACACTCGTTCTCCCCTTGGGCAGAGAAGCTGTCTGTAGTCCAGAGAAAATTGCCGATTCAGAGTTTACCTGGGACAACCCTCGTTGCCTCCGTCTCACCTTTTCACCTTTCAATAAAGATCATCATCAACCATTCTCCGCGTAGCGAGGTTCCGGGTGGGTTGGCTGTATGGCTGTGGAGCCAAGAGCACCTGGATGAGCACATTAGCCGGCGATTTGCACTGCCGGCCTACCAGCTTGTTCTTTCGTGTAGTGAAAGAGCAGCCGAAGATCCACTGAACCGTTCGCCGTGCATTCCATATCTTGTTGTGGGAGTAGGTACGTACATCAAGGCAAGCGATTGCTTTACAGCTGACTACCGCGATGATTTGGTGTCGCGAAAGAGGGCGTCCATTTGGGGCTTGGGGTGGCCTGACGAGATGGAAAGTAGATATCCTACCGCTGCGCTCAATGTAATTAATTTTGCTCTAGTGCGATCAAAGTTCTTCTTCTAACATCCGATCTCAGGAGCTTTTCGGAACTGGCGAGGTTTTTGGGATTGGCACTACCTCCTCGACTTGCTACTTGGCTGTATGAGATCTGAGAAGTACCTGCACTGAATACAAGAAGCTTGCATCTGGCCAAGCTTCTTGTCTGGCGGCTTTCAACATTGAAGCGCTCTCAATATCCGCGATACGAACAGGATGCTGAAGCATGCGTAAAGAAAGCCAGCCTCAACGTTCGACTCACGCCCAAATCCGTTGAGCGTTCGAAAGCAAGAAAGGAGCGCACCACTACCGCGAGAGCATTCGTAGAGCTGGACTTCAATCCTTCGATCCCAACTTTGACATAGCACCAGGCCAATGCCAACCGACTTTTTCAAATAAGAACTTAGTCCTTCTACCTTTTGAAATCACAGCGGCGAGAGTTTGCGCAAACCAAATCAGCGAGCAGACGCATTCCGAACGTAGAAGAGTCTGGCTACGAGTTCTATCCGTACGTACAGGCTTCCCAAATCCCTTCCAATCTCACTCAGTCAATCTTTTGAACCTGATTCCAATCATTTCGTGAAGAAAAATTACTACAATGCAGTTGGATCCCGCATCTGCTTTCCATGCCAGGTCTATACAGCCCGACGCCTTAGTACCACAACCCATGTCCGTCCTCGCTGCCAGAAATACAATCTCAAAGAATCATCCCCGCTATCCATTCTCCCCGCTTAAATCCAACTCCTTATCCCTTCTTCTGCAAACTCGAATCACTGAAGCCCCGCTTATGACTCGGAGTTTTCGGGGCAGGAGTACTCGGTTGTTGCATAGACGAAGGTCTCTTAGCTAATTTGGGGCTTAAGAGGGAGTCTTTTGCTGCTGGTGTAGACTGCGATTGTGATTTGGACTGCAATTTTGGTATTCGGGTAGGTGTTGGGGTTGGTGTGCTTGGTTCTTTCTTGTCCTTGTCCCTAGCTTGTTGACCGGGAGTCTTGATATAGAGGGTTTTTTGGGTGAGGGGAGTTGAGGGCATTGTCTAAAAATTTTCTTGGTTAGGGGAGAAGATTTGAATTTTAGTTGTAGATTTTGGGAATTTCGTACGAGGTTGGATAGATGGGAGGGATACGATAATAGGATTTCGAGGAATGTTGTAGAGTGGAAGCGTTGTGCTTGAAGCCTGGGGGGTAAGGAGTTGACGTGAAGGGTACGGACGAGCTTCGTTGTACTGCTACTGATTCTAGTAGGAGGCTCGAAATTTCCGTATTTCCAAGGCACTTATACAATGTGGCCGGGGATCGCGAACATCATTCACCACCGCCTGAAGCGCCTAGTGATGCGTGCTAGACATTCACAAACATGTGCCAAATGACGGACGAGCAAGCAAGACGTTGTGGAAAGACCGCCTAATCATTGCTCACAGGGCCGCATTTCGCATGGCAGACGCGCATGACTTCGTGTCGAGTTTGGGATGGGCAAACGATGCTTTGCGAAAGAGATTGCCAGCATTATTCACGATAGATTCCAGGGCCGCATAGCGCTGGGAGGCGCTTATGACTTCGTTCCGAGTTCGGGATGGGCAAACAATGCTTTGCGAGGAGAGATCGCCAGCATCATTCACGATAACTTTCAGGGCCGTATAGCGCATAGCAGACGCTCATGACTTCGTGTCAAGTTTTGGATTGGGTGAATGATGCTTTACGAAGAGAGATTGCTAGCATCATTCACGATCAGGTCGAGTCGCCTTCAACCACTGCCAATGCGGACAAGATAGCAGTATTGTGTCTGCGCAGAAACGGGGTAGAGGTTAGATTCTTTCTAGATGCCGCAGGCGCTACTAGTTCGGCGGTTCGCCTTCTTGGTCTTAGTCCTGCGGTGCTGGCCAAAGAAAGCAGAGCGAAAGCCAGGTATGCCGTAGATTCTTCTTCATCGTAGAACAGCCTCAGACTCTTGACAAAGAGAATCCTGAAGGCCGAGCATTTGCTTGACCATGCGTTGAGATTCTCTCACGGCAGCGCCTTTGCAGAGAAGTACGTCTACCAGTTCTCAGAGTTTGATGAACAGAAGCGAGTGGTTCTTCAGACTGGCAGCGTGGACCAAGTTTCAACTTGTTTTCGCCGGGCAACGTGAAGATGAAGACGAGGCCTGGCTTCCTGCAGCCTTATGACGGTTCGCGAAACGTGGGACCGATCTATGTCGTGGCGCATGGGTCCGAGATTTCGCTTCTGGGCGCATGTGTCGCGGTAGGTCGATGAAAAATTGAGCTCTGCATGTCAGGAGGTACAGTGCCATGTCGTTTCGTGATGAATCGTGAGAAGGGGTTTGACTTTCGGATTTGCTGACTCAGCAAAGCTCACGACTCCAACCTTTGCTCGCTCGGTTCTAATGTGGTAAGGGAATCATTGGCCTACACGCTGTCGCACACTTCACCAAGCGCTGGGACGACCGCCATCAGTCTCGATTGTTATGGCCCATAGCGATATACACGGAGCATGGCCGAGAATAGCACCAACAGAAGACTGACAAACCCGCCATACCACCCAATACCACGAGACGAAGGCCACAGCACGGCTTGATGAGCAAGGACGTGCATAAATACGACCTCAAGGTCTCAAGACATCTGGCACTGTCAGCACTAGCATCAAATACACTTGCTTTCTCGAAAGCAACATTTGATTGTGCGCTCGATTCTTAAGAAGACACAGACAATACGGCAAAAGTTTTGCGCAGATCGGGAAAGGTCTGCTCGGCGGCACCAGATACATACAATGTCTTGTATGCTGTCTCATTCTCGGTTGGGGCACCTCCAAGAGCGTCCAAAATCATACCGATCTGCTTCGGCAAAGGTGTCGTGGGTTGTCTCCATCTTTGACAGGGTTGGATGGCGCATGTTTGGTCAGAGTATGCCAATTCGTCTCCTTCTTCTGCTATCTCCCCTTGCTCTGCAACTCTCTACAGCATTTCCTCCTCTATCTAGCTTCCTCCTTCCTCAACCACAGCCACCGAACCTACACTACTTTCAATCTGTGCTTCAGTCCTTGATCATCGAATGGTTGATATGCGCCAGAGTCGAACGATGCGGTGTTCGCACCTGGCTACGGATCGTACTGGCTCGGGATTGATAGCTGTAGCAGCGAAGATGGGCCCAAGTTGGACTCAAGGTTCAAGCGGAACAGGTGAAGGATCACGATGTCGTCGATGTATCACTTAAATCGATGTAGTGTCGTGCAGCTCGCTTTCTTGTGGGTGCCGCATGCCACGCCATAGGCAAGCTCCAAGATTCTCTGCCTAAGCTGATCATGTTTCCCATCTCCCACAGTCCAGCGGATATCGACACAATAGGCATTCACAATGTCTCCGCCAAGGGTGCTTGGATGCAGCAATGAGTCTTAGACACCTAGGCAAGCTGCATCACTCGCACGGGCGAACTCACCTGAACTGTGCTGGCACTGCCGCATCTCATACTTCTTGTTGAGTGCTCCTTGCTTGCCAGAAGACCTGTTGGATGGAATGATGCGGTTTGACCTATTCTCTACGCTAAGGAGCTGGCGGTAGTCATTGCGCTTCGGACGGATCCCGAAACAATGTCTTTCCGTTCTGAGCAGATCGCGTTCTGAGCAGGTTCGGCCGGTCTGGAGATACAAGACATTGGCGGAATATCGTCAGCTGGCGAGTTCAGATCCGCGATTGTGTTGATGGGCCTTAGAATGAGAGACTGAGAGGAACGGGCTTTGAGTGTTTTTCACAGGCGTTCGCTTGGGATGACTGCTGTATAAACACTGGTGTGCATCGCCGCGAAATCCGCCATCACCCTCGGAGCCTTGCATGTGCGCCGCCGTGAAGGCATTCAACCGGGTGTAGTGCATGTGGATAAGGGGAAGTTGAGCTTTAGGAGTTGAGGCGCGTGGTGCAATGCAGACTTTGCTTACTAATGACGCTTCACCCTTCTGCTTCGATCCATCCCATCCTAGCACTTTCGCTTCATGCACTATGAATTCTGCGTCGCCTTTACCTTGCGCCGCATCGTGTGCTATCCCCCGTCGACCTTCACACTGAATCAGGAGCAGATGCTTTCTTCCACTCCGTCGTCCGCTCCGCCTTGCCTACTGCGCTCCGCCGCGCCCCTCGATCTCTCTCGCGAGAATGCGGCACCCTGCTGCCTCTGAGTACGACATAGCATTGATACCTGTGACGTTTGTTGTGTCGGTAGACTCAAGACGGGGCTGAACTAGGAGAAGGATGTGCTCACCACCATGGTAGTACGGATAGTGATGAGATGGGATGGATGCAGCAGCCACATTTGCAGCGCAAAGTCCGGCGACGTGCTTCTCCTGGGTGTTTGGAACGAGTGGAACATGATACCATGCATTCTATATCATCAATCATTGAGATACCCTTCATCTTCGAGAATGATGATGGTAACGCCAACCACAAAGCAGTGTTCTCTCTTCCTTCACATTCATTCTCACAACATGGAATGTGGGCGGCTGATCAGTGACTACCAACATGAACAACTGACAAAAACAAGCCTATCTGACCTCCTCTAATATATACCTCCACGTTCCGACATCACACCTCAAACCTCCGCGGACCAAGTCCATCTCCGCAACCGAAGCACTCAGACTGACCAAAGGTTTCCCCGGCAAGCGCCGACGACAAGTTCGAAATAGAGAAACCACATGTACTTCATTGTTGCAGCAACGCCTGTGACATGCACCGCTTTGCTCGGACCTGGGGCACTGCTCTATTGGATTGCTCAAGCTGGGATGGATTGGCATGACACTTGCAGTGCGGCAGTCATCACGAGCACAGGAGAGGGAAAGGATTGGAGTAGACGGCCAAGCAAAAGAGGAGGCGCCATTACGACGATTGATCGGAGAGCTCTGCTCAGACTTCTGGCTCAGATTTTCGCAGCTGGGATCGCAACTTTCATAATCGGGCTTCTTGGCATCGTGTTTGCTGTTGGGGTGTGATCGTGGTACGTTTTGCTTGTGCATGCGTGCATCTCTGTGGTGGCCATGCTTGGCGCTGGTCTTGTTGTTGCTGGGGCCGGGTGGCTTACATTTCGCATCTCACCACTGAGCGAAGCCCGGAGTGGGAGGGCTCACAGGCATAGGCGAGGGAATCATGGGCGTTGATGAAAGTGATCCGCAACGACTCCAGCGCACCAGCCAAAGATGGGCTTGGTCATGACACCCACTCTACGTCTTGGCAACGTAAACGGGCATAGGTGTGTTAGGAGATGGTGCTTGGACCTGTTTGTCCTTACCACCGAGGCCGGAGATGATCGGTAAGAGGAATGCAGCGTTCATGTGTCATCCGCTATCTTATTCCAAGAGTTCCTCTGACAGAAAACCCAGGTTTGCCCGCATGTCACTCCCCACACTTTGCTCCAGCATGTCTCAGCTGGAATATGAGGTTAATCAGCACAACTGTGAGCCGAGATGACCTGTAACCTCGCTCATACAAAACCAACGACAACTTCCTACCACACCTGCCACTATGGTACTCAAGCCTCCAGAACCGGCAGAGCTTACCGCACTTCTGTGGGCCCACCAACTCAGGCGAGTCCGGCTTGCTCCTCCGAAGGATGGTCGATGTCAAGCAGGACATGGACGAACTCTCCAAGCAAGTATAAGCACAACTACTTGTCGAAGATGCGGGAAAGATTCAATCTATCACGATGGCGTAGCATGAAGTAGTGGAGGCGCTATAACAGCTTCAATCCCAAACCGTAGCTGTGCGAGGAATCAGTGCCAAGGTCGAGCGGCAGCTACGAAGGGGCGAGAATACAAGTCAAAAATTGAAATGGCATTTCTGAAACGAGCGGGCTGACTCTAGCAGCAAAAATCCCCAAATCCTCTTCAAGTTTTATACGCATCTACCTGCAGATACAACTGCAGTACTTCAGTTCAAATACCTTCGAACCACCCGCAGTTTCGACACCGACCTTATTACAGCAAAGCAAAGCAAGCACCAGGTCCCTTCGCGGCGTGAGTGAGGACTGGTTGGTAGGATTCTTGGGGGTGGGGGAATAGGTGGGGGAGGAGATGGATTGAATGTCGGAAGTTAGTTGAGATTGGAGAGGAGTAGGAGGGAATTTTTTTTGTACACGCTTATCAGGTCAAGGTCCGATTGTGGTGGTTGTTAGTTATGATCTTTCTCGTGTACGTCGGCAGATTGCAAGATGGCTTTTTTTAGTATTGTGGAGGAGGAGGAGTAGTGATAAATTTGGATATGTGGGGTTGGTAGCTTCTTCTTCGGGGGTGATCGGGCCAGTTTGCGATACTCTGAGTATCACTGTCGTTATCTGATTCGGCAGTAGTACCGTGGTCGGCGTGATGGTGGTCGTGAGCAAGGTCCTGCTAACGGCGGCTCCTAGTCTTGTCCGCATCTGGGTGACGATAATGAAGGTCGGCAACAAGAGCGGGAGCGTGCTTGATGGTGAGATGTGCGGGCTCCTAAGTAGTCGCATTATCGTTTTGCCATTGAGCGAGGTTCTGCAAGCGGAAAGCGCTTGTGGTTCTAGAATCCAAGATACTGGCAATCTCGTCCTGCTACGAAATCGGGATGGTCGCTGAGCTATAGCCTCGGTGGTCAGGCTCGAGACGTGATGCATAGAGTCTTCCAGCAAAGCCTTGGTCTGCATGTTTTGATAGGGGTGTTTGAAGACTTAGTATTTGCGAAGAATCCAGGCGAGGAGACGTTTCTTGTGGTACAGCTCTTGGGCTTCGTCGTCGGCAGAATTGAGCCTGTGGAGAGTGCTGAATTCGGTTGACGTCAGATGTACAGGAAAGGACAGTTTGAGTTCTTCAAAGAATAGATGATGGGCTTGGCGGCTTTGTAGTCGAGAACGGGTGGAGCTATGTCGAGAGTGGAAGTGTATTGGAATGTAGAGGGATGTGGAATGTGGGTGAGAAGTATGCTTGATTTAATCGATGACTTAGAGATAAGTTATCAATTCTGCAGGAGTGGAAAGTTCGTAATGGAAAGCGGGAATGAAAAAAGAGGAATACTCCTTTTTACGCAAGATACGCGCTATATCGGCGTGATGTGATGTTTGGGTTGTTTGGTCGGTTTCGTGTGTCGAAGGCATACGCTCGCGTGTTGTTAGATGCGTAGGTAGAACGTTTGAATTGGATATGAAGAATCGGCATACGAAAGCGGATTCTACTAAGGTAGTAATGCTGGTATAGATGTAGAGTTGCTCTTGCTACTGCTTTCGCCTCAATCATCTTCACATGTGATGAGTGTATGCTTGGCTTTGGGGAGGAGGAGGAGGAGATAGCCTCGCTATTTCGCTACGCATCGCGCTGGTATCGTGTGTCGCGCCGCGTTGTCGGATAGCGTCGCGCCGCGTTGTCGGATAGCGTCGCGCCCAGAATGATCGCAGCTGAGTGTGGTGCTCGGTGGAGATCATCTCCGTCGCCGTCGCCGTCGCCGTCGCCGTCTGCTTGCAAGCCGTCGTTGTATTTTGGAGGTTGAGATGGACCCTGCAGGGTCCTGCCAGATTGACTTTGTACGTGCGCCCCACAAGCCCCGCTGGTTCCCGGGGGTGAGAGCGGAGTTCATCATCTCCAGCCTCACGTCACCCTTCCTCTTCCTCGATCATCATCCTCATCCTCCCATCGCATCTTCTACTCTTCATTCATTCACTCATTTGCCAACTCTTCCGCAACACCTCACTAGCGCTCGCTGCTTCATGTCCACCATGCCGTCTCCTCAAACCAATCTCCGCACCATCTCGTCGCCCTGTCCTTCAACGCCAACTCGGTATTGCTTTCATCACTCCCATTTGCAGTCTTCAACAGGAAGGCCTTCTCATTAGCTCATTACAGACTTGGCCAGAGATGTGATTGGCAACCCATCAGCATCGAGCTCTCGAGCCAGGCAAATAGACGTCATCCTGGATACCAAAGGTCCGGCAACAACTCTTCTACATTGATCTGTTCATATCAACCTCCTCTCAGCAACAACTCTTCTGTGTTGATCAGATCTGTTCATTTCAACTTCCTCTCAACAACAACTCCTCTGTGTGGATTCGTTCATCAACTTCCTCTCTCTCGTATCGAGCCTCCTCTTTCGTTCCTTCTTTTCCACCCAGCTCACTCGCTCTTACATACCACGCCTGCTTACCACTACCCATCATTCAGCAAGAATCACTTCTCCGAGTATGTATTTCTCTCGTCTCGCCCACATTCAGGCGGCCTTGCTGCTGGCTGCTCACTGCTGACTGCTGACAGCTGACTTCAACTCTGCCAGGCGAACCTTGGAAGTGGATTGAATATGTGTCTTGCGGTTCTTCTCTTGCTGACAGTCTTGCCATGAAGCTCGGCTTCTACTCCGGCCCGGTTGATGCGGATCTGGGCTGTCCATCCAAGCTCTCGTACAACGACCCTGCTTCCAAGCCTTTTGTGATCAACACAGCTGCTGATTATCGCACCTACGCCTGCGCATGTTCTCGCTGCCTTTCTCAATCAGCTGAACATTCCAACCTGCTATGGCCCTCAAGTCTAGAGCGACATTGCAAAGCGTATTGCTGCCACCATTGACATGTTCGGACTTGCTGGTCCCTCCGTCCGCTCAGTCAAGACCAATGTCAATGGTCGTACAATAGGGTGGACAAACATAGTCAATGCCTCCATCTCAACTCTTGCAGCTACTGGCGCCTTTGAAGCCTCATTTCCGGAAGCTGGTTGGACCATCTCGGGCTCGCCTATCCAGGTATTGCCGCGCACCCTAGTTTTGCAACGCTCTGAGATGCGTTCTACCACACCGGTTGAGACTTTACCTCTACGACAGCATTAAACACCTCCAGCTCTGGTCCCCATCACGTCGACACTTATGAAATCCGCCTTGACGGTCACGACGGCATTCTCGACGCCTATAGTAGCCGCCTCATCACCCACGAGAGCCGTCACGACAACACCCTTGAGACTAATGGCAGCCGCCTCAACACCCACGAGTCTCGCCTGAACACCCAGAACCGCCGCCTCAACACTTCCGAATCTCGCCTCAACACCCGCAGCAGCCGCCTCCATACCCATGAGTCTCGTCTGCATAACTAGTGCTGTGACATTGCTCACAATACCTACGAAATCTACACGATCAAGTCTGATGCCAAGAAATCTGTCGGCAATCTCGTTGCCAACTTCAAGCGCCTCGCCGAGAAGACGTCAGGTATTGACCTGCACTTAGCACAGCAGTCCGCTAAGCTCAATTCTTATGGGAAGGCCATGGATCGCATGAAGGATGTCACAACCTCCCTTGCTCGTAACTCATCCATTCGTAACGATCACATTCTCGGTCAGCAGAAGTCGATTGATCAGAACCAGGTGGCATCTCTGGCCCTGGCAAAAGACATCACAGACCGTGACCAGACTCGGGAGAAATACATCACCGATAGTGAGCGGGCCATACAATCCTTGACTAAGAACATCAACCAAAACAAGCTTGCTATCCTCTCTACTTGGCCAAGGGCGTCCAGGACCGCGACTAGATTCTCCAGGACTCCACCAAATCCCTCTCCAAGCACGACTCCGCCATCGAACTCAACAAGAAAGTTACGCAATCCTTGGGCCGAAGGCAACAAGAACTTCTCCAAGTGCCTCTCCGCCCACTCCTCCGCCATCGACCTCAGCAAGAAAGCCACGCCATCCTTGGCTCAAGGCACCAAGGACTTCTCCAAATTCCTCTCCACCCACTCCTCCGCTATCAACCTCAACAAGAAAGCTACCCAATCCTTGGCTTAAGGCATCGAAAACTTCTCTAAATTCCTCTCCGCCCACTCCTCCGCTATCGCCCTTAACAGGAAAGCAACGCAATCCTTGGGCCAAGGCTTTAAGGCTTTTACCACCTCCCTCTCTACCTACTCCTCCGCTATCGCCCTTAACAAGAAAGCAACGCAATCCTTAGGCCAAGGCATTAAGGCTTTCACTACCTCCCTCTCTACCTACTCCTCCGCTATCAACCTTAACAAGCGCTACTCTCTCCCTCTCCTAAGGCCTTAAATCTTACGACACCCTCCTCGAATCTCTTTAGTAAGGCAGCTACAACGTCGCCACTGTCAGCTCCAAAGTCGATGCCATGTCGGAAGCTTTCGCTCGGCGTGATGATGTTCCAACGGCGCACGAATCGGCTTGCGTTGCCGGGGAGTTGAATGCGTGCTTGGGGGAGGCAGAGGGAGGTTGTAGGTGAGAATTGAGAATAAGAGAATGCGAGAATGCGAGAGGATTTGGGATTATGGGGTTTTTTTTGGTTCTAGGTACGTGCTAGTTTGTGGCAAAGGTAGATAGAGCTTGGGTAACGCCTCGCGTTGGAGTTGTATCGTTTTGCGGTATACCTCCGCGCCGAGTCAACGGCTTTTCGTCTACTTGAACGTTATTAACTTGGTCGGGTGAAATCTCTCGCAGGATGAGAATTGTCACGAGATCTGAACTTGCCGCTTCCCCTCGTCTAGTTTACAATTCAGCTAGAGAGAGTGTGTCGTCTCGGATTCCTGGTATGGTGGATTGCTCGTTCGCATTTCGTTTCGGAACTTCCTATCTCGTTTCACTGGTATTCCGTCTAGTATGTGTTGGATGCCAGACTTCTGTTCGGATGAGAAGTGTCTGGTTTGCCTAGTCAGCTCACGATTCAGCCAGAATGCCGTCTCGTATTCTTGGCATGATTGATTGCTCGTTCGCGTTCGTTTCACAATTCGGCCGGAATGTGGGATAAGAGTTCCTGGCAGATCGAGTGATCGTTCTATCTAGTATGACTTGGATGCAGGTGTGGATGTGGTTGAAGCTAAGCTGAGTGTTGGCGTGGAGCAGAGCTTTAGATGCTGGCATTCAATCGTCGGCGCTTGCGGTTCTCGCCTGGCTTGAGTAGTTGCCCGCATGCAACTGAGCCTTTCACCTGGTTTGATGTAGTTTGACTTGATGCTAGCGTAGAGGTGAGCTTTGGCTGCTAGCATTCGTTTTGCGCTTAGCGTTCCATCGAGTATGAGTTGGATGCAGGTGTAGGTATGGGGTGTTCGCTTGGTCCAAGCGAGTTGAGCGCTTGCGTGAAGTTGAAATTTGGCTGCTAGCGTACGATCGGCGCTTGGCGTTATGTCTAGTACGAGTTGGGATCAGCAGGTGTGGTGTGGATGCTGAGCTTTTCACCTAGTTTGACTTGATGTTGGCTGGCGTGGAGTTGAGCTGCTTTGACTGCTGGCGTACGATCGGCGCTTGCGATTCTCGCGAGCCAGGCATAAGTGGTGCTGGCATAAGTGGTTGCTGGCATTAGTAGTTGCTACTATGAAACTTAGCTTTTGACTTTGGTTAACTTGGTTCGGCGTAGAGTTGAGCAGTTCCCTACCGACGGCTATGCTGATATTATAGACGATTTGAAAGAAGAGGCTCTAATAACTTCGCAAAGGTTGGAGACGTTAATCATCTTTGTGATTGAGTGCGCTAACTTGATCAATTGTGAAGGCAGGCAGGCGGGTTTGAGACTATCAATTTGATAATGCTATATAAGCAGCGTTGTTAGACGCCAGATATGGGATGCACGATCGACTCAGCAGAAGATTGGTATGAATTAGGTGCTGTCTAAGCAGCCTTGTCAAACGTCGGATGTGCGATCCACTCAGCAGAAGAGCGGTATTGATTGGGTGTAGAAGTAGGAGAGCGGTGCCAATTGAATCGGGAGTGCGGCGTCGTGAGGCCATGTTTCTTGTTGTTTGTGATCCCTCACTGCCAAGTTATCGATAGAATCAGGCTAGAAGCTGAAAGCAAGCTGTACAAAGACGCCAAGTGATGTCTCTTGAGACTGAGTGCTATTGGATTGGTCGGAGGAAGTTCAAGTTGCAGCGGGCTCGCATTCGCTTTTGCTGAGAAAGATACATGAGCAAGGCCGAGTGACGTGTAGGCATTCACCTATCGCCACGTTGTTGCTTATACTTCTTTTGGCTGCCGCAATGAGTGAAAGTTGAAGTTGTGCCCGGTTTGCATTCGGTTTTGCTGGGAAAGATGCATGAGCAAAGCAAGGCTGAGAGATGTGCAGGCATTCACCTATTGCCACGTCGTTGCTTGTGCTTCTCTTGGCTGCTGCGCTCGGGAAAAGTTGAATTTGCACCGGGTTCGCATTCATTCTGCTAAGAAGGATACACGGGCAAGGCTGAGTGATGTGTAGGCATCCACCTACAGGGTCTCCTATGCATTGGAGAAGCCGCTCAGTAGTGCTTCCTTCCCGACTGAGGTACTCGTTGAGGGCAGATTTGCTGTGATCTTCGCGCAAATCCGTCCGCAATACGGAGTGCGTTGAAATGACCAGGAGACGATGGCACAGTCCCCATCCTGGTATCCGCCTGGCTTCGCAAATGCATAAGACAGCCTGTATTGCCACGTTGTTGATTGTGCTTCTCTTGCTAGGCGTATTGGCACTGCCGCGGGAGGCGGTCGCTCGGAGAAAGCAGCTTTGCTCCAACTTCTTTCCAGGTCTATACACATGCCAGGTCCTCAGACGGTTCGGGGGTGATGGGCGAGGCTGAATGATATGCAGGCATTCATCTATTGCTTCGTTGTTGATTGTGCTGTGCTTGGATGGCGTATTGGCACTTCCGCGGGAAAGTACATTTCCTCCAACTTCTTTCCAGATTCATACACATCATGCCAGGTCCTTGGACTGTTCGGGAATGATGAGCAGGTCAGGATCGGTATTCACCTATTTCCACGTTGTTGGTTGTGCTTCCGCGCTCGGAGAAAGTAGCTTCTCCCCAACATCTTCCTAGATCTACACAGATCATACCCAGGTGCCTTTTACGTAGCGGCACCAGCATTGCCACTGGTGTTCGAGATAGTGATGTATTCTTTTGGGCTTGAGTTTTCCATCTCTTGCCCTCTTCCAAGATCCTTGATTAAAGACGAGACAGATTCAAGACCAGTGACTGTTACGGTCTTGACGCACAATAGGTGTAGGAGCTGGGGGCTGATTGTTGTGTTCGTATCAGTTTCTGGAATCCCGCAATCCCCGATTGGCGATCCATACCGTCCAGCGTCGGGGAAGGACAGCGAGATATGAGAACGAAATCCTGCAGCTCCAACAGTGCCCAAAAAGTGCCGGGATATGGTTGCCAGTAAGTGCCGTTCCCACAATTCCAGGACGTGCAATGCCGAATACTCCTCGTATTTGGAAAGGAATGTGAGGCAGAAGTCTCGTCATCACCACATCGATATCATACCGTTCGTGCTGGGATATAGTTACCAAGAAGTGCTGTTCACGACATTCCAGGACGTGCAATGCCGAATACTCCTCGTATTTGGAAAAGAATGTGAGGCAGTCTGATCATCACATCCATAGCATGCCGTTCGTGCTGGGACATGGTTGTCAATAAGTGCTGAATACGCCTTGTATATGGGAAGAAATCTGAGGCAGAAGTCTCGTCATCGCATCGATGGCATGTTATTCGTGCTTGTGGCGATACATATACTGCTCCCTCGCAACTCATCAGCGAGTGTGAGACCGGGCATTTCGATGGTGAAAATTCGTGAGAAGTCTCGTCATGACATCTATAGCATGCTGTTCGTGCTTGTGGAGCTACACATACTGCACCCTCGCAACTCATCGGCCAGTGTGAGACCGGGCATTTGGATGGAGCCTGGGCCGGACATGGTTATCGAGAAGTGCCATTCCCACCATTCCGGAATATGCTCTGCCGGATACTCCCTGAACCCGAGAAGAAATGGGAGGCAGAAGTCCAGTCATCATGTCAATAGCATGCCATTCGTGCTGGAACATGGTTGTCAAGAAGTGCCATTCACACCATTGGTGCCGAATCCCCCTCACATTCCTCAAGAAACGTAACCCACTTTTCCCCATCATCACATCGACCCTACCCCATTCGCACTCATACCACTACAAACACTCCTCTCTCTCCCTCTCATCTCCTCAGCGAGTGTGCGAACGCCGGGCATTTCCATCTCCATGTCGAGATTGCTATTGCCATTCTCAACAAAATACTGCTGGAAAATTCCGACGTCCTGGAGAACTGAATGAGCAATATCCGAATTCGAGCGAGCAACCTTGAAAAGTTCGCCGCGGTGTTCGTTCAAGAGGTGTGTGGTGTGTTGGCGCCAATGGGCGAGGGTGCGGAGGTAAAGGTGAAGCCAGGGTAGGAGATCGTCGTTCGTTGCCTGCGGACTCGCTTTCTCCATGCCATGGTCCTGATCATGATCCTGATCCTCATGCCGCCTTGCTAACATCTCTTTCTCTTTCTCTTCCTCCTTCAGATGTTGCGCCGCCGCCGCATCCCATGGTTTCCACCCATCGGTGAGCTTTCGTTGGCTCTGTACCAGTTTCATCCAGCCTTGCTGTAGAGCTTACTCTTGTTGGCGGAGCTTTTCGAGAAGTTGTTCCGCAAGCTCCTTTCGTTGGATCGCATATTCGATTTCGCTTTCGCGTCTCTTGAGTAAGCGTTCCTGTTCATTCAATCCCGCGCTTCGTGAGGTTCCCCCATCGTGAACATGGGGATGTGCACTGATAGCGCTGCTGTGAGCGCGAGCGCCTGCCGCGAGTTTTGGGGTTCTCGTTCGTGTCTGCGCACCTTTCGCGCGACCAGGAGGCTTGCGCTGCGCTGCTGCGCGTCGTTGAGAGTAGTAAGATCGAGCAGTCCAAGCCGCCGGGGAGTGTCACGGCGTGGGGATTGCCTGGAAATTGCCCACTGATCGGCAGAACTGTAGGTGACTGGACTTGTGGTTGATCAGATTGTTTCTGATAGTTCGAGATGTGGGTTTGGAGGTCTGCCTTGTCGGACTGGAGGTGTTCGATTTCGCGGAGGTGGTATTCGGTGAGTCTCGATTGGGCGGCATGCTCGATTTTGAGCCATAGCAGATGTTGTTCGAGTTCGGCGGCGCGGCAGCAGTTGTGAGAATATGGCTGAGCTTCTTCCTCTTGCATTCGCACTTGTACTCGCACTTCTCCGTCTCCGCCTCCTTGTACTCGTGCCTCTAAGTCCTCTCCGTCTTGACCTCCGCCTTCGCCTTCACCTTGCACTCGTCCCTCCACGTCCTCTCCGTCTCTACATTCGCCGTGCACTCGTCCCTCCACAACCTCCCCGCCTTCGCCTTCGCCTTCGCCCTGCGCCCGTCCCTCCACATCCTCTCCACCTTCACCTTCACCTTATTCGACGGCAGTGACGGCGGCAGTGGCAGTGGAATCGACTTGAAGGCTGTCGAGCCGGGCAACCAGGCTTTCTTGACCATTGAAGCGATCGGCGGGGCGGTCGAGAGCGGGAACGGCCGATTGGTCGCGGGCAGCGCAGGCTTCGACTCGGCCTTCATCTTCGTGCCCGAGCCTACCTCAATATCAGGCGCTCCACTAAAGACTTCTTTCCTTACGTGAATTAGACTACTGGTATGTGCGTACGGAGATTGAACATCCGATATACTATGCTCTATTTGGTATAGTGTAGTTGCGAAGTCTTTAGCGGAGCGCCTAAGAGATAATATCGCTAAGACGTAGGGTTTCCCTATAGAGGTAGTATACCTAAGTCCACTATATCGATTATAACAATGTAGGCCTATATCGCACGGCTTAACAATGTATAAACTAGCTCTACGAAATTTCGCGAATATTTTAAATATATATATTAGATATAGGTAGCGTAAAAGATGCGGATTTAATTCTCGGTAAACTATAACTCGGGTTTCCCTTTAACTCGTTTAACTACCCTCTTCGCGTCTGTTCGAGCAAACGACATATAAAGACTTACCTAATAAAGAATACGCGCTTTATCTCCGCGACGCGCTCTATAACCTCTAAGTGTCCGCTTTTCCGATTTGTATTAACTTACATTATTTCTAGCTAAGGTAGGCTACTAAAGCCAAAATTCTATTAAAGTATCAAACTAACCTACCTACTAACACCTATATACTAACAACCTTCGCAATATATCTTAATACCCTCCGCGACCCTTAAGTATATTAAATTCGTACCCTCGAGTGTTTAGTAGCTATAGCCGACGACTAGCTATAGTAGCGCTAGATTTAGCGCGGCGATCCTGCCTTACGTATCGATCTAGAAGGCAGCGATATCGATAGCGTATAATATAAGAGCGATAATGCCGACGGTTTCTAGATCTAAGTCGAGCGCGAGTCCGCTCGCCGCGATATATAGTCTATACGCTAGGAGCGCGGCCTAATATATGCTAACATCTGCCGCCGCTTAAAGGCACACCGCCGCGAGTCTATTGCCTCTGTTAGCCGCCGTCTATATATTTAGTAGCAGCGCCTTAAGGAATTATATCGGGTACTATACGAAGAAGATAAGTACGAGGATAACGAGTACGAAGATAATAGGCTAAACTTTCCGTACGAGGAAGAGTCGGATACTAAGTCGGATACTAAGTCGGATACTAAGTCGGTCGATAAAGATAGTATTCCAATCGCGCGCCTACCTATATACAATCTACCTCGCTTCTTCGGTAGTAGCAAGCTCTAGGCTCTACTAGACCCTTCGATAGAGACCGACCGATCTAAGATATCTAAGAAGAAACGCAAGCAATTCGATATCGAGCAGAAGAATGCGCGAACAGCTACGAAGAAGGCGGCCTCTACTACTGCTACGGCTGCAGCTAGTCCGTTATTTACACTAGGTATGCTATAGAAGTAGGCCTTTATACGCGCTTAACCGAATTATAGACTTCTAGAGATTCTACTGCTACCTAATAAGGCCTATTAGCGAGCCTACTTTCGTACTCGATATAGGGAGATTAATAGTGCTAACCCCTATACACTAAAGCAAATCTAGCAACTTGTATAGGACGTTAGTTACTACCCGGAGGTTAGCAATAACATTTAGCGTAGTATAGTAAAGGAGGCTCTCCGCTAGTGTCTAAAGCGGCTGCATCTAAATAAGACACTTAATCTACGAGAGTTACAGGTTGATATTGTTAATACTCTAATCTTCGCTTAGTTAGATATACTCTAGATCGCACGTACTAGTAAGGGCAAGAGTCTTAGATTCTAGGCTTTTACTATAATAACTAGATTAATAACACTATAGATCGTCCCTCTTAATCGTCTAGGTAAAGAGTAGATAGATAATGTTAACCGTATAAATATATAAGGCACTACGACTACTAGCTTGATCCGATTATACTATATCGATATAGAGGTAAAGAAGTTGGATCCGTAGATCCTCGAGAAGATCCGCAACGGCGATTACGACTATATTGTCCTTAGTCTAGAGTAGGTATACTCCCTAGAGTTCAAGGCCCTACTACGAGACCTAGCTATACGCGATCGTATTAGGGCCTTTATTATCGACGAATGCTACCTAGTTAAGAAGTAGGGAGAGAAGTTTCGACTAGAGTATATCTAGGTTAAGCAGCTCCGAAGCTTACTACGTCGAGATACGGTCTGCCTTTATACCTCCGCGACTTTGTCTAATAATACGGAAGCCTTTATACTTACGTACTACGGTCTTCGTCCGAAGGGATTGGAACTGTATTAGACTAAGGTTATCCGTAGTAGCATCGATCGATACGATACTATATACATCCTAAAGACTATCCCGTTTAACTATCTCTCCGACTACGACTACTAGTACTTCCTTGTCGATAAGGCGATCGGTACTAACGGGTAGGCAACGCTATATCTAATCCCGAAGACATTGGCATTTGTCGATAGTCGGAAGCATATCTAGAACTTCATTAATATCGTACGCTAGTAGCTAGTAGACAAGAGCACTACTGCTAAACTCGAGAACCTAGATCTCGACCCTAAGATAATATATACCTAGGATAATAAGGGCATTAACGTTAAGAAGACCGTATCTTAGTATACTAGCACTGTCTTAGTATACGATTAGGCTAAGCGATACAAGGAGTATACTAAGCGCGATAAGTCGGATATAGACTATACTTAGATTCGTATTATAGGTGCTACGACCTCTATAAGTACTAGCATTAATATCGGTAATATCGAATATGCGATCTAAGTTAAGATAGCTATTACTAAGGATATTAAGGATGTTAACTAGCGCTTAGGTCGTATCGGTCGTTCCTTACTAGAGGGCAAGCGAGTATATACGTTCCTCTTCTTGCTATACTATATCGACGATACGGTAAAGACGGCAAAGGACGGCACTATCGGTATCGTCGAGAGCTCAACTATAGCCGCGTAGCGTCGTAGGAATCGTCGTCGTCGTCGCTGCGCGAATACTAGACCGAGTATATTAAGCCGCGAGATGCCCGGTAAAGATGTCGGTAGTATTAGTAACTTTAATAATATATCCGACCTAGAGTCGCTCTTCGGCTCTAATACTAGTAATAGCCTAGATACGAGCACCGCCCCTATAGCAGCGGGTCCTAAGGAGTCTCTATTCGGTAGATACGATGTGCCTATTAATAACAAAGGCAAGAAGAGCAGAAAGAAGAAGGATAATAGCTAGAACAATACCGAGCTTAGGTAGCGTAAGGAGATCCCTAACATCTTCCTCTCTATATATAACGACTACCTGCGCGACAATAGCTACTGCCCTCGCGTAGTAATAAATAACTTCCTCGGAGAAGCTCGCAGCCTGTACCTACTAGAAGGCCGAGCTAGTAAGAAGGAGTGTTGCAACATCTGCAACCCTAAGTTGTTTAAGATCCTACCTATAGTACTAAAGCAACTAAAGCTAGTTTCAAAGCTAAGCAGACTAGGATCTCGTATATACTACGGCTTGCTACCGATAGTTAAGTAGTGCTCGGTGTAAGCAAACAAGTTGCTAGAGTATACCGGCATACGCTCCTTCAATATGCCTACCTAATACTTTATACCTAACACTCTCTAGTAGCAGCTTATAGAAGTCTTTACTCTAGCTAAGAATCTAGATAATTAGGATACTAATATTAAAGGCTACCTCGCAGATACAGACCTAGATACTACCGAAGGCAATCTAGTACGTATAGCGAACGCACTAGTATATACTAAGGTCCTATTGCTAAAGGATTAGAGTCGATAGGACAGGATTCCTAATCTTATTGTCGCACTTAAGGGCATAGCTACTAAGGTCTTTAAGGATGTATCGACGGCTTAGGCTAAGTATACAAAGCGGAGTTAGGAGCGGAAGGAGGCAGAGGCTAATAAGAAGAAGGTAGAGGAAGAGGCCGCAAAGGCTACTAAAGAGTAGGCTGCTGCTAGTCTACTAAAGCTATTAACTCTAGAAGAGTAGCGAGAGCTCCGAGGCTAGATGTAGAAGAGCATCTCGGAGGTAGCAAAGACTAAGTCGTATCGCAAGTAGGTAGCTATTAGTTCCCTCTTACGTAGGCACGTCTAGAGCTAGCAAGGCGGAGCTGCTCCTAGACCTTCTATACCTAGACCTTCTATACCTAGACCTTCTGTACCTAGACCTTCTGCACCTAGACTAGCTCCTAGACTAGCTTTTAGATTATCTGCCGCTGCTAGATTATCTCGACAAGCTCGTAAGCTAAAGCGTAAGGCAAGCAAGCTATTAGAGGTTCTCCGAAATGCCTTCGCTACCGAAGCAGCTACTTCTATTAGCATAACAACTGTACAAAGCTCGGACACGGAGGATGCTTCTACTATCAGTTCTACTATACCGCGTCTACGCTTGTTCTCTCTAGACCGTAACACTCCCGTCGACCCGGTAGTAGTATAGGAGATGCTTAACCTAACTAATCGCGAGCAGCGCAACTTAGTGTCCCGGAGCAGTCGTATTAGAAAGGTAACCGCTAGGGGTAAGCAGGTTTAGGGAGCTAGTAGTCGTAAGAGAAGCCTAAGTCTTGCTAGTCTTACTAGCTAGGGAAGTTAATCCGATATAGGCTAGGATTAAGGGTCGGGCATATTCCCTACTACTCTTCTATTGTGTTATTGCAAGCTCGCTACTATATAGAAGCTGCTATATAGAATTAGCGCTAGAATTGGCGCTAGAATTAGCATTGGAATTAGCATTGGAATTGGTATTAGCACTAGAATCGGCATTGGAATTGGTGTTAGAATTGGCATTTAATAAGGTCCTTTATTACTACCCTTCTATTATGTCCTTATAGGCTCGCTATGTAGGCTCTTCTATTATGTCCTTATAGGCTCGCTAAGTATGCCCTCGTAGTCGAGTATATTGCCTTAGCTATTAACGCGCTTGTCGGTAGTCTTAGTCGTACGTCGATAGCTAAATAGTATACTAGCTCCTCGCTACCTTCTATTATGTCCTTATAAGCTCGCTAAGTAGGTTTGCCCTCGTAGTCGACTCGTAGTCGAGTATATTGCCTTAGCTATTAATGCGCCTCGTAGTCTGTCTTATATAATAGTCGATAGTTAATAGTCGTAAAAATCGTATATAGGAGCTAGTCGAGAAGCGTAAATTCGAGGAAGCGATAAGGATACCGAGTCCCGCTAAGACCCCGGATTTAATAGAGTAGAGCGCTTAATTAGTAGGATTAAACGTTATAACTGCTTCCTTCCGCGTATTAATAACACCGACTTTTACGACTTTTACGACTTTCACGACTTTTACGACTTTTATAATAGTATATTACTAATGTAGCGAGATACGTCGATTAAGCGCATTTCTAGCAAATGGCGCTAACAAAAGTGTCTAATACGATAACGACGGCCGCCTTAGGTACTAAGAACCGCCTCTGAAACTCGAGAAGTTACTAACACTACTAACACTAACACTATACTTATTGCACCGCAGCTATTAGCACTACAATATATACGGTAAGGATAGATACGTAGAGCGATAACATGCATCGAGCGCTCGTAAAAGCACCCTTCGAGAAGCTACGACAGCCCTCTTACGTTAACGCCCTCTATTGCTTAGACTCTCCCTAGAACGATCATTCCGATAACTAGTTACTATATAAGGTAGAGAAAAAACGAACAGTAGCGTCCGGGGATCTGTTTAACTAGCGGCACTAAGCGGCTATAGAAGCACACGCCTAGAAGCACACTAGAATTACACATAGCCTATATGCTACGCGCAATGCGCAACAATTAACGCATTCTATTACTAACTATAGTACGTATAACCGAAGACAAGGTATATAGGACGGGACTTATTAAGCGAAACACGACAGCGATTGCTAAAGCGACACTTATTAGTACCTAGATAACAATAGAGTGTAACCGCGCCCTTAGTATCTCTAAGAGACACCGTAGAAAAAGGTTGTCGAGCGCAATGTTAATACGCTTACGCACTACAGTCGGATAGTAGTCTTAATACGCTCGGTTCGGTTCGGTACGTACTATAGTCGAATAGCAGTCTTGATGCGCTAAGCGGCGTACTTAAAGGACTGCAGTCGTATAGCAGTAAAGACTAAGACTAAGCGCCTTCGGGCTTAAGTATATAGAGGCCCTTACGCAACGACTAAGGTTATATCTAATAGTCCTAACGAAGGCGTTACGCCGACTTAACTAGATACGTTCTCGAGAGCTATTATCCTATAAAGAATCCAAACGTAGGAAGCCTATAGCAATGCTACGAACCTATCAACTACTTAGTAGGAGAGTCGCTATCGAGCCGCTACTTAAGGTATACCTTACTAAAGAGTTTTTACCGAGTTAGACCGTCGGCCGTATTATAGGTATACCTTACTAAAGAGTTTTTACCTCCGCCAATCTATCTAAGACCTCTATAGTTTGCTGTACTAAGACAAGACTGCGATCTAACAATAATAATAACTATGCTCTTTTAGTTAAATACGCAGTCGGCGCCTGCTAAAGCTATAGAAAACAACCTACTCGCTAGGAGAGTCGCGTTCGTAACGTCTTGCTTAGTAAAGCCTATCGGAGACCAACCTCGAAGGAAGGACTAAATAAACTACCTACCGAGGAACCTTAACTATTAGATAAGCGGCTCTGTCGGTAGTAAGCCGCAGAACTAGCAAGGAATAGTGTTAATCGCTATAGAGCTACCTATATGCGACAAAGAGGTATCGACACTATTGCTAAGAAGCCGATAGCTAGTGTATTGCTAGGGGTGTTAGTGTGTTAGTGTGTGTATATATAGAAGAAGAAGAAGTTAAACTAGAAAGCGGAGGTCTATATACGCCTCGTAGGTAAGGTCTGCCTCTACTAATAGCAGCGCGACAATAGTAAGGCAATAATAACGGCTATCCTTCGCTATACTCTCGAGGCAAGAGCGGCGAGCAGTTCACTATATTAGTGCCTAAGGTTATAAGGCTAAAGAGGATATGGATCCGAGACAGTATGTATTCGATCTACGTATTCGATATAGTAACCTAGTAACCCTCTACTCTACGCTTTACTCGAAAATCCTTTACCTCCGCTAGTACCCGAAACACCTCCGCTAGCACCCGCACTAGCACCGTTATCTCCTATTAGATCGAGCATAGCATTAGTAGCTGCATTAGCCTATATATCGTCGTATCCCTCTATCGTAGCATTCTCTAATAGACTACGATCGACTCTAGTACGGTTAAGCGCATTAGTAGACCTATAAGCTGTGTCTTCTATTATAGACGGCCTACTATCGGCGTAGCGCTTATAGATAGCATTAATCTTAGCTACTTTATCTAGCAGTATGTTAATACCAATCTAGTGGATATCGATAGATAGGACACTATTAGTACTATCCTTCTTAGTTAGGCTATCCGTAACGAGTTTGTCTGCTAGACTAAATACATTATTAGTTGCATCCTTACTGCGGTGCGCACTATTCGGCTTGATATTGCTTAGACTAGTCTCGAAGATAGCTTTTACAACCCGAGACGACTCCCGATTCAATGCTACTTTCTTAAAGGTCGCTATAATATCGTATATCGAGTTTCCGAAGTACTTATAGTCCTTAGAGTAGTCTAGGTTATGCAATTCTAGCTGCTTATCTATAGCGATAGCCTTGCCTCGAATACCGGAAGGATTGATTATACTGTATATAAGGATAGCGGTTTGTAGTTTCTTATTAGTTGCTTCGCTAAGCAGCTAGCGAAAGTATAGTATCTCCCGGCTATAGTTAAGCTAATAAGCTCCGAAGAAATAGATAACGAGATAGTCGACTAGTCGACGAATGTAGCTAATATCCTGCATCCGTATAGCCTTCTTAAGAGTATAGAAGAGCTCGGCCTCCTAGAGTATACGGTATATAGTAGTATACGATAGGTTTAGACTAACTAGATTCTCGATCGTATTACTATCCTTATCCTTAGTGCGACGGCTAACCTAAGCCTCGGCGGTAAATGCCTACTAGTAGATGTTATTAATTATAGTAATATATTGCTCTAGCGTTAGCTTAGCGATTGCTTTTAGGTATATCTCCTTACGAGACTTATTACCTTTAGCCTAGCTATTATCTAGATAACCGTAGTTAATTAGCTACTGCTTCGCCTGTCTATTTACTCTACTCCGTATACCGCGAGAAATAACATCCTAGGATGCAAAGAACTTCGGCTTCCGGTTAGTAATGCCTTTTAGAGTCTAGAATAGAGCATTATCGAACACACAATAATCGAGGTGTTCCTTATCGCCGTTACTCGCCTAGTACGTCTTCAATATAGTGTAGTAGTAGTTTATAAAGTAGTAGAACAAGGCAGGGCATAGCAGAGCCTAGTCTTTACGGTTATATGCCTTCTAAGCTTTAACACTCTCGAACATAATGCTTAGTATACGCACTAGTATTATATTGTCGCTAGCAACAAGTCGTAAGCGGGTCTCGAAATCCTTATCGCGATCTAGACTAAGATGTCTAGGCTAGATATCCTCTTGAATAGCGATTATACCCTTAATAGAGGCCTCATTATTGAACGACACTAGTATAGATAGGACTAGTATACGATTATGCTTTATTTCCTATATTAGGATCTATACTAGACGATAGAAATCTGTCTTATTGTTCTTAAAGATCGACTTAAGCTAATTACCTGCTATATACTCGATTGCTTCGTCGATAAAGTACTTACTAGTTATCTCCTTATATATATCCTTTACGATGTTAGCGATAATGTCGTTAGCATCTAATAGCTTAGACTAGTCGATTATATCCTTAGTTAGGCCCTCTCGCGGGATTATATCGCATTTAGCGATTAAAGAGGTTGTTATAGTATATTGCTTATTAGAATCTCTAGTAACCTAATTACGACGGGTGTCCGCTCGATTGAAGTTGTCGATAGCTTCGAAGGTCTACGGGTCCTTAGCCTACTTCTTTACCTCTGCCTCCTAAACCTTCGCATTCTAACCTATAATCGTGCTAATAGTAGAGGGGCTTGCGACAAGACCGACAGCGTTTAGTATATTTATAACTTTGGTCTTTATGCTATTTGCGATATAGAACACACCTAACGCATTAGCTATCTAGTTAGAGTTCTTTAAGGCGATAGAGTAGGTAACAATAGCGGTAATTATAGTAATACGCTTCTTACGTAGGCCGCGCTTGTCCTTGAACTATTGCTAGTATTGCTTCTGTTTACTCTTCTAGTTAGGAAGCAGCTTGTCGTATAGGAGACTATACTACTCTAGCGCCTCGTTATAGATAATATTATCTATCTCGGTAATATCGAGCTGTTCTATACTCTACTAAGGGTTGTATTCGCCGAAGAACTTCTTGCTAATAAGGCCCTTTAATTCCTTACACAATATACGACTAGATAAGAACTCTTCGTAACCGAGTGCCCTACGGATCTTCTCGATATAGCGGCGATACTTAGGCTTGCTAGGTCTGCCGGCGTACTTGTTTACTACCTCCGGCAACGTTATATTACACTCGTCGATGAACTTTATAATCTCTTTATACTTCTAGTTCTTGTCTCTTCGAGCAGCTCGACGTACGCGCTTAGGCTTATCTATAACTACGTCTAGGCCTTAGTCTTTATCGTCTTTATCGCTAGCATTCGACGGCGTGTAATTATTATCGGAGACCTCTCTATTAGGAAGGCCTCGCTCGAGTCGGAGGTCTTCGTCGTCGCTAAGACCGCTAGTATCGAAGTTATCTTTATCTTTATCTTTATCTTTATCCTCCTCTTCCTCTTCCTCCTCCTTATCCTTATCCTTATCCTCGTCTTCTTCTTAGCCGGCCGGATTTGTACCGCCTACGCCGTTATTACGAGCAAGCTCCTCGAGGGTTATACTACCGAATTAGCTAGTCGGTAGGACAGAACTTAGCGCATTATTAGAAGTCTCTATAATAGCTAGCTTAAGAAGAGATCGGTCGGTTTGTAGGTAATAGTAATACAAGAGATAGTCGCGTATATAGGCGTAGATACGAATACAGATACGGTTGCGATTACGGTAGACGTAGCGGCGGCGAAGTTAAAGGTAGAAGAACGCTTAAGTCGTGTTTGCTAGCTAAGAGTAGATCGCGTCGTTACGTTATATCGTATATACGTACGCACGGACCGAGATACGGGTAGGAATATACACTAGAAGCCGCTAGAAACTTGTTACTTCTTGTTACCGCTCTTCTATATACTCGACTAGGTATATATTCTCTTCCTAATACTCGCGCGCTTCGATTGCAATATCGATATTATAATATCGATATTACAATACCGCGTCTAATAACTATAGCCGCCTCCGACGAGAATCTCGTATAGAATAAGCTTCTTTCCGATATTGCTATACGCGTCGATCGTATTAACCTACCGAAGAAGAACCCCTTTAAGATCGACTATTGCTACGACGGCTTCTAACGCCCGAGCCGCGAGTCTATATATATAGTACTACGCCTTAGGTACTAGGAGCTACTATAGCTTATCGCGGATATTAAGGCAGAGCCTACTACTAATTAGCTCCTAAAGCGCACTATTGTTAACAATGTCCTTTAGCGTATCTTAAAGGACTTTATAGAGTTTAACGAGCGTAATAAGCAACTAAATAAGCAATAGATCGATACGCTCTAAGACCTAATCTTCGGAGATAGCGAGGATACTAAGCTCGCTAATAAGACCGACGGAAAGAACTCTATACTATCTAAGGCATTCGCCTTGATAACTAGTACGTACGCCGAGGAAGTAAGATATAAGATGCGATATACGATATACTAATTCTACTATAGGAGATCTCGGTCAAGTCGCTCTACTATATTAGCTAGGTTTGAATACGCCTATCTTCTACGGATAGGTTATTAGCGACGCTTCTACTACCGAGTAGAAGGTATTGCATATAACTACTAGTATAGATAAAGTCGATTAGGTAAAGGCTTAGCACCTAAATCTAGCCTAAGGCAGTACTTTAGTAGGATTTTCTATATAATAGTTGTTTCTTAACTATACTACATCTCGTAAAGGTCGGACTAGCGCTAAATGAATCGCAAGGTTAGACTCTACGGTAGTATATAGGAAAATAGGTAGGTTAAAAAACGCGATTTTAGGTAGTTACCGTAGCGGCTAGCTATAGTTCGACTAGTATCCGGATTTAGTGTATTTCTTAATAGCACTACGTCGTATACATATGATTTTTAGATTATTAAATTCAGAATTGCACGCGCTACAATCTCTACGTATTAGAATGTTGTATTTCGCGTTATATATTAACCTCGTATTTTGGTAGAGGGCTATATACCGAATCTAGGACAATTAGTCTCAGACCCGTAGGCGAAGAATTAGTCTCCAGTGCTCCTATTAGCTGTTCTAAAAGGGTAAATCTGTTCCGAGAAGCCGCAAAGTCTAATTAATACACGTAATTGCAAGCTGATTCTTCGTCTATAGGTCTGACATTGAGGTAGGCCCGAGCATCAGCATCACCATCACCATCAACATCATCAGCATCGGCATCAGCATCAGCCATACCTCCACTGCCTCCGCTGCCTCCACTGCCTCCGCTGCCTCCTCCTTCTGTTGGCCATCTTGCGCATCAACACCATGCGCCCAATCAAATCGGCAATCATGTCCAGCCAAGACCCAACATGCCACTCCCCCAGGAGCCTCTACCTTCACCATACGCCTATCCTCGGGGTCAAGAGCGTATGATAAGCGATGATTTTCAGTCACCACCCTTCGCGAAACAGTATTCCATTGATCCGTTCCAAGAGACTCGCAGAAACCACCACTCCTACCCGAAGGCAGACCAGCATGGCGCTCCGCTACAACATTCAACTGAGCCTACTGAATGCGACCAGATTCGGCGGAATCTATTCCTCCAAGGCGCTCATATCAGACCCGCTCGTGAGCGAAATCTTCATGCACCGCAGGAGAACCTGAGTTTGTTCGTGCAATCACTGTCGAATCCATTAGGCCCTCTGGCATCACATTCAATTCCTGCCTCGCCACCTCATCTGGAACAATCTTCAACATCACAGGAGCTACTGGCCAAGCAACAAATCGACCCACTAGTGCATGCTTCCGCCACGTTTCCTCCTCCAGTCCGTAGGCAGTCGTTCAACCTGCTTCCCTATTCTCCTCCGCCGCCTCCTCTCTCAAAGCCTTGGCAAGAGAAACAACCTCAGCAGCTATTATCACCAAGGCGACGTATCACGGATCGGCAGTGGTCATCACGAGCGGAGCAATCAACGGTAATTGACCTGCCTTTAAGAACCAATGTCTCTCCTCTACCTCCTACTCCTCGAGTTCATCGCAATAGCGGGAGTGACTTTGGACATTGTTCTCGAAAGTCATTCCAACTGGTCTCGGCCCTCGAGTTTATCGCAATAGCGGAGGGCACTTTGGACATTCGTCTCGGAAAGTCGCTCCTCCTCCTCCCGGTCCTCGAGTTGATCGCAATGGCGGGAGTGACTTTGGACATGCTTCTCGAAAAGTCACTGCTCCACCGCAAGGATTCTTCGTTCCGGATATCTACCCAGTGACAGCAATCGCCGTCATCGATTTCAAAGATCAGTGAAGCCATTCTGCCCGGAGAATACCCTCTTTCCAGCCTACCAGATACCACAGAGCGAACTCGGTCTGGCCAAGAATACCATGTTTCCTCCCCACCAGATAGCACACAGCGAGCTCCATTTGGCCGAGAACACCCTATTTCCTGCCCACCAGATACCATACAGCGAACTCGATCTGGCACAGAATACTCCCTTTCCAGCCTACCAGATATCACACCGCGAATTCGATCTAGCCCTCCTCCAGCTTCAGCCATTCTGCCAGGCGAATACCCTCTTTCTAGCCCACCAGTTACACCGCGAACTCGATCTGGGCCTCCTCTTTCGACCAATGCACTAGAAGATATGAGCGATCGAGTCACTCGCTTGTCCGTGTCGGCGCAAAACAACACGGATAGCATTCCCGCGATGCCAGAGGTAGAACCACCACCGCCATCACCGACACTGCCAGAACCACGACAGTCTTGTCGACCCAGCATTCCGGCAGTTGTGAGCAAAATCACTGCTGGTCAAAGCAGCTGGAGAAAGTGGAATGTGAAAGAGACGTGGAAAGATGGAACCGCTACTGCTGCTGCATCGTATGATCTGGGATGCGGAGATTTTCAGCAAAGCGGAGGCGGAGGGCAGCGACAAACGTTTGGAATCAAATGCTTGGCGAGGTAATGTGCATGCCGTAGTGGCCTTCTCGCTTTCGTTTCGCTTGGCAATTTTTGTGGATCGGAGAAGTATTTGGGTGCTGGAGAGGAATCGTCTCCTATTCTGATCTGGTTTATAGTTCTCGCTCTCGCCAGACTGAATCGAAGGACACCCCACAATGTAAAGAAGCATTGCGAGATGCGCAAGTTGTGGACGGGCGCACGTTGCTCATAACATTTCTCATCAGGACAACTTGCTGGCCTCCAAAAACAGCAGCAATTTGATCGAAACGCGCGCGTTGTCGGCGAAGCAGCGTAACTTGGCGAAATCATCATGATACAGTAATTCTTTACCGACAATATTTACAATCTTTCTCCGCAAGCCTCGAATGCCTCACGCAAGATTATCCCGCTCGGGACCTCGACGACGGAATGCTCAATCGCCATCTGCACGTCGTCGCCGGCGGCCTGATGATGGTGCACCGCGATCCTGGCTCGTGCCATTTCTTCTCTTCCTTCTTGGCCTCTTCATGGTTCTCAGACCACGCGTAGACTGGCCTCTGGCGCCGCCATGCCATGTCAAAGGGTGCGCACAGACGATGAAAGTGGATGGTTTGATGGGTCATGTAGTGTTCCAGAAATCCAAACTTCATCACTCCATGCATATATCGACATACCTTTGACAGCCTAGCCGGAGGAGCTGAATCAGGTGTGAATGTCATCTGGATCTTCTCCAACAACTGGTCCATGCCACTTCACGAGCCACGCGACAAGTTAATGCGCAACCTGTAGCAAATGCAGGATGGGGTCGTCTCGTACGCCATGCAGACAAGTACTCAAGCCGAGCGCCATATGCAACGAACCGAGATTCTGAAGTCCAGGTTGGTTGGGCTCGCCACTCCCCAGTCATCGAGTGGTATGATCGATGTGCTCCGTTCGAGCAAGACCGTACCGCGAGTCTGATACATCAGTGGAAACTTTACATCTGGTGCAAGCTCTTCCCTCCCCCACAGCAAGAGCAGCGTGTACGCCATCCCACTCGCCGCATAATCGATCTGTACTGACTATGCGAGCAGATGGAAGTCCAAGATGTGCCTCTGGATCTATACCTCCTCCTGCTCGGAGCCTGGCAATCAGATCTGCAGTCGCTCGTAGCATCCGCTAAAATCTCCGAGCTGGAGACTCCGAGTCTGCAAATACACATCGACACAGCCCTCTCTCAGCTCTACAACGTCCTCGAAAACATTACCTATGCAGTCGACCCCGACTCCCGACACATCAACTACAGAGAAAACCCCATCCTTCACACCAAAACCCTCGCCTTCCTCATCCACGTCGAAGCACGCCTCGTCGTCTACGACCTCGCAACAACCACATGCCCCTAACCAGGACCAAAGCCACCCTCGCCATCACTAACACCCTCACCGAAATCATCCTCTCCGACATAATCCAAACCCTCGGATCCGACTGTCCCGCCATCAATACCCATACCCTCCATCCAACTCGCCACCACTCAAAACTCTCACGACAATCATTACCAACCTCTCTCAAAATCTGCCAAACCCTGCTTCCAAACCCTTCTTCTTCTTCTTCTCTGCCGTCTCGCTCTCCAAATCTGGGCGGGATACCTCACTACTCTATCTTCTTTCCTCCGCGCCGTCTCCCGCTCAACATCTCGACGCTTGGTCTTGCAACACTTCGAACATTGTCTCCATGACCACGAATCCGGGTTGGGCTGCTCAACTCATCCTTCTCCCCTTTTACGCCAATGGTTCACCTTCTCTGGAAACGAAACAGCTACCGAGGAAGATGATGCAGGTTTTTTTTGATGCGATTTTGGCTTCGAGACCGGATTCTCGGGCTACGAAGACGAGGGAGGAGAGTTTGTTGAGGGGGGATGTTGCGGCTTGGGTTGGGGGTTTTGGATGTGAGGCGATTGGGAGAGGGTTTAGAGGAGATATTGGTGAAGTGGAAGGGGGAGGAGTGTTTTGTTTGGGGGAGGTTGTTGAAGAAAGTACGGGAGGGGAGGAGGAGTGTTTTTTTTTGTTGTTTGAGAGGAAGGGAAGGGAGGGAGGGAGGGATGGAGTGGGATGGGGAGTGAAAAAGTGATATACATTTATTTGGCATGCGGTCACCCAGGGACACAATGTGAAGCGGTGGAAGTTCTAGCAAACATCAACATGCATGGGACCATGGGGACTCGCAGAAGGCTTAACAAATATCAATGTTCATAGGATCTTGGAGACCTGCACAAGGTTCAGCGAACACCGATATGCACAGAATCTTGGTCCTGCGCGCTGAATGTTGTCAATTCGCAGACAGAAATCACTGTCACTTCTTAAGCAGAGCCAGTACTTAGTCGTCTCAGCTTCTCGTTTTCAGTGCCTCTCATGTTATGTTCAGCAGCATGAGAAGTCAATGCATCGTGATGACGTCGAGGGCTTCCAGAATGAATTTGACCCGCTGATTCTGTCGATTCTGCAATTGGAAGGCTCGCGAGGAGGTCATCTTGGAATGGCTTTTGACGCTTGTAAGCATATTTTCCGGCCGATACTCGCGTGAGGTCGGAAGTCGTCGTCGTATTCTTGGATACATAGAATAAGCTGGCTGGTAGTAGATACAGTGATAACAGTCTCGTGCCTAGCGAAAGGGATCAGCTGTCGATATCTCTCCGCTGATGGGTGAAGAGATGCGTCTCAAGATAGCGGAAGACTTCCAGTCCATCCTTCAAAAGCACAAGAAGAAGAAGAAGGATGGGTCTAGGTTACGGCTTGCAGAGCGGTTTGGGACAGATGGCGGTGGCCTGGGAATGAATAATTTTTTTTCAATGAGTTTTGAAGCATGTGGGAAATGAATCGCGGATTTCGATGATCGCGACGAAACTGGACTGCCAAAAAGGTTTAGTGTTCATTTCCTTACATGTGCGCGTCTTTCCTCCAGCTTCTATGAGCATTGCCATTCGATCCCATCGTTCTTTCTCTTCGTGAAGTGGCGTGATACATCCGAAGTCATTCTTCAACGACGCCGACTTTGACCTCTTCTCCAACATGGTGCCCACTGCCCAATGCTCATCCTTCAACACCATTTTCATTCCGCAATATCTATGCTCCTTCATTCCATAAATGCCCGTTTCGTGAGCTCCTTCATGTCAACTTCTTCTTTCCTGGCTTCACCGCTACTCATTTAATACCTGCTTCCAGGCCTGGCCCAGAATCGGAGCATCGGCCGGCGCCTCATCAATCTCAGCAGGGACTTCGGGAATCTCAGGAGGACTGGGAGGATTGTCGCGAATGTTGTACGCGGCGTCCGAGATTCCTTGAAGTCGAGTTGCAGAGTCACGGTATATGGAGGACATGTCTGGTGGTGAAGATGGGGAGTCGTAGGCGGGTCGAGGGCGGCGCTGTGGATGGAGTGGAGGGGTCTGAGATGTGTGGCCAAGTTCACGCCGTGATCCGTTGCGGTCGTTTTCTTCGTCGTCGGAGCTGGACTCTTGGTTTGTGGTCATTCCAGTTCTTGGGACCGAGGATCGACGTGGCTGGTCGGTGTGCAGTGATGTGAGGCTTTGCAGAGCATGGCGTGCTCGCCCTGCATCCGGTCGACGAGGAGTCTTCTCGCCTTTGGACACAGGGCCAGGTCGCTGAGGCTTTGGAGAATATGCTGGCTCCGAAGGTGGGCTTTCTCCAACTTGTGGGACATGCTGCTGTTCCACTCCCCATGTCGGCAAGTGGTGTTCCAGAACATGTTGCCGGCGAGATTCCCCAATCGAAGACAGGCCACATTCTCCAACGTGTGGTCCGTGCTGCTGTTCCACTCCTCGTGTCGGCAAGTGGTGTTCGAGGACATGTTGCTGGCGAGATTCCCCAATCGAAGACGGGTCATGGAGAAGCCTATATCTGCGCGGTCGACGAGGTGTCTCTTCACGCTCAGGCATCTCGCTAGACTTTGGAAGCTGTGGAGGAGACGATGGTGACTGCTGATCAAGGAAAGGATCCGGCCTCTGATATCGAGGCACTGATCCTTCCTCAGCCTGTCTGTATTGGAGAGCAGTTCGGCGCTGATCCATTGTCTGGCCGGCACTGTAGTCGCGACCGACTACTTCTTGGGCTGGTGGTTGAAAAGGGTTCGGCCGAGAAGGTGGAGTTGCGAAGAGCTGTGAATGAGGAGTTGCGAGATGCTGCGAATACCACTGGCTGTATGGTTGCTGAGGCTGTGCGCGATGGCCTTGTGTGTATGGGTGGCTCTCGTCATGGGTGTAATCAGTGTGGCGTAGGAATGTCGTGTCTGGGTACTGGTCATATCCACGTTGATCGGCATCGCTGAAGGCCACCTGTTGTAGCGGGCCCAGTGAGGACTGCTGGTGAGGAGACAGAGACAGCGCGGTGGGTGGTGGCGGTGGTGGTGGTGGTGATGAAGAACTTGGTCCACGTTGATTGGCGTCGCCGGGCTGACTGAGTGCCGACATCAAGGCCGCCAGCCGGGCGTCGGTTCTCCGGTTGATCTCGTCACCCTTTGGTATGCGAGACATGGCTGTTCTCCACCCTCTTCGTGACAGCAGAGAAGTGGCGAGGAAGGATGAGTGTGAGAGAGGGCGGAGAAGCGTGTGTGACGCAAACGGCGAAGGCTGAGGAAAGATTGTGGGAAGGCTGAGGGAAGATTCTGGGAGAGAGCAGAGCGTTCTGGGAGGGAAGATTCTCCGTCTCCGGCCTGCAGCAAACAGCAGTCAAGGCATATACTTGCATGGAAATGGACGTAGCACAGCACAGCAGAAGCACAGCACAGCACCGCACCGCCCAGCGCAAGTCGACATGTCCAAGGCCAACTCCACCGCCTACGACTGGGCGAGCATCTTTGACTTCTATTGCCAGCACAGCCTTTGGGGCGGCCAAGAGTTGACGGATGGCCAGTGGGAGGCGCTTTTGCGCTCGAATCCATGCCATCCCGACAAGAGGCAGATGGAGCGTGCCAATTTCCATTATGCAGTCAAGAATCACATTGTGCCCGAGCACTTGCCTGGCCTTCTGGTCGTCAATGAGGGACGCGCCACATGGAACGTGCCGCCCCGATTCCCGCCTGCCGTGCCTGTCCCTGTCCCTGTCGATCGCTTCAAGCCCGCGGCGGTCAAAAAAGCTTGGCTTGAATTGGCCGTTCAGAATGCCGCAGCAGCATCACCACCTCCGCCGCCAGCATCACCACTACCTTCAAATCCTTCCCCACACCGCATCAAGGAGGCGCGCCAAGGCAAAGGAGCAGCCCACGACAGCGACCATGGCCATCACACCCAGAACCACGCCAGCGCACTCTCCCCGAGCCGCCATCGCCTTCGCCATCGCGACCACCGCATACAATCCCTCGAACAACAGCTCGCTCGCATGACCCGAGACGACCACGAGAAAGCGCGCCACATATCACGCCTGACTCAAGAACTCCAACACCTCCAAATCTCCAACCGCAAGAAAGACGAAGCCGTCACCGCTCTCGAGACCTCTTTCGACAACGCCATCGCTTGGGGCAAAAGAGAAATCGCGAGGCTAGAGGTCCAGAACTCAGAAACTCTCGCCCGGTTCGATGATGCGATTGCATGGGGAGAGGGTCAGCTTGCTAAAGAGAAGCACTACAATTCTCAGTTGAGACGATCTTTGCAGCGCTATTCTTCTGGCTCCGCGAGTGCGGCGGGGAGGGAAAGTTGTAGTGTTGGGAGTGAAGATGGTTTAGGTGGGAGTATTGGTAGCGTCGGTGAAGTTGAGTTGAATCGGAGTATGGGAGGCCAGGGCCAGGGTGGTCTGGATCGAAGTTTTGGCGGCCACATGCATCGGCAGTGACGGTGGCTCGAGAGGGAGTATCGGGAGTGACGTTGGCTGCAACAGAAACATTGGCAGCCAAGCTGGCCTACGTTGAAGCATGCATTGACAGTGACGGTGGCTTGAGAGAGAGCGTTTGGAGTGAGGCCGGCTCAAGAGGAGGCATTGGCATTGGCACTAGCAACGATGCTGGAATTCTGAATGTTGATGCGGGCGCGCGTGCATAGTGATTTGACCTCATCCCTTGCCAAAAACTTCGAAACTCTCCCCTCTGTTCTCCTCCGCTACGCAGGGAAATGCTGGTTTGACCAAGCCCGTGGTGTACCAAGGCATCAACAACCACAATTGGAACTCACGCATTGCCCAAACCCTAGAACAACAACTCTATAAAAACCAATTAAAAAAAACCTTGCATGTTTTGTTTTACAATCTATCTAAAATCTACGATCCCCTACGAACATTGATTTACTTTTTCTTTTCTTAATAATTCGATATTTCCTTGCTATAATCGACTTTCAACGTCCAGCGTCAAAGACCAAAAAAAAAACCCCTTGCCAGCCAGCCAGTCAGTCAGTTAGTCAGTCAGCATTCCTTGAGATTTCGTCGTCACCTCTTTTTGTGCCCTTTTTCGCCTTTTTTTTCCCCCGTTGTCCGTCTTTCTTGTTTATCCCAACCCCCCGAACCCACAAAAGAAAGAAATGAAAAAAAAAACGAAAGAAGTTCCTTCTTTCATATCTTACAATCTCCGCCCCTCTTGACGTCAACTCGAGGATCCAAATATCCAAAAAAAAGTCATGAATCTCTCTACTCCATCACACTACCACTAGCCATCTTCAACCGCTCAACGACATCCACCAGCTTGGAAACCCGCTCCGCATTCTCGAAATCCCTCACCTCGCCATTCCGAATCAAGCCATCGCGCAGCGCAAAAGCATTCTTCGTACCCGCAGCTAGAGCATCCACGGCATTCATCGCGTCTTGGGCCAGAGTGGTGGCGGTATTGACCTTGCCGGAAAGAACGTTCATACCCTTGGCGAGAGTCTTGGCGGACTTGGATGTGTTTTCTTGGAGAGTGGTGATGTCTTTGGAGGCGGTGGCCATGTCGGATTGCTGGATGGATATGCCTTTTGCGAGGGCTTTGACGGTGTTGAGGGTGTTGTTGCGGAGGGCGGTGACGTCTTTGGAGGTGTCTTGGGCAAGGGAGGTGGTGGTGTTGGTTTGGGTTTGGAGAGCATTCAGGCCTTTGGTGAGGGCTTTGACGATGTCGGATGTGTCTTTGACATCCTTGGAAGCGGATTGAGCGAGGGAAGTGGCTGTGGCGGCCTGGTCTCCCACCATAGTGATACCCTTGGTGAGAGCTTTGGTAGCATCGAGTGTGCCTTGACGGAGATTGTTGACGGCTTTGGAAGTGTCTTGAGCACGAGAGGCGTGATCGGAAATGGCTTCGTCGTGGGTGCAGAGGAGGGACTCGGCGCTGCGGAGACGATCAGAGGTAGTGTTGATTTGCTGGGTGGTGCCATTCACACGAGAGTCCAGAGCTGCAAGGCGGCTCTCGGAGGTGCTGAGACGGCCATGATTGGTGTCGATCGCACGGCGATGACGCTCAAGACGTGAGTCCACGCCGTTAAGACGACCTTCGTGGGTATTAACACGGCGAGTATTGGTGTCGATGTTGTGGCGGTGACGGTCCAGACGAGTCTCATGGGTATCGAGCCGGCCTTCGTGGGTATCAAGACGACTGGTGTTGGTGTTGATTTGTTGTCGGTGCCGGTTCAGACGAGTATCATGATCGTCGATGCGGGAGGCGGTGCCGGCATGTGCAGGAGCAGAAGGTGTCTGCAAGAAGACCGGAGACTGTGACCGACGAGGTGTTGCTGGCGGCGTCAGAATGTTGCTGCCCGGAGCTGGTACCATCACAGGACGGCCTGAGCTTGTCGGAGTAGCAGCGATTTGACTGGGAATAGCCTCAAAACTCCAGCCCGCATTGGGGAACGGAGCACTGAAGGCGTCACGGCCGGCAAGGATAGCATTGGCACTGTTGATAATGCTTGTCCAGCCGATCTTCTGGCCACGGGAATTCACCTGGGTTGGATGTGGTGATGAGCCATCTGGCCCAAATCTATCCATGGCCCCAGTGACACGCTTCATAATGTCGACCCAGATGTGCGGGCCGTAGCATGTCTGGATGCCGAGATCGTTGGCGAAGGTGATCAGGGTAGAGGATGGTGGCTTGGCGCCACTCTTGTAGATACCATGCTTCGCAGCAGTGGCAATGAGGAAGTTCTTGAAGGATGGATCGGTATAGGAGATCTTGGAAGGGCAGCCGAGTGCAGCGTCGGCCTGTGCAGCGTAGAAGCCAAGCTTCAAGGCCAGGCTGCCGACTGCAGAGGAGCCGAAGACAACCAGTTGGATGTATTTTGGCTATGCCATAGAGTCAGCACGATGATATGAAGAGATTGGAGAGGCAGAGCGTACCTTGAGGAGCGGGATGGCCTCGTTCTCTGGCGCTGAATCATCGTTCAGCAACACAATACCAGACTCTTGGTGACGGCGAGCGAGAGTGGAGGGCTCGCACCAGGCAGCTGGCACGCGAACAAGCATGTTGGTAGTAGATTGGGCTTTGGGCAAGTAAGGAAGCTAGGCAGTAAGTGAAGAGATGCAAAGAGAAGCGGGATCAGAGGCAGTACGTCGAAAGATAGACGGATGAAGAGAGGAGCGACGGATGGGCAGAAGGCGAGCTTTTGAACCTCTCCGCGCGTCTGTTGTAGCGCAGTGCGTGTTGACTGGAGGCCCAGAGTGGCATTCTTGCATGGCATATCATGCTTGCTGTATCAGGCTACGACGATGCGTTGTGCCGTTCGTGGAGATATCCGCAGGCAGGTCGCTGAGCATGGGAGGATGTGATCTCAGCCTGGTTCCCGCGTGCGGAGACATTCCTCTGCATGGAACTTCCGATCTTGATGCCCTCGAGAGGCGTAGGCCCGATCAAAACTCAACATGATCGTTGGTTGCTGTATAGAGCAATCACGTTAACGGGAAAGGAAGGATGAAAGAAATTGACGCTTTCGACCTCCGCATTCAGGCCGCCAAGAAATCTCGAATTTTAGCCCAGATTGCCAAAGTCGGCCGGCCTCACCGGATACAATCCACTTCTTCGACAACATCTTCGCAATTTGGCGTGTTTTCCTATTCTGATGCGAAGGCGACCTTGTTCGTGCGACCCAATGAAGAAAAGGTGCTTGAATTGATGGGTACAGTGTGATTGGTGTACGCCTCCTTTCCAACTCCAGCCACCTCCGAGATCCATCCATCTCCATACCAAAACACCCCTTTCCCATCACCTCGATGTCGCGACACGGAATGCCCGATCGAGGCAGCCTGACTGCACACTTCTCGTCCAAACGCGCTTCCTCCGCTCCTTCATCGGCCTCCACACGCTCTGCCGACCTCAGGCACCCGAGTGGACGTGGCCTCCCACGATTCCGCCAACCATACCGATCTTCACCATACCGATCTTCATGACAACTCGAAAGCCAACGCCAAGGTCAATGCCCATGTGGACGAGAATGCCTCTTCATTCGTGCAAAGTGGCGTGGCATGAAAGAAGAAGCAATACATGACTTGGGCAAAAAGAATTCCATTCCATTCTCGGCGTTGAACTTCCATGACTTCCACTCCCCACGAGTGTTGACAAGAACAAGCACAGTGTAGAACATGCACAGTTCTGATTCACTTTTCCCTTTGTGTCTGAAACAGTTTGCTCAGTTGACTGCAGCAGCAAACTCTTCCCCAGTCTTTGAAGAAAAAGAAAAGAATCTTTCCTTTCGCCTCTTCTTCGCAACCACCCAACCTCTCCCACAAAGCAAAGCAGCGCTCGAACTCCACCTCACGAATCATGAACATCAAAACCCATCGCCAATCCAACGCCAACACCCACAACCCAACCCCAAACATGACAGGAGCACCACAGCAGCCAACAATCCGCCTCAAACCCTTCTACCGCAACTTCTTCATCCCCATCCTCACTCTCCTCTTCTCTTTCCGCTATACCGACGAAGACATCCTTTCGAAATTGAGGAAAATCTCCAAGAAACGATACTGCTGGGGTTTGTGGCAAGGCTTCGAAGTCGAAGAACAGCTCTGTTTGGCGGGAAATCGGCACGGTTGTAGGCGGTGGAGGAGTTTGGACATGTTCTCGCCGCCGCTGCAGAAGTGTGATGAGTGTCGGAAGGTGGTGAGGGCGAAGAGGAGGCTGGGAGGGAGGAAGAAGATGGTTATGGTTATCGTCATGCTCATTCTGGTTTTGGGGGCGACTTGGTGGATGATGAGTTGGCGGGAAGATGTGGTCCTCCGATTGGAGAAGGAAGGAGAGAAAGAGGTGCTAGAAAAAGGAAAGGAAATGTGCAAGGGAAAGGGCTGTGAGAAGGAAAGGGAGTGGGAGGCGGTGACGAGAACAGCCACGGACACGAATTGGGCGACGACAAGATGTGATGGCACTGATTCGGCGGGTCGGCGCACTTCGACGATTTGTGTGAGTGCTCTTTCGACTACGACTGTGGAGTCGTTTTACATTTGATAGACGGAAGTGGCGGAGATCCAGAATTCGGCACGCCGACTTTTATACCATCCCGCAAGCCTTCCCCCTGGATGTCATATACCTCTCTCATGACACTCCATTATAGAAAGACATGGCACATGGCCGCCATGACCTGATCCACCCCTCAAATACCCCTTCGAGTAAACTCTCCCCAGAGATTGATCAGAAGGTCATCGGCGGGAGCATGACACTCCATCATAGAAAAGCCACGGCGCATAGCCGCCATGACCTGACCCACTCCTCAAATGCCTACCCGTTCCCAGGAAGCGGAGTAAGTTCTTCCTAGAGATCGATTATTTCCCCAAGACCAATCCGGCCGGCACGCCTTCTTCGCCAACAGCCCTTTCGGCCAAAGAACTCCGTTAAGACTTCTTCTTGAATTGGGGTTGCAGAGCGAGCTTGTTCCATTCCCGGGAACCGGAGAAATTTCATCCCAGAGATTGAGACCATTTTTCCCAAGCCCAATACGACGCCTAGCACGCCTTCTCGCTCAAAGCTCTTTCGGCCCACGAAGAGAGACGTATCCTCTCTTAAGGCTTTCTTTCTCGAATCAAATAAAGCCTCGCAGTGACGACTAGAAGTATACGGAACATCCTGAGTCCCCCCTCCCTTCCATTCCCACGAAGCAGAGAATGTCCTTCCTATATTATTTCTAAACCCAAATGCAGCCTACATACGAGAAAAAATGTTGGTTGACCTTCTTCGCCAAAAAAAAAAAACAAAAAAACCTTGCAGCTGAATTCATCTCCGAGACATGTGTACTCACTTTTGAGAGGCTTCTTCTCGAATTGCAAGTCTCGGATAGTAGAAGTAAAGGGGGAAGAACATTCTGATGAATGCGCCTATCCGTTCTTTCTCCTCAAGTCATTTTTTTTCCAAAAACCCAATACGGCCAGTCACGCTTTTTTTCTTCGCCCTAATACCCCTTTCGGCCTATGAAGAAAGAGATGATAGATAGCTGTATAGTCTTTCTCGAATGGAAGGCCAAAAGCCGAAGGACAGAGATCGTATTGCAATGTACATACTTCTTCACCCAAAAAAATTCTGGAACATGCTACAAAGTAGCCGAAGTACAGGGATCGGTCGGTACGCCCCAATCAGCCGGAATTGAATTGACGACGATCGATCTTCGGACTCGTTGTCTCTGCGACATGCCAACAAGCGCAACTTCACTCTGCCTTGGATTGTGAGAAGTGAAGAAGGCATGACAATAGTTTGCCTCGAAGACCTGTGTGGGAAAAAAAAAGAAGCATGGAGCTTCGGCGGAATGATATGAAAGCGACAAGTAAGATTGAGATAGAACTAGGCACTGCAGTTTGTGGGTCTACGGAAATCCTGCGTACAACACGCCATTGCATCCTTATCATGACTTTGCCATTTCATCGACCATCCATAGCTGTAGTGTGTCCTCTACACGCGAGGTGAAGGAGACTTGTTCAACAGCTGCTCCGATGACCGACCACTACTCACTCTCTTTCTTGACCACCGCCTTCGGGATGACGGCTTGGACGAGAGTCAAGTTGACCTTTTCGAAGATGTCATCCGTCTGCAACTCCGCAGCTTTGGAGCGAACCCTCAGCACGTCGTTGGCAGTGAGCTCGAGCGGGTTGGGGCGAAAGTTGTGCAGAACATCGCCAAGAAGGGTGCCGCGGTCGTGGCTCAGAGCTACTGCAAACGCCTGGATGGCATCGGCGACAGTGGTGAAGGAGTAGTAAGGTTTCGTCCGATCTTGTTGAACTGGTGTACTGTCTGATGAAGGAGAGAGGGACATGTCAGTAGTCGAGCAGCAAGCATTGCGAACGATGGCCACTACTTACTCATCACCGGCTTCTTACTGTCCTTCCGGCTCTCAGACTTTGGACGAACAACCTGCTTGGGACTGGCGTCCTCCAGCTTGATGCGAACCTTCTTCGTTGGGGTGGTTGGCTTGTCTGGTTCGTAGAGGTCGTACTCTGTTGCGAACAGGAATCAATCGGTGCCACGCAGTCACAAGCATCTGAAGAAGCTTACCTTGAGCCTTTCCTGGATTGGAATCTGAAGGTTCTCGTGAGCAAACATAGCTGGGACCGGGCATAGACTTTTGATATGTACCTTTGACGCTCAGTTTCTTCACCTCCTTCTCGATGGTAGCTACCCAGTCCTCGGAGCTTTGATCTGAGTGTGAGTCCCCCATGGCCGATGGTCACTTTGCTTGCTGGGCACGGGATGCGAATGCTAGGCGGCTGGAAAGAGAAAGAGAGAGTGAGAATTGGCGTAGAGGAAGCGATGATATGATTGTGCGCGTGCGCGGTGCAATGCGCTTCATGGGTGGAGCGTTTGCTGGCTGGTGGAGAGCTTGAGCTACTGCCATGCACCAGTAGTAAAAGCGGTGTACGGCGGAAGCTCCGATGAATTGAGCGGCGTTATGTCTCGTTGGTAAATGCACACGGCCATGCAGACTGCTCACGTCCGCTATGGCAGAGAAAACCGTAACTATCCGCAGTCAATCATCTGGCCGACTCGCCACTGGGACCTCTCGCTGGCGCCTTAGATCTCACCGCTGAGGATGAGGCCCGTGCAAGTTGTCACTATCCGAAGCCAAGTAATTCACCATCCCAGAACGAAAACCTTTTGCCGTTACTTCAGAGGTCCGCGATGTGTATAGTGGTCATGTGAGTGGGAGAGAAGAAGCTGTCATTCGGCGGAAGCCAACTACATGTACTCTGCCGCTCGGCATTGACATCTTTTGCAAACGCTTCGGAGGTCCGCGATGAGCATGGTGGCTATATGAGTGGCAGGGAGGAAGCTGTCATTTGGCGGAAGCCGACCACATGTACTCTACCGCCCGGCATTGACATCTTCTGCAAACGCTCCGGAGGTGACCGCTGGGTATGCCCGGCGCTGAGAGGTGAAAGGAGAAGGCCTTCCGCTTCCGATGTTTCACGATCGACTTGTCCGTGTCCTGCCATAGTGGCCCAAATCAAGGTGACAGCTGCTGTGACTCGTTCACCAGAATGCACGTCCACTATCCAAACGCAGCTCCTCTCTCCCGCGATCTGGTCCGATTGTGTCGCACATTCGGCATAGTGTTCCCAGCGACGCCAGCAACATCTTCGGCGATTTGTGCGGTCTCGATTGCGCGCGGTATGCTGCAGATGCAACAGCTCAAGGCCGATCGGGTCACGATTGGTTGCCAGTCACCGCTCCCGCTTCGAAGGCGGCGCTGCGCATACAGTGTCCGCGATCAGCGTTTGCACCGGATGCGCTTCTGAAGCAGAGGTAGCAGCGTCGCATTCATTGAGCGGTGGGAGGGTAAGGCGGGCGGGGAGGCGTGTATAGATCTTGAGGCGTGAAGGTCGATGGAGATGAGATGGAGAGGCTGCAGGTCTTGTCATGAGCTGCGAGCTGGATGCGTGGGGTAAGTATCCCTGCACAACCAGCCCAATGAGCCCAAGCTACGGACTTGTCCCCGACTCCGAGCCTTGTGCGGCAGGGCATGGTTGGTCGATCAAGTGAATCGGGAACCGTAGTTGGATGCTGAGTAGAGGGCTTTCCAAGCAATCACCACATCTTATGCACACTCTGAAGTCGTCATGCCAGCCCACGACTTCCAACGAGTTCCCAAAACGAATCCAGCACCAAGGCCATTGAAAATCTTCGAAGCTCGGCGATCTGGCAGGTCAGGCGGAGCCCAATTGAGACCACTATGAAAAAGCTATGAACTTCATCTCGGCCTGGGTTGATCATGCTATGGAGCAATGTATGCTACAAGTTGTGGCCCGATATGTTTCTATTCTCTGGGTATAAGATGCTTCACAAACGGCGTGATGCGGGCGTGATAGATGAACTTGATGGCTGTTTGTTCTACATCAGAAATGGCCATCTGCGTGGGCTGCTCTGGAGGAGTTTTCTTTCGCCAGATGACTCTTACACTTCTGCCGTTGCTCCACAAGTCTTCGAGAATTTCTGTTTCCTTGGAGATTCCAGTTTGCTTCGCCGGAACAGATGAGCGTCGACAGCTTCCGCTTACGCTTTTCCGTGTCGCCATGCAACTGCCACACTATCATTGACTGAACCCCTCTGCCAAACGGTCCAAGTGCTTGTCAAATGGGGTGTTGCGTTGGAGTGAAAGCGCATTTGGCGAGGCAGTCGTCATGATTCGATGGCCCAAAGGCAGAAGAGTAGTCGTGCGATGGAAGGCAGGCTTGTACGAGCGTCTACGCTGGTACACTTTCCCAGACCCGGCTTGTAGGTAGCTGAGGTCCCTAACGACTGTCGCTTGGTTCCAGGAAGCTCAGTCGCACCAGAAAGACTCGTGACCCATCAAGTTGCATTACTGCCCTAGAACTCAGACATATGTCCATGGTCTGAGGACGCACACGTCGCATCAAGCAGCCAATGTCAAGAAACTGCCCCAGCAGCTTGAGCAACCACCTCTCTGGCAAGTGAGAATTGAAATGCCCTTCAGCAGGTCGTCGTGGTGAGCCCGGGATGGCTTTGCGAAATTCTCGGGATATATGCTCACAAGAGAGAATTGAAACATCCTTCAGCAGGTGGTCGTGGTGAGCCCGCGATGGTTTTGCGAAATGTCCAAGATACATTCTCACTAGTGCGAATTGACGTGCCATCCAGCAGGTGGTCGTGGTGAGCCCGCGATGGTTTTGCGAAATGTCCAAGATACATTCTCACCAGTGCGAATTGATGTGCCATCTAGCAGGTGGTCGTGGTGAGCCCGCGATGGTTTTGCGAAATGTCCAAGATACATTCTCACTAGTGCGAATTGATGTGCCATCCACCAGGTGGTCGTGGTGAGCCCGCGATGGCTTTGCGAGATTCCCAAGATACTCTGTGATCTCATACGCTTTCGTGCTTCTTTGCTCCGGTCTGGTAGTGTATGACAAACTTCACGCCATTACGAGCTTTTGTTGCATTGCTCAGTGCTGGGGAATCGAGCTAGCGAGCGGGAGGGCTGAGTCGGCCCAGAAAGCTCCGGTGACGATCATTGCGATGTCTGCCCAGGTGGATTCGGTGTCGAGGTGACTGCTTGAGTGCGGAGGAGGATGGTTGTGATTTTTGGCCTGACATGTAGGTCGTTGCCTGGGAGAGCTGCAGCAACTCCTGTGCCTGAGGATTCAACGGTAGCTGCGAGCGAGGCTCTTCTCCAGATCCGAATTTTGGCTAATCGTGCCTGGGGCTGCTGGAAAACGAGCTCGGAGTTGTATTCGCGGGTGTGCTGTTTGGCTAAATGCTGATCTCGCCACGCCGTTCGCAAGTATGTACCTGGACTTATGATCCGCCGCGTCCAGGCTCGTCAGAGGTCGACTTCAGACGAGTTGCATGGGCCACATATGCTTGGGACCTAGATTGCCCCAGAAGACGGTTGGACTTGCAAAAATTCCACCAGTTCTTCGCCGGTCATGCTGGTTGAACCTGCTGTTGGCCCTCCTTCAGAAGGCTGCATGTTTGCGAAATGATTGTTGAAGCTTCGCCATGCAATTGATGCGATCTTTATCTGCAGAGGATTTGATCCTACCTTTGGACATGCCAGGCCTGTCAGTGTAACTGACGTAAACTGACCGACACATTGGTCTCCAAGGCATCTGATGAACAGTTCGGGCTTGCCAAGGAGAGCTGATGTGGTGGAAGGGTTGGATTTCGGCAGGAAATGACCAGTACTCTACATGTGCGCGATCTCTCTATGAGGTCTGCTATACCGCGGCGACTTGCTGAAGCAGCTCATGAATGGAAATTTGGACCGGGGCGTCGGTCTGCTTGTTTCTGCACTGAATAGCTCTCGCAATCAGATCCAGTGCTGGGGCATCATTCTTGAGACTTGCTGGATCAATCACTTATGCCGCAATGTTGTGGACACAGCCAGTTTTCTGCTGTACGTGAGCAGTCAAAAATTTGAAACCGAGGCGGCCATCCAACTGGCCAAGTCGCTGCAAGAGAGGTGGATTTCGCGCCAAAGCGACAGGTTCTCTTCATGCGTCTCTTCATGCGTCTCTTCATGCGTCTCTTCATGCGTCCCTTCATGCGTCCCTTCATGCGTCCCTTCATGCGTCTCTTCATGCGTCTCTTCATGCGTCCCTTCATGCGTCTCTTCATGCGTCTCTTCATGCGTCTCTTCATGCAGTTTCCTTCATGCAGTTCTCTTCATGTTGATTTTGTCGTGGGGCACTGTTGACCATTTGTAGGAGATGGGGTATGACGAGAGGCCACGGGTGCCGATGAGTCGTTGCATGGCCCTCCTCAGTAGACGTCTGCGAATCTGGCCACCAGTCTTCTCCACAGGCTCGACGAACGTTCCTGTGGGAGAAACATGGGTCGAGTACTTGTTCGGCGGAAAGATGTCCCGTCATGTCTTCATATGGAGGATGAACCAGACATTTCACACGAGGCTCGATGTGCTTGAGTGGTTCAAAACACGTATGCAGGCAGGCTTGCAGCATCTTAGCGAGGCTCTCTGGACTTTGCAGCACTGTACCCTGATCATAATTGAGTGTCATAGTGTCGTGCATGATCAGGCCATGATCTCGTTGGTCGTCGTCGGATTCTCGTCCGGCAGCTCAAGTCTCGAGCTGTGACAGTCGCTTCGCCAACAGCTTCGCCGCCGCCAGCAGTGCCAAGGAGGCCTTGATTTTCGATGCTGGAATGCACTCCGGGAATATGGGGAGCCTGTCTGGTTTGCGAGTGCGACGACCTTGCTGTTGCTCGAGGATTTGGGAGTCGAGAGTCGGCGGAGGCCACCAACGCCTGGACAAGGGGCGTGTTTTGCTGCCACAACTTCTGACGGCGCGATTGCCAGAAGTTCTGGCGGGCCATCAGTCATCAATAACAGTAAAGGTAGGCACAACCAACATTCGCTGCATTTCTCCCCGTGCGCCTTCCTTTCCACTTATGCGCCACTGCTGTTCTTGTCCCCAGGTCGAGACTGCTTGCCCGCTTCATGCCGATGAGGATGTGACAACGTTGTCGATCGCGCATTGATCGTGCCTTCCCCGCCTTGCTCTCATCAGCTTCAGCTGATGCGAGTGTGCCAGGTCTGCGCCGACTCATGAATCAGCACGCCTCCTCTACAGGTACAAATTCCATCGCAAGCGTCCCACCTTTCATTCCAAGTTGCGAGGGAAGAGCCAGTGCAGTCCGCTCATCCGCACCACCAACAATGTCCACAGTCACGCCCCCACCACAATTCCTCCTCAAAATCCCCCAACACCTGGACATTCGTCCATTTGCAGCCACAATCGACCGCACCCAGCATATCGTCGACTACTTCGGTCCGCTGGGTCAAGAAGCACAGGACGCCTATTGGCGGCAGAAACAGCAGAGTATTCGCGTACATGCCCACGCACTCGAGCAAGCGGATCTGCTTGCGCAGATAGAAGATCAGAAAGACGATGTGCATGACTTGCTGCTGTAGAGAGCACGCGAGATGCTGACCTGATCTCTGTTTTCCTGGAAATTTGGAGCTGCTGGATATGATTCTATCTCTTCTTTTCTACGCCACCGTGTTCCCGGTAGCAGCCTGCGAAGTGAGCATCTGGATCCGAATCTGCAACTCCTTGCGAGGAATTCGGCTGTAAGGGGGCTTCTGCCCTGTGCAGATGAATGCGCCGAGATCATTTTCGGTTCTCGTGCTACCTGGACGACGTACATGGCAGCTCATGAGTGGCGAGCATACTTTCCGTGGCGCTTACGCATCTCCACACTCGTTACAAGATTGAATTGAGGTACTCTATGGTCACGGCTTGGTCTTGTCGTGAAGATGCAACATCAAGGAGCAAAGGATCTATGAGCATGACGTACATTTGAACACTTCCACGCTTTCTGGGCAAGCTTGAAGATCAGGACTTGGCTGTGAAGAACGATGTCAAGGAGCAAAGGACCTATGAGTATAAATACAATCGAACGCTTCTACGCTTTCTGGGCAAGCGTGACATGAGGCATACTGAGATGACAACTTGGCTGCGAAGATCAATATCCAGAAACACGAAATACATTTGACACCTCTGCTCTTCCCCGCCTTCCCGGCCTGCTTTCATCTTTGGCACTCCAATCCTCATATCTACCAAATCTCGAGTGGCTTTCTCTCCTGGACAAACTCGCTTCGATATAGAAGCATCTTACAACTCCGGCCGTCTTGCGCTTTCCCAGTCCACTCCCATTGGGTGCAGTGATTGCCTTCTACGTCTCACACCACACCACCTTCCTCAGCCAGACGCATCAGTCGACTCACGCATATTTCCACACGGGACATCTCGAGCCGACAGCTAGGACACTTGACAGGCAAAGTGTGATCGCCTGGATCAAAGTCCTCCGCAGTCAGCTGCACAGGGCTGAAGAACGCATGTTGGCTGATGCAGAGGCTGACGAAGCACTGTGTATGAAGGCTGTTCTTGCACTGAAGGCAGGTGATCTTCTGGTATGTGTTGGGATTGCTCTCGCATTGGCAGATGACACACATTTCCGCTTCCGTCTGCGCTTCTGGTTGCTCCTCTTGTGCATTGTTGGAGATGCCGTCTTCCACTTCGGTTCCAGGTGCTGTCAGATGTGGTTGAGATTGATCGATATCCTCAGTCAGGTCGATGGGGCTGAGCCGACTGTTCTGGATGTTGGTCGTCGAGCTTGCGGCACTGAGGCGAGAGCCATCGCCATCGCCAGTTAAATCGAAGGGGTGGAGGCGAGAGCCATCGCCATCGCCAGTCAAATCGAAAGGGTAGAGGCGAGAGCCATCGCCACCGTCAGTCTGAGAGCCACCTCCGCAATATTCCTTCTGTGTTCTTTCCTTAGTTCTGCATCTCGAAGGACTGACGAAATTCCATACCATGGTCAGCTGGGGAGTTGGGACGCCTAATGCATTGGAGACGTCGTTCAATCTTCGAGGACTTAGGTGGCTGAGTGCCATATCGACATTGAGGAGCGGCGAGCGGCGAGCGGCGCAGACTCTAGCAGAAAGATTGTCAGGACTCGGAGAGGAAAGATGCCAGATAAATAGACTGGGTGAAGCAACATCAACTTTCCTTCCAGAAGTGGCAGGTCATCTTAGGCAAAGCACTAAGCACAAATCTTTCAAAGCAATGGGTCATCGCTTGCCCTTTCCCGGCAAGGTCATGCAAAATCAGCGGAAGAGGAGATTGATATGATCGAGCAAGAATTTGGAGTCTCCATCCGTGAGACATTCGTAGCAATGGGAGCACAATTCTGGAAGACGTCAGCGAAACCTCCATTCCAATTGGCGCTGCGGAAGAGGATCTTTTACCTGTGCTCTCGCTCATGACTTCCCAAGCGAGACTGGTTCAAGAGCGGCGACTTCTAAAAACGTTTGTTGATGGACAGCACTCTGAGTCGGTCTGCCGTCCAATCATCGCGAGCGTTTCGGCTTGAGGTCTGTCGGGCCCAGCATCTTGGCATGGCTACCGAACCGACCGCTTCTGCTTTTTGTTTCCCGGCCCAACTTTACCACACCACAGTTGTAGCAAAAGCCAGACGTCCTGCCAAACCTCCGTGTGATGTGGGCACTACATCTTGCGGTATTTCTATCTTCGTGGCCATTTCTCTCAGCGGAGACCGTACTGCGCCACATCGCTTCATCAAAGTCCTTGCCGAAACTGAAACCAAACCAAAGCGCTCCGTCACCATGCAAACGTAGCCTCGACACTGCTCAGTGGCATTCGGTTTCCATCTCACGCCATGTTCTACTCTCCTCCAGCTTGTTCCAATTCAACTCCTTGATCTGGCTGGCTGTGGTTGATTCCGACACAGCGGGAACTTGGCGCTGATGGATCGATCTCACGTTGCTGCGAACAGGTGTTCGCGTATCTCTCCACGGCACGGGAGCAGGGCCCATGTTCTATTCGCGAATTCGAGAGCATCTCCTTCTTGAATTATATTACAGCAAGACAACGTCTCTCATGTCGTAGTCGTCGTCCAGATGCCAATTACCGCAAAGAGATGGGTCAACTTTATCCAATAAGCAAGCTCCTCCCTCATGTCTACAAAGTACAGGACCCTCGGCATCATCTCGTTCTCCGCCTGGATGTAATGCTCCTTCGACTCTGTCGCCCAGCGAACCTTTGGGCCCACGGAAATCGCTTCTGTGATCTTCTTGGGAAATCTGCCCTACAAGGCGTGACACCATGAACAGTACAGACCGGCTGTTCTACTGTCACAAGGTTCAATCATGGTGCTTCCACAAAGCTCACGGAGGCTCATACACATGGCAAGAGGACGACCAGGAAATGTTCGCACAGGCTGAGGTTCGCCATTTGCCCTTTGATGACTGTGCCGTATTGACATCCTATCCAGGTCCGGCGCTTGCTTCAAGCACAATTCCGTACTCCTCTCTCCCAGAGCGCTACCCTGGAGTACGAGACGTCGAGGCAGGAATGGACATGGAGGAGCTCATCCAGAAGCGCTCGAACTGTGCACAGATCACGAGAGCTCACGTTGCTGCTGGATGATACTGTATGCCTGGCCTTCTCGATTCTGGCTTCGTGCTGTCCGGGCCGCGGCGACCTCGCTGACATTTTTCCCAGGTCCTCCAACACCTTCGTTCGACCTTGGCTTCCGACTCTAATCACCTTTCCGAAGAAATCACTGCAAGTGATCCTGCCCTCGCCGACTTTTTTGAGGAGAACTATCCCGAAACAACAGCACCATCGACACCTCTCCATTTCCCACCAACATCCACACTCGGAGGCGCTGAAGATACCACTGCAAGTGATCCCGCCCTCGCCGACCTGTTTGAAGAGAGTGCAGCAAGTGCTCAGCACGTCCTGAACTATGCCCAAACACCAGGACCATCGACCCCTCTGCCTTTCCTACCAACATCCACACTCAGAAGCGTCCATACACCACCACCGCCTCATTTCTTTAAAGCCATGGACCTTGCCGAGAACACGACAGACTCTCCCAGCAACATGTATGAACAGCTGTCAACGTCATCCTCGTCGCTGGACCAGATACCCACACCGTGCCCAAAGAGGTCGACCAACAGGATTTCCAAGCCAGGTCGGATGCAGTTGGACCCTCATCACCATCCTTACCGTCGTCAAAGAGGAGGCAGGGGAAGAGGAGGTTCGCAATTCTTGGTCTACACCCAAGAGAGTTTCCCAAAGAAATCACAGAAGATGTAAAATGGTGTGTTGGGTTTCGTATGTCCGGGGTTGAGAAGGATGGAGTTTTCTTTTCATGGGGTGCCGCAAATGATACTGTACTTCGATGATTGATCATGCCATGCCATGCCATGCTCCGCCTGTTCTTTCCTTTGTCGTGGCCAATGTCCATGATCAACATCCAGTCGCGACATCCGGCACAGTCCTCACCAATGCGTCTCCCACAGCAAGATCAATGCCCGCATGATGTCCATGTCCCCAGCAATCAGTATCGCTCCGAAAATCCAGCAGCAGTCCAGTCATCCCTACGAGCTCTGCTCACACGCAATCACCTCCGCACCAGAAATGATCTTCGTACCAGAAATGATCTTCGCACCAGAAATCACCTCCGCACCAGAAAACATCTTCTCGCCCTCGTCCTCGCTCGCTATCGGCCGCGCTTCTCACCTTCGACCTCGCAGCTCACCCCCAACCTCATCAATCTGGCTTCATCCTCCTCTACGTGCCTGCACTCCTGCTCTTTCTCCTCTTCCTCTCTAATCAACTCTTGCAGATCCCGCGCTACCGTCTTCCTGCCAGCGCACAATCATCTCCGCACTAGAAATGCTCTTCTCGCCCTTACGCTCGCCATCATACCAACCTCATCGGTCTCATCGTCCTCCGCTATGCCTACATTCATACTCTTTCTCCTCTTCCTCTTTGATTAACTCTTGCAAATCGCGGCGCTGCCGTCATCCTGCCAGCGCTGCACGAGAAATGTTCTTCTCGCCCTCGCCGTTACCCCAACATCATCGGTCTGGCCACCAACATCCTCCCTCCTCCGCTATGCTTGCATTCGTGGTCTTTCTCCTCTTTAACCAACTCTGACAAATCGCGGCGCTGCCGTCATCCTGCCAGCGCCGCACGAGAAATGTTCTTCTCGCCCTCGCCGTCACCCCAACATCGTCGATCTGGCCTCGTCCTCCTCCTCCACTGTGCCTGCTTTCCCGCTCTTTCCCCTCTCCCTCTTTGGTGGCTTTGGAATTAGTATGACGGCAGACTTGTGTGCACCTACCTTCATTCAGGCTTGTGGTGCGCTGTCATCCTCCTGCCAGCGCGCAAGTCCCATCGAACGCGCGAACCACGCCGTCTGCGAGCGCTGCAGAAGAATCGGCTGGACTGGACGGGGACTTGACAAGCAGCGCATACGATCCAATGCCGCGGACCAGCTGAGCTTTGCGGCATGAGCTGTTCAATGCGACATCATTCTGCAGGTATGTGTTTGATGTGTTGACAGTCTTTGCTTCGCTTCGCAGACCCGGAGTGTCGGTGTCTGTCTCAACAGTCGGACTTTGTGCATGTCTGTGAAGCGAGTCGAGGACTTCGGGACGGGACGGGACGCGGTGGGAACCTTGTCGGCGACAGCCCACCTCCGCCGGGATGCCTTTCGCCAGCAACTGCGACCATATCACACCCGATCGTAATCTACTTTGCCCCCATGTGACTCGGAATTTGCCTACAAGCCCCCCCCCCGTTCGTCGTTGTTGCAAATCACCCAATCGCGAATGCTTTGGCCGGGCAGTTCGAGGAGCCTCTTGGCACAAGACCGGAATTCCAAGTCGAATATGGCTTCGTGGGAGCTCGAGAGCCAGCCGTCTCCAGATCTGTGGGTTGCACGCAAGATTCTTCATGCGCATACCGCGCTTGGAGTTGCGTTCCCGATATCATGGAAGGCGAAGTGGGTTGAGCCAAAGATACCGGCAGTACAGCCAGCATGAGAAGAGGGTGGTTCGGTGTGAGCGAGTGCTTGAGCGCACAGGCGCATGATCAGCCAGGAAAGGTCACGACATGCTTTCGACCTGGATGACAGCGAGAGCATTGGGAGTTGCCAATTCGACGTCCGCGGGCCAGGACACGATTGGGTTGACGGCTGCATGATGGGCTTTGAGAATAACAGGTGGGTGAAGAGAGGATTGGATTCACGGCGGAATGATGACTTCTGAGAATGAGAGGTTGACACGATTGAATTGATCGCTGGATGATGACTTTTGAGATTGATACACAGGTACGTGAACTGCTAAGCATCCAAACACCAAATGCCGAATTCAAACTCAAGTTCATCCCACAACCGGACCTCGAGAACTCACTAGTCTGGAACGATCTTCATCCGTCCTTCCATAATCACGCCTGGGTTTGGTGTGCGGTGCATGTGGATTTCCTTCTTTTCAGCAGGCCATGCGCCATTGCGTGCACGTATGGGACCACAGACTTTGGTGCTCCTTCTCGTGCCACCAGCTGCTGTTCTATCTATCCACCTCTTCTCTTCTGCTGTGGGCTGTTCCGGATCGTCCTTTTCGCTCTCATCTTAGTGTATGGGAGCTCTAGTCTTCGAATCACAACACTATGTTCCGCCCACCGCAACTCTGACTCCGCTGATCAACTACGTAACCAGCAGGCCTCGTACAAGAAGATCCCTCCGCCTACTACCACGATCAAAGCACTGCAACTCAACCCAAACTCTCTTGTCTTTGCCGTCCGCTCTTCGAATACCTCATCGCTCTCAAGCCTACATCAATTCAGGCTGGCAAGAGAGTATGCGGAGATGAGATCTTGCTCCGGCTGAATCCATGCCATGCTTTGCCCGAGAAAGCCTGCTGAGATTATGACTTCAACCCTATGCGTACTTTCCGCGCTGAATTCGCGACCCATTCGGCAAGAGGAGATTCATTCGTGCACAATCGCCGTCCAAGGCTCACCTCATTTGTCCACAATGAGCGATTTCGTCAATCAGCATGCTTCAATGGAACTCAAAAGTCGGCCTTCTTGACCAACAAACATCCAGAAGACAGCCTTGGACTTCATCGACCGATCGAATTCGAGGAGCCACGGTGCATAATCTGCGCGTGCACACATTCAAAAAATCGGATCCCAGCTTCACGTGGCATGAGCATTCATAAGCTTAAGACAGTTTACCTTTACTCCCGAGAGAGACATATGGTATTGAGATGAAGACAACTTCCCGAAATCTGGTGTCCAAGTAGGAGTCTTTGGCAAGAACTGGCCACCGCCCGGAATCGTTGCGGCTTGATGCAACATGTCTGACCAGATCAGGTCAGTGAGGAGCTCGTCCTCTATGCATCCATGTGCCTGAAAAATGGCGGAGGAGCAACTCCAAACCCAACCTTTGCAACCAATTCTCGAACACACATGTTCGCAGCTCTGCTGGCTGGGATTCTGTATGATCGATCGGCTTTTCTTCTTCGGTGCTGCTCGAAAGTTTGTGCAAGACCAGGACAGGACTTGGGGTTTCTACCGCTCGCTTCTTAGTTATGATCTGCTGCCAACTTCCCTGTCCCTGGACACCGAACGCTCATACACATCCTCGGCGCAAATCTCGAGTGGCTCGCTCAAGTCAATGGAGTGGAAAGCGTAATGGGGATGAGGTATGTATCTCCTGGGCCTGCTTTCCTTGCGTCCTCGAATCCAACTTCTCATTTCATTATCAAATACAGAGCTGAAAGTCCCATCCCATCCCGTCTTTCCAACCCCAAAACTCTCAAGCCTCAAAAAAACACTCGCCACCACCACCCTCTTGACTTCTCCAACCCCGACTCCCACCAAGCCAAACGAAGCATTCACTCCTTCTCCATTTCTCAAAAACCCGTTCCCGCCTCAATTTGATCTTCTTAGACCTTCCCATGCCCGTCCCGTATCTTCTCGGATCCAAAACGCCAACCCAGGCAGGCACGTCAGGTTTCAGCAAAGCTTCCACCCTCGTGTGAGTGGCTCTGGTGTCGGGCTCGGAAGAAATGATGGATTTGGAGACGTGTGTTGCGAAGAAGGTGTAGAGGTCGTTCATTTCGCTGTCCGTTTCGAGAGGCGATGTGCTGGACGATGATGATGAGAATGTGAACCACGCTCGCAGAAATTTGGTGGGATGGGTTGGACAGCCTTGGCCTCCAGCGTCAGCAACTCCGTCAGTGCAACGCTCGAATTTTCCCAATGCCCAACGACGGGATATGGTTCGGGAAACTTGTCGGAGGAATGGCGCAAGAGTCAGGAAGGTTGCGTGCCATTTGCCATCGACAGCGAGGTGGTAGAGCGCAGTTGGATTTTCGAAGCATGATTGATTGGCGGTGGTGTTGGAGGCAAGGTTGGATGTGATGGTTGCGAGGGCGTCGAGTGGTGGTGTTTGCGATGAAATGTCGGCCGTTGCAGGGCATTCCCGCCCCAAGGTTCGCAGGACGTCGGAGAGACACTCATGTGCAAACTCGTCGACGAAAGCAACGGCTGCCTGGAGACGAGCGAGCAGGATGGCAGCCGCCACATCGTAGACCAGGAGCCGGCCTTCGATCTGCTGGAGGCGGGCGAGAGTGTCGACGAAGGGCTCGAGCTTTGTTGTGTGTGGAACGCTGGTGTGGTTGTTGTCGACTGTCTGCGCGATGCTTTCCAGAATGCCGTACAGATGAAGGAGTGAGGCGGCGATTCGTTGCTGAAAGAGCGTCACACCGCTGACTTCGAGGAAGCTCATCCCACGGAGATCCGCTTCCCATGACCGGAGGAGCAGCATGGACAGTTGCAATGAGACATCGGGGAGCGGTCGTGAGAGCCAACACTGGAGTTCGGATTTCCACCGATAGAGTCGCCCAGGATCTTCTTGCTCCGGCATACCACAGGTCCGGAACCACTCGATGACAGGAAAATGGGGAAGATGCTGGACATCTCGTTCAGGCTCGGCCACGCGCTGTAAGTGGCGTTGGACATGAGGTGCGAGGACAGTCTTTGCGAAGTCGGCGATGATGTCGAAGTCATTGCCCAGCTGCAGCAGTGCAGGGTCGGTAGAGGAAGTGTTCGTCAGAGACGGCAGGGGGATGAACCACGTATCGGTGAAGACGTCGACGAGGCCTGTCTCAGCGCCTCGGGCCAGGCTGCCGATTGTGTGTTGGTAGACACATGGCGCGATGAGGTTTGGGTTCCTGTGCGCGATCGGGATCAGCACGGTGACTTGTCGCAATGGGGTTCAAAGGGATGTGCGTACCCATGGACGTGGCATGGAGGCGCCGTCTGCAGACATTGCGAAAGCCAGACGAGGAGTGGAACGGCAACGGCCGCGCAGGAAAGGACCACGACCGGTGGGAGATTGAAGAATCCGCCGCGACCTCCGTTATCCGCGTCGGCGTCGTCAGAATCCGCATCGACGTCAGCATCATCATCATCATCAGCACTGGCATCGGCATCGGCAGCGGCATCGGCAGTGGTGTCGGCAGCAGCTCCGTCAGGTGCGTCGTCATTGGCGCGGGCTGAGGCGACGGCGGCGGCAGCATCGGCAGCCGCGGCAGCAGCCCTCGTCTGTGCGCGCGTGGTGGGGGCCATTTGCATCGACAACACAATGATTCAAGGACTGTCAGGGCAAAGGACGGCGAGATGTGGAGGAAACATGTCCACATGCTCCTTGCGGAATTGCAAACAGCACGAAGCCGGAAGCCGCTCTGTTGTTGTTCTGCATTCCGCACACGCCAGCAACGACAATAGGAAGCGCTGCCTTGGCGCACACCCCACGCACACGACCCCACGATCCCACGATCCCACGAATTTCATTTGCGCACCGCGAGCATTTGCACTTAACATACTGTACACTCGCACTTATGAACGGCAGGCAAGACGTGGGAACGTATGAAAAGGCCAAATGTCAACCAAACATCTTGAGTATCGTCGCTCTCCTACTGTACTGCGAGTTCTTTTCGAATACTTGCGGCGACGATTTCGCGGTCGTCGCCCTCGAATGATACCCAACTCCACACTTGACCTAACCTGCACCAGCAATGAACGAAACAACCCCGGGACTTGGCCTGAAGCAAAGTCGGCATTTGGATGGTCTTCGTTGTCCTGCCGTTGCAGAAGAGGTAAGTGAAACTACTATTTCATCGCAGTGCTCTCCGACTGGCCCACCTCGCATGCGGACATCACGAATGCTTCCTTCAACTCGACCTCTTTGAACGGATCTTCGACTCCAGCACACGCGATGGCCTCGCATGCCTTGGCCACATTATTGGCTGTGAGCTCGAGCGGAGACGTCTTTTTGTCGTAGAGTGGATGCGCCTCATCCAGCCCGCTTGATACGACTGCCAGGGCACGCACGGCATCGCCGATAGTGGCGAATGCGAAGAATCTCGAAGCACGAGCATCTGCATGCTTGGCCAAAGATGATGGTCGCCCCGAATCGGAAGCTGGTGCAGCTTCATTGAGACACCAATCGTCAGTCGCCAGAATCTTCCCATGAACATCGAATGCCTGTGGGAGGGGAGAGCAGTGCTGGGAGATGTGCGCTGAAGGTAAGCTTACCTTCCTCTTTGATCTCGACACCAGCAACAGCGACCTTTTCATCCTTTGCCTTTGCCTTCTTGACAGACAGGTAAGTCCCTGGCTCGTATAGGTCGAGATCCTCGCTGCCGTCCTTACAACCTGTGGGTCTTGGTCAGAAGTGAGAATCACGTGGGCCAAGATTGTCCCATACTGCCCGAAAGCTGGATGCGTTCCATATCTTTGACGAGCTCCTCTGGCTGCGTTGACTCTCGGCCTCTCCCGCCGTATCTGAGAGACTCTTGGAGATCCCGTGGCAGCGCAAACGCCTTCTCCAGTGCTTTCTGGTCCATGTTGGAATGGATGGGTATGGCGACGGACACTTGGGGCGTCGGAGGACGATGTGCTGGGTTGGAGGACTCTGGTGAATGGTGGAATGAGAACGTGAAGGACAGCACAATGTTTCTGGAGCAGCCGGCAGAGTGCGGTGATCGTGATGAAGGGCCAATCTCGGTGGATGTCGAGCGGAGATGACGAGGAAGAAGGATGTCAAGAAGAGGGAAATTCCTTCCTTTCCATCGTTTGGGAGAAGTGGATCGCGGAAGAGCGGTGTTCAAGAATCAAGATATGCGAGCGATGACGAGCTGCGGCTATCGGAGGGCCTTCAAGAGCGGTGAGAGCAAAACACGTTGATCATGATGGATAGCCGTGCAAGTAGGAGTATTGAGCTGCGGCTGTCCGAAGCGGCGAGGCGAAGCTCAGAGACAAAACCTGGTTCGTTGTCAGGTATGCGAGTGGGGAAGCAATACATATGGAGTGTGGAGATATGGGAGGTGCCTCGTCCAAGCCGTTATCAGAGGTGCAAGTCCAGCAGGCTGATGAAGTTGGCTGATTCAGAAAAGGTTCGTTGCACGACCATCGTCATGAAGCCTTTCGGAGTTCGGAATCAGGAGCGACATGTGGACCGACCCCAGAGTCTTGGAAGCTTGGAAGCTGACACAGCTCGGATGTTTGGTAGATGGCAGACGACCTCCCTCCCAATCTGCAAATCCGCCCGCCAACCAGCCAGCCTGCCATTTTGCTGCTTGACCCTGCATCATGCATCAGATACGGGTCACGATGTGCAACGACTGATTGCAGGGCAGCAAAATGACACCAAACACAGCACGTCTGGTCCGCAGCACGCATACTGCGTGTCATGACCTGCAACTATCCGCTCCATGCATGTCGTTCATGTAGTTGCGATGGCAAATGGCGTTCCATGGGTCTGTGCCGATGCAAAGAAGACTGGCAGGGTTCCACATTCGAAGCAAACGTGCCTCCTTTCACCCAGACCTTTGACTGCTTGACTTATTCACTCACTGGATTATTGAATTGAACAGCAGCCACACGCCACTTCGCACAATCGCTGTCCCACGCAGGACTTGTCGCTTGCCACAAGGAATCCTTGACTGCTTGACATCAGTGGTTCATCCATCATTCAGTCCGCCACTTCTCATCATCGCCGTCGAGACACAGTGCAGGACGTCTCGCTTGCCTCAAGAAATTCTTGGCTGCTTGACTGATCCATCCACCATTGAGTCCGCCACTTTTCACAGTCGCTGTCAAGACCAACACTGCGCAGGAGTTGCAGCTTGCCAAGGACTGGAGGAGGAACATCATCTGAAAGCCCATTCGCATCTTCGAGCATGCTCTGATTCCGTGGAAGTATGGACGACTCAAGAAGCATACGATGGCTTGTCGATTGCTGGGCAGATGTCTCATGCCTCCGCCTCTTATACTGCGCTTACATTCTGGCCTGGATTGCTGTTGGCTTTGCGCTGGGCTATCATCAATACTACTATGCCGGGCGGGCAAAGTGGAGATGGACGCCATATGCAATATCCGCAGCTGTCTGGTTGATCAGAGCCGCTCCCTTCATGTTGTTCAGCAAACTATGCACAGAGCGATGGGCCACTGCCGTTTTGCTTCTCTACGTGCTCTCGCCATGGCTCCTCAGATTTCGTCCTCGCCTTCCTATATACATCATCATCATGCTGTGTAGCTTCATCGGTGGCACAATCATATCGATGCTTCTGGATCCTGGCATGCTGGAAAACAATCTCCACGACGTCAAAAGCCTTGACCGACTTCGTGCATCCTACCGTCAGGGAGAAGACTTGAACGCGCTCTCCACAAGCGTCCTTCTGACACCAGATGCTTCGCTCCTCCCGGTTTTGGACTTTCTTGCCCGCTGCGCGCCTTTGTATCACAGACACAATTTGCACACTCTGGCATACTGCGAGGTCGATCAGATGGTGTCATATCTGAATCTCCCCACGAATGTCGTGGAAGCATACTCGCGGCTGTGGCCAGGATTCTGCCACGGTTCCCGCCCAGCATCAACGTCGTCCGTCTCCTCCTCCAAAGAAGTTTCCCAGCTTGGCGCCCAACTCTTGTACGTCCGCTCCGCCCTCGCGGCTACCATCAACTCCTTCCAATACGAGCTCCTCCCACTCCTCGATCTGCTCAGCTCCAACGCATTATCCCTTCGCCGATCAACCAACGCCATCGACCCGGAAGATCTCAACTTCCTGGATGCAGCATTCACGTTTTCCTGTCCTCAAGGTCTTCATTCATCCTCGCTTGTCCCGCACTATCACCCTTGGCGGGCTCACCTCTACTGCAACCTGTTACGAAAGTGGGTTTATCCTTCCCACGCTTTCTCCTGGGTCCAATTCCTCGGAGCCCGCGCAACTCCTCAACTCCGCCGCGTCCACCGCCAAGCAACCAAATTCCGCTCATCCATCGCTACAGTCACAACTCGACTCAGCCCTGCTATGCTCCACTCTATCGGTCTCTCCGAGCATGTCTACAGCATCATCAGCACAATCTCACCTATCCCAACCCTCGTCCCGTACGATCCCAATCTGGGCAAAGAGATCAATCTGCAAGCGAATCGCGCGGCACAGCAGCGGTTGGATGCCGTGGGATTGCAAGCCGATGATGCGAGAGCGTTGGAGCACGGCAGACAGAATTTACTCAAACTCCTCGACCAAATGCTCCACATTCTCCCCGAAGCTGAATCAGATCCACAATCCTGGCATACTGAAGGGCAAAATAACTTAACCTCCCTCGCAACATCCACCCTCCAACTCGCATTGAACGACCGAGTTGGAGAGAAGCAAGGACTTCTACTACAAGCCACCATCCTTCACGACGCATGGCTCGCACGCGGAAACCCTGTGAGAGACGTCTCGCGGGGATGGGATACGAGGAATTGGGAGAAGTTCGGGGAAGGCATGGCGGAGAGGGCGGTAGAGGGTATGAAAGTAGGCAGAGAGGAGCCGGCTTTACTTCCCGAGAAGGTGTACAGGGAGGAGGAGGGAAGAAGAGACGGTTTTTCGTGGAAGACTCGGGTGAGAAGTGCTTTGTTCAGTTGATTCCTGGGAATGCGAAGGGCATATCCATAGTGGTTTGTGGAGACTGGAGCTTTCAATCTACGTACCGTACCGCATATGAGAACGCCAGTCGACGTCTCATCAAGGAAGGAATTCATCAACTTTCAAATGCGTATCATCTCACTCGAAGGCGTGTTTGTACCGAGATAGTTCGCAATGGATGGCGACCGAAGATCTCCAAGAGGCTGCTTCGAATGCTTAAATGAAATTTCATTGAATTTACTTATCAAGCTCAACCCCGCCGCCGTCCTTCAGCACTTCCATCAATTCTACGCCGCGTCCTCCGTACCGTATTCTACCTACAGAACGTCTTTACACCTTATTCGCGCCCATTCTATCCATGATTATCCCAAGGATGCGCCCATAATATGGCTTCTTACCACGACCTGCCTATTGCCGTGCGTGCGGTTGTCGTTGCTTACCACTTCGACCAGCGCATGCAGCCCACAGACATTGCTCGTGCCGTAGACTGCCCCAAATCCGCCATACACTCACTGCTGCAACACGTCAAGCTGCAGCGCCAGCGCCGCGTAGAGTCTCAATCCGCCGAACCTGCGCCTCTCAATACCGACCTCGACCTCGACCTCCCGTCTCTCCTTCAGCTCATCTCAAGTGACGGCAGCGCCCTGTCCCATTCGGCTTCCGGCGAGCATGGCCGATTGTTGAGCACAAGGGAGCTTTTGCGGCGTGAACAAGATGCAGAGGAGACTATGCAGATGGCTGAACAACGCTTGGCCGAGGCGCAAGATCTGAAAGACAAGCTTGATGAACGTGAGCGCGACTTGGCCCAGCGCGCGTCCAGGTTGGAGCTGAAGGAACGACTGTACAGCTCCGAGATCCAGCTCTGGCAAGAAGCTCAGGCCAAGGAGAAGGAGGAGGGAAAGGAGGAGGAAGAGAGGACAGAGTTGCAGCGCCGTCGCAGTAGCCCACATGCGCAGCCAGGTGCGAACACTGATGATGGTCATGACCGGAAGATGGGAGTAGAACACCACCGAGCACAGCGTGCCCAACACATCTCCTTGCTCAATCAGTGGCGCCACGATGTCTCGGCCGCGCTGACTTCATGGCAGTCCCAGCTACAGATCATGGCATCCAACATTGCACGTCTGGCCGAAGCTTTGATCCAGGAAGTCGAGCTCTTGCAACACCATGCCGCCGGCCATAGCAGGCGCAGAATTAGCAGCAGCTTGGGCAGTGCGGCCTATCACCTATACGACCTCTCACTGGCAGCCGAACTCGAACGCTGCGGCGAAATATGGAGCCGCGTCAACAGTCTTCAAGCAAGCCTGCCTGCGAGCGTTGCGCCGGGAACTCCTAGTCACGCGCATGCAAGAAAAGGCACTGTCGATACGCTCGCGAGCAGAGGTACCCAAGAAAGTCCTACGAGAAGCAGAAGCATTGCCAACAGCGCTGCAAGCGGAGCTTCGCCAACTGCACAAGATGGAGAGACAGGACATGGACAAGCCGAGAGATGATCGCCAGCGAGACTTCTTGGTCGACAGACTTCTACTTCGACATTGGCGCTGAAGCATGTCCGAAGCATGTGTACTGCAGGCAGTGCCATATACTACGCAATGCCGATGTCTGCCGCAATGGGCGGAATTATGGCCGCTTCGAAGATCTCCATCGATGGATTTGTGCAGAATACGGACATTTCGCTGGCTTTGGTGAAAACTGGGAAGGAATTTGAGTGATACTTACCGAAAAGCAGGTACTGCAGCCGAGGGTACTGCCCACAATTGAGCAGTTTGGTAAGACTCATTTCGACGCCGTGCTCCTTCCACCAGGCTATCGGGGCACAGGTGCGGCCTCTTTAGGAAACCCACGAGATCAACACTTCCATATTCCTTTCTCAGGAGACTCTGTAGAGACACTGGGGGCGCTGTGACGACCATGGAAAGCAGAAATGCCACAATCGGCCTGTACATGTACGAATCTCCAAATTCATGGAAGGACCAACAAAGTCGGAGATTCATGATTTGGTAGGTATTTCCGTTTCCACTCCCATTTTCCATCTCAGGACACTGAGTGCCATACTCATGCTGAGAGCGCTATGCTTCGAATGAACGTCGGGAGCAGACATGCCAGAATTGGTCCAAGCCTGGAATAGGCTCCAGTTTCACGAAGAAACCGAGAAGGCCGGTGACCCACAATTTCCTCATATCTTCCTTTTCAGGCAATGCCTTTCTTTTCAGGAAAGTCATTTACTTACGTCTTCCGTTTTCAGGAACATTGGACCAGAGTGGAAGAACACCGTGTGGTTGCGATTGTCTATTCTCATCTCTCTTTCATGATTTCTACGCCCAACTTTCCACCTTTCCTCCCAAGCTTGCACACCTCAGCACAAAAGTCACTACACAGTCACAATTTGTCCCTGCCAGCCCTGCCATATCCACCACCGAAGACATGGCTGCCAGAGATCAACTTCGAACCATCTTCGGCTTCAACAACATGATCTTCGGCGGAGGAAGCTGTCCAACATCATCGCCAATACCAGCAGTCTTCGCCAGCCTCAGCGTTGCCTCGCATACCAAGCAACCTCGAACACCAATGGAAGAAGAAGAAGAGGAGGAGGAGGAGGATGAGGGAGACTCATCAAGCCAAGAATGCTCACCTTCCCCGATCTTCTTCCGCCAGCTCGCGGATCCCTTCTCGTCTGAAGCCACCACAGTCCGCAAAGCCGAACATACCTCCAATACCAATCGCTACGGCGTCAGCATTCTCAACTGGTCTCAACCACCATCTTCCGCGTACTCTGCAACTTCGCCAATCTCATCTCATCCATCACCTGAAGCATCCATATTGAACTCTTCCATCAAGCTACAAGAAGCTCTTGGCTTCATCACATCGCCACTACACCGAAGGAAGAGAGTTCATGTAGAGAAGGAGGATGGGGAGATTTTTGGGAATCGGGCTCGGGGTAGGAGTTTAGAGGATTCTCCTTGTAAGGACAAGTTGAGGAAGGTGAGGGGGGGAGGGGTTGGGAAGGGTTTGAAGAAGATGGATGGAAGGAAGGTGGGAGGGAGGAAGGTTTGAGTCATGGGGAGGGTTTGAGGGAGAGGATCTCGGGAGGGAGGTGGTTTCTGATGGGAGGTGGGCTCTGGAAGGAGGGCTGGGAGGAGAGAGAGGAGAACGTAGAGAGAAGATGGATGTGTGTGTGTATCATACATATACTTGATCAATCAGTGCAGGCTACGCAAAACTTTCCTTTCTGTTCATATCGAGAGAGTGACAACGTCCCGACGGGCCTGTCCCTGGGGAAAGTTTGGCGTGGGCGGAGATGTTGCCGTGCGTGATGAAATGAATCGGTGAGCCGAACAGTGTCAGCGACAAGAAGTCTCTATGTCCACCGCTATGCAACCTCAAGAATTCCCAACTTTAGCTCCTGATCTTCTCGAGGAACATCCTTACAAGAGACCCCACTGCAAGGAGATGTCGTGGAGAAGACGATGTGCACGATCAGCGTATATAAGATTCCCGTCGTCTCGTGGGAGCGCCGCTCTCCTCCTGAGTTCAGCAGCAGAGACAAGCACGGCAGGAAGCCCAGCTTCGGCGCATGCATTCTAAGGCTATATCCAACATCGACAACAATCGTCGCGTCGTATCATAAGTGGTCATTCTCGAACGGGGTGCAGTGAATCCATGGATTTGGATACAGATCGGCCTAGACGCGATGCGGATGCGCCTAGGGAGCAGTGTAAGGGCCGAGATCCGCTTTGCCTTCCTAGGTCAGAGCAGGCTTCGTTTGAGATGTCGTAGAAATCAGTGTTGAGATGTGTAAGCGCTTCTCCGACCTCAATCTGAAGCGGGCCCGGAACTGGTCGCGCGCTCGAGACTAGGGTGCTGCGACACTCTGAAGTTGTCGTGTTACTTCCAGCACCTTCAACACCCTCGCCTAATGCATCTCGCGGTGGCCGATTGACTAGAGGCTTCGAGATAACGGCTCATGCGGTGTCGGTGTCGGTATCTCGGAAGATCTCGTCAAGTTGTTGTTCCAGAAGAAGTCGCTAGCTCAAACGAAGTCATGTTCGGATTGGAGTGACGAGGTAACGGAATGGCCATGTCGGAAGTAGGTGAACAATCCTGCCAGGCCATCGGGTCTCGTTTTTTCTTTCCGCGTTGCCGATATGTGCGGTATAGTGTGTAGCAGATGGTCATCGAGCATCGTCGCGAGCGTTGCGCATAATTGATTGTGCGCCAGGCTGGGGATGAGATGTGGAAATGTCGATGCATATGATCAGGAAGTGTTAGGCTCTTCGGCGTCGGAAACGTGTGTGGTGCTCGAGGAAATTTCACCTGGCATCTTTAGTTGAAAAGCCGGGATTAGTCAAATTCTCATTCAAGTTTGACTGGACATCAGTAGTGAGAAGCTGAATGGGGAAGACTCCGATCCGCCGACTGCCTCCGCAATCTCCAACGCGCACTCACTTTCCACTTGACCTTTAGCACGCTCTCCGCGACACTACGAGCACACCCAGCACTACATACCACACCTCGGAAATGATCACCAACGATCACAACACCCCCAACGCGCCGATCGACGACAACACCTTAGACCACTTCGCGCCATGAAACGGCGGCTGGTTTACGGTGCCTCTCCAAAATGGAAGTTTCTCGATACAAAGTCGACCGACTGATCAGCTCAGGGAGCCACACCAATCCGTTGAATCAGAGCAACTGGCTGAGCTGAATGGTGGCACCATCATGCAGCTGTGCGGCCTGGGCTGAGCGTCCACCACGACCCATCAACATTGGAATCGCACGGATACAACGACAACATCCTCACCACGCCTCAGACTCTCGACTCACGCCGAATAGCGAGCATTCGCCCACTGCTGGCGCTACATGTATGCGGCGCGACAGTACATACATCGGCTAGCCGGCGCGGACGCGATCCACGACGCGAATGGAATTGGAAGGCACATGAGTTTTGCGAGCACAAGATATGTCAGTAGTCTTGACAAGATCGCCATTGGATGTCGTTGGAATGAAAGAGCGTAGCATCAACCGAGCCTACAACAGAGGAAGCTGAGGCTGACCTGACGATGGCCGCCGATCAACCTGGATCTGTGTGGTAGGTAATCTGTTTGGTGAGGAATCTGTGCGGCGAGGAATCTGAGGGAAGAAGAATCTGAGGGAACTGAGCCCGAGAGCTTGCTGAAAGGCCTTCCTGGCGAAGATCTCGTAGTGCGATACGCTCGGCGGCGGCATGGAGAACATTCCAATCACCATGGCAGACTCCGAAATCTTGTCCAGCAGAAGACTCCGTGTGCTGGGTTGCCCTCCATCAAGCCGGCGGAGGATGGGAAAGGAGAATCGAAATGCGATCGCTGTCATCATGATGGTGGAAGTTACAGGTGAGGGAAAGCCGACTCACACCAAGCGAACCTCTCTGACTGTAATCTTGCAACATCGCGGAGATGTGGCGACCTCGAAACACATACTCGACATGATGGTGACGATGAACGCCGACTGGAACATGTCTATCACCTGCAGCAACATGTCATGGCTCAAGAAGGATGGCTCTCCTGGACCAGGACTGCGGCGCTGTTATGTGAGCGATGGCTTACAGTCTCCCAGGTCATCCATTCCCCGGCAACATGTCCCAGCCCGCTCCGTTCATGAGAAACATGACATTGATTGGAGCTCCAACGTATCATCTGCTGCAACACAGGGCCATCCATGATGATGATCGCTTTGCCATTACGAGAAACATGCCCGCGGTGTTCTGAAAACCAGTTCCATACTGGAACAACTGCTCGACCTCACACTCGGTTCATGTTATCGGCAAACCACTGGCGCTATGCCCCACCAGCATGCGCATCACAACTGTACAGAACTGCTTCATGTGCCAGGTGCCAGACAAATCAGACGTTGGTGCGGCATGGCCAAGGCTGGTGTTGGACGGGCCTCGATCGAGAGCTGTTGGACAGCAATATTTGTCGCCAATGACCAGCACAAGCACAGCACGATCCTCACGAATGATCAATGCGACTAAACAGTACATCAGGCTAGCCCAAGAACCGACGAGGCACGAAGCCATGCACTAAATGAGGACGTCGTACCCTGCGAATTCTCCGATGTCATATGCACGTTGCCAAGCATGCCCTTCATCAATCTTTCTATAGCAGTCTTGATCAAAATGCCATCGGGGCTGGTCAACCATCCTGATTTTGCATTGCCCTGCCCATTTCAGCGCCGTCATGTTGAGGATCTCAACTATGGCAACGTTCATCATCCCGCTCAAAATCAGCACCCCAGCCGATGTAGGCCGGCAACCCAGACAACTGCTTGGAGCCCTTCCTGATGAGTTCGAGCGAGCGGTTGCCCTTGAGGCAGAGAAAGGGCCGGATGATCAATCTTGGCCGACTTCCGGTGCATCGTCGACATGATCTGAGCGCCGATGCTCTTCCCATGAGCATGAGAACCACTAGCTGTCATCTACTCCGAGAAAACCATCTGCGCTTTCCTCCACAGCCTCCGACTCCCAGCCCAGCATCACCACCGGTGGTTTTGGCTCCCTGGAGATCATCTCCTTGGCTGGGTCATACCTGAAATTGCCAAACATGCCCCCAAAGATGATCATGATCATGACGAGTGCGTTGCCATCAGCTGCCCGCATTGTCCGTTGATAATCCACCAGGTCATCATGACCGTTACGAAAGCCAACGAGGAAGACTCCCTCGACTGGCGAGGTGTCGATGATGCTCCCTTCGGTTCTGGACAAAAGAGCTGGTTCTGCAAGTTGTGCAACCACATAGCCAGAGAGATGATCAATGGCTACGGTCACAAGACCGCTGGAGGAAATCACTGCGAATGCCGAGAAGCGCCGAAGAGATCGATGCTCTTATGAATACGGCATTGCAAGTCATCCTGGTCAGCAGATCTAACGAATGCTATTCCAAATACTTTTCCTCAAAATGGCCGATGCGTTCTCAAGGGCGCGCACGAGTTGCTCATCTTGCCGCCATTGTGTCGTGTTCACGATGGCTACTGTCAAGCACAAATCTCTCACTAAGCCCTTGTTCCTAACCATGACACGCCTCGTGATAGTGAAGTGCAATTCCTCGATGATTATGATGACGAGAGTTTGGTGACGACTAACAAGACTCGCAGCATGCTCAACACGGCGGTAAGTTTATGGTGTTGAGCTCTGTGAACTGCACAGATCTGCACACCAGTATTGAACCTCAGCTCCTTGGCTCGGGAAGGCCAGCCGTACTCTGATTGGAAGTCCGCGATACAGACATGATCAATTTCAAGACGACTGACACTGCGACACGGGACCACGATCGAGCCGACCACCCATCGGTAACAGCCACAGCAGAGACGTGCAATGGGATAAGGCCTGTGGAGAACCCTATCAGACAGCACGACATAATCCGCGAGATGATCCCATTGTCGAACAGCACCCCATCTGTGGGCGGGATTACTGAATGATCACTGCCCCGACGACATCATAGGCTGTAAGAGACCAGGCGATTATTGGTTGACGACTACGATTGCGTCTATATCAACAGGATCCGACCGATGAACAACATCATCATGTGCTACGATTTCAGTCTGATTCTCGTGCCCATAATCGACATGGCAAGAGTGCAGAAGGACCATGGCCAGGAAGATGACCATAACGAGCATCCTGACACATGGGTGGTATCCCGAGTTCCTGCTCACAAGTGATGCCGGGAAGATGATCATGACGAGCATCCTGATTCATGGTGGTATCCCGAGTTCCCCCAAAAGCGGTGATCGCAGCCCAACAGACATTGACTCTCTGGCACTCTATGCGCTGTGGAGAATGCCGGCGCTTGATCCGCAATGACGATCTTGGTCACCCAGCCGCGCAGGCCCTTGAAGGTGTCCATTCTCTAGATTGCCATGGGTTCGAAAATGCCGGAAAGATGATCATGGTGAGCAACCCGATACGTGGATGGGATTCCGAGCTCCCCCAAGAGCGGAGCGGTGATCGCACTCTCAACAGACACTGACTTTCGGGCACTCCAAGCGCCGTGAAGACTGCCGACGCTTGATCCACAGTGGCGGTCTTAGTTGCCTAGCCGCGCAGACTCTTGAAGGAGGTCATCCTCTGGCTCGCCATGGTTTCAAAAATGACGTTATGGCTATAATTGACATGTACTCATTGGCCTCTGGGTCAATCACGATCGTCTTCGCCAACCAGTCAGCGAAATGAAACCCGCGCTCGGCTTTCTCGAGGGGATGAAAAGCATAGACCGGCACCGCATTCATCAAGGCAACCCTAGCTGCACAGCAAAGGTACAGGGACCTCGTCATTGTGACAAACTTCTACGTGAGCTTGATGACAGTCGGAACCGCTATGCTCAGTCTTTCTGACGCTGTTCTCGACCTCATGATGACCATCTTCCCGAGGGCTGTCATCGCAATGGACTCAGCCAAAACCTGCACACCTGGAGTGCATCGAAGGCCGGATCCTGGATCATAAGCTGGTGCTGAGGCAACGGGAGGAGTGAACGATCCGGGGGTCATGAAAAGCACTGCTGGGGATAGGGAGATGCTCGATGTTGAAGGCAGACTAGTCAAGGGACTCAAAAAAGAAGAGTGCGAATGGGCATGAGGCGACGGAAACCGATGCAAGCCAGCTACACTTCACCACCTCTAGACGTGGTCAAGTGCTCGGAGCAAAATGAGGTAGGGATATGCTCGATGTCGCGAACGCCGGAGGCAGACCAATCAAGGGACTCAAGAAGAGAGTGAGAATGGGCATGAAGCGACGGAATCCGATGCAAACCAGTCAACGATGTGTGGCATTCACCACATCTAGAGATGGCTAAGTTCTCGGAGCAAAGTGAGAATGAACAGCTCCGGGGGACTCGCAATGCTTAGAGCGATAGGTTGCAGTGTCCAAGATGTTGGTGGAAGACGACAGCAGTATAGTTAAATCTCAGCCAGACTTCAGGAACAACTTCATCTACCAGAGGCTCTATAGAGCTCCTGACTATAGTGACCAAATGGACGAGGAGCTCGATTGGGATCGCCGTCGTGCCTAAGAAACACCGCTGTCCAGATCCGCATCTCTTCTCCTTCTGCGCATTGGGCTTCGATACACTGCGAAAGTCAGCCAGTGTCTGCTTCAGGACGTAGGCGGCGCAGCAAGCAGCAGACATGATTGGCCTCCTGTCTAGCTAGGCAGCGCTTCTGCGTGGCACATTGTCTTAGGTGTCCGGTGGAAGTTGATGTCGATGCTAAAGAAAAGCTAATCACAGGCACTTCAAATCAAGCCATACGAATTACAAAGATGGTTCAAGTTGATACCTGATGAAGAGACTGAATGTGGGCTTTACCCGGGCACTTATCGAGCCACTGTTAGATGTTCCCCATTCGTGCCAGGTCTGTTCGGCAGCGATTCCGCCTGCAAGTCTCAATGCCAATGCTGATCCTGCGACTACTCGTAGGGAACGCATACGAGAGACCTCCTCCAGCAGTTGTAGCAATGTGGCTGCCCCTCGTCACATTTCTTCTTGCGTATCCTGCATGTCCTGCAGCCAGTCTTCAATCCTCTCAGATGTAGCTTGATGCGTAGGTGGTCGAATTCGTCTTGAGATTGGTTGGATTGCTCCTGCGAGTGTGCGATGCCATTGTTTGCCTGGGAGACTTCGGAGCGTGCAGGACTCTCGCGGTGTTCGGCAGCTGTGCCTAAATGTCCTACAGCATTAGCATTGGCTCGTGTCTCCGTATCATCGCGCGCTTGATGATGAGACGCGGCAGCACGCTCTTGTTTGGTTTCAGCAAGTTGGGTTGCGCATGATGGCTGCAATATGTCGGTCATTCGGTTGGGGTTTGCTGCGATGTCGTCGTCGGTCGTTAGGGAGAAAGCCGCAGGTGTCGCGACGCTCTCGGCTGCCGCCGAGTGGATGTCTGTGGCTGGCGGTCTAGCGGTCTGGCGGCGCAGAGGTGAAGGCTACGCGTGTCCTATTGATAGCGGGTGGGTCTAGCTATGGGCGTAGGACGTTTGGAGCGCGTCGCTAAGAGACATCCGCATAGCGTATAAAGTTGGTAGGAAAGCCAAAGAGGAGCGAGCCGCTAGCCATGACTTGGTGCGGCATGATTGCTCGGGTGTGTCGTGTTTCGAGTGTGCAGCTGTTGTGCTACCTAAACACCTTTCGCCGTAGACGTCTTTCCCGGTTAGGACTATTGGCACTAGTGTTAAGAATATTAGCAGCTACGCGCTAAGGGCCAAACTCTGAACGCTAGACTTAGAGCTTCCTAAATCTTTAACTAAGAGAATCTCGCGAACGTAGTACGATCTCTTATAATAAAGAAAGTAAGAGTAGAATAGCTTCGGATAATAGTAAACTCTCTATATCTATGCTTTAGTATATTTAATAAATAGCGCTGCTATACTATACCTCTCCTTACCGAACTAACCTACGAATTCCGCTAGACCTATATAGGAAGGACGTTCCTAATACTATAGTAGGCGCGGATATTCTATAGCCGAGGAGCTAAGCCTTTAGATATACCGAGACTAATTAATACTATTAGGTCGAGAAGAGTATAGGCATCGTACGACGTACTTAACTAGCCGAATACCTAGCGGATCTAAGTAGAGGCGTACTAAATCTATTTCCGAGCTAGTTAATATTTCTATTCCTAAAGCTTAAGTATATCTAATATTATATATAAACTACTTTGTCGTTATCGAGGAGGTATTAAAAGTCCTTAGTGCCTCCGCTATAGATCCTCGGCGTAGTTCTTTACTACGGATTACGCCTTAGCTAATAGAATAAAGGTAGTAAGAACTAGGAAGTAGATTACTAGGAAATAATTCGTAGATAGTAAGTAACGAAGGTTTTAGGCTATTATAGACCCTAAGATCCCCGTTAGATAATCGTTAAAGGTAGAAAAGACCTAGGCCCTATAACGACTTTAGCGATCTAAGCTAAGATAAAGAAACTAGTAAGTACGACTACGATATACTATAGCGACTATTAGCTATTTCTTCTCCGACTACGCGCTTACGTCGTAGCTCTAATACTTTCCTAAGAGAATTATTAGTAACCTCGCCTATTAAATTACTTACTATAATATAGAACTTAGTTAGGTCCTACTTAAGCAAAGATTTGTCTTTCTATTATTCGCCTCTATTATAGCTATACTAGGTATATTAAGTCGTTCGATAAAGTATCTAGAACTAGAGTCTCGTCTCTTCTATTCTACGCTAGAGGCTATCGTAACTAGGTAGCTATAGCCTTAGCCGGCTACTCCTATATACGTTACTACTAGTACCTTCTCGATAAAAGTAAATCTATCGCTATCTATTACGATTAGCGTCTTAACCGGTTTAGCTAAGCTTAGTTTAGGAACTAGAGACTACCCTAGCGACGATAAGGGCCTAAATAGCTAGACTTAGCAGGTTAAACTGCTACCGACTTTAATAGCTAATCCCGTAGCGACCTAGAAGATAGTATACGAATCGCGTAGGTTTTTAAAAATTTTATAGCCGCCTAGAGATATAGCCTACGAATTTTTTTGCCGCCTAGATAATATAGTTATAAGAATAATTAAGTTAGGATTAGGACTTGCTACTAATAAGTAATAAAGCAAGTAGACGGAACGGAAAGAGTGCCCTATTCTCCTATTCGATATAAAGAATCGAGTTAAATTTAAAAACTTACTAAGATTAGGCTTCTCTTATAGTAGCTATAGGCGTGTATCTTTAGTATTCTTTCCGATACTCTCTAAGTCGATAGATAAGATCTCGATATAATATCTAGAGTTTATTTTCGATTATCTAGAGGTCGATATCGCGGATAGGTTAATATAAAAGACTAAGGCGCTTAGACGCTAAATCGTAGTCTACGAAGGGATACGAACGTTAAACTAGGAGCTATACGTACTATATAAAGGCGAGTGCCCTTATCGATTTACTACGAGAGAGCTACGTAGATCGGTAGTATATATCTTACCTTTTAGAACGAGACCGTAACCTAGATCGAACCCTTATGTTTTTAAGTCGTAGCGTTTAAATATATTTAACTAGTCTAGGAACGGTAACTACTATTATATCTCTAACTTTATATTTGCTCTCTATAGTATAGGTACCGCTATAGTCCTATTTTACCTACGTACTATAATATCGATTTCGGAGACTATAGGCCTTACGTATATAAAAGACAAGTTACTATTCTAGAGTCGGCGCTTGCTTATTATAATAATTTAGTAATAGAGGAATCGAAGCGCGACGGAAATATATAGAGCTACCTATTAGTTATTATTACTATTACTACTACTAGTAAGCGAAATCCCCTAAACGATTCGTTCGAATTTAGTACTCTTTACGTTCGATATATATATCTCCCGTTTTACGAAACTCGTTATTCTAGATATTATCTTCGTACTAGGTATAAATTTAAGAGTTATCCTAGTTCGAAAGCTCGCTCTCTAACTACCGATTCTCTACGAGTACTTACTACTTAAGTAGATATAAAAAGTATATAATAGTCGAACTCCTTCGTAACCTAATCGCTATAGTAGAGCTTAGGAATAGCGATTTAATAAGTCGTCGGTCCTAGAGAATAGCGCTTGCGAGAACTCTAGGGCAGTCGAACTATAGCTTTAACGTATTGTATATAGATTGCTTTAAGCGACCTTTTTAGGAACGCTACTACTCTAGTTACTCGGCTCTCCTTTACTCCTACGTTAGTTCTAGACCTTGTTATCTTACTTCGTATATATCGTTACTACTAATATAGACTAGTAGATAATTATTATAGATATTAGTTATACTAGAAATCTTTACCCGAGGATTTACTAACCTTAATATTATTAACCGCTATACGCTTACGCGTACTATACCTACCCGCTTTCGAGAGCTCTTAGCTAAGTTAGCGGCTTTGCCGCCGTCCGCCTCTATATCTGCCTACTATATCTACTCCCCCTCTTCTAGCCTTAATATATCCCTAACGCGATTACTTACCGCCGCGAATAAAGTCTTGTCTATTACGTAAGACTAGTTAGAATACCTGCTGTTCGTATAGTAATTAGCGCGTAATCCTTTCCCTATTCTTATTACCGTAGTATATCTACATCTTTTATATCTATTATCTTCGGTTCTATTATATTCTATTATCTCGGTAGCACTTGTACCGTTACTTCCCCGTACCGAAGCAAACGGATTAGCAGACTCCGTCGGCTTCTAATCTATTACTTAGAAACTACTCTATAGTATAGGTAGTCTAATATCGTTTTTCTTAGGTAGGGCCTCCGCCTCTACTAACTTATCTATCGTATTGTCGCCGGCTTTAAGTTGTTTACTTAATTGTTGCCCGGTAGACGCTTTAGGACCTATCGATTATATTAGTATATAAGAGAAATACGGCGCTCGTAGACTACTCTTACTATAGCGCTCGATCGATTCGCCTTTATCGTCGGAATCTAAAACGACGTCGATTGCTATAAGTATATCGAGGTCGTTACGTACGCTCTCGAAGTTATTTATTAATAATTTAGGGGTATCCTATACTCTACCTATATACCGTACGTATATCTTCTACGCTTTCGATAACCGAAGGTTACGAGTAGCTTAATCCGTCGCATTCTACGTAGTTATCCGATCTAGGAACGGCTAGTATATTAACTTATAATCTAAGGCTAGCTAGATCGCTTTACCTCTAACTTTAGTTAAATGCGACTCTATCGACTATCTAGTTAGTACTCTACTAAGTACCGTAGCGGTAGACAATATTATAAAAGGGGTAACTTTATAGTAGTACTATTTAATATATGTCTTCTAGCCTCGCCGATCCTACTAGAGTAGTATATCCGCTAGACATTTATATATAAGCTTACTAAGGTAGCGCGTAGTATATATCGACCGTTAGCTATTATCTAGTAACTATACTATTTTAGAGAGGGTCTTACTAGTTTCTCGTCGTAGTACTCGAAGATTTAGTTATCGAGTATCCTCTTAGCGTATACTATCCTTTTTAGAGTATCGGTTATTGCAATCGGTGCTTAGTTTATTAATGTCGATCGGATATAGGTATTAATATAGCCTCGCTCCTTTCGTATAGCCGCTTCTCGCAACTATTCTAATATTAGTCTCGATACTATTATATTAGGATCTCTACCGACTACTTAGATTACGTCTCTCGACGGTATATAGCTACCCGGCTATAGTACTATTGTACGTAAAGCTAGTAATCGATCGTAGTTTTTACTATATACCTCCTTAATTGTTTCGTCTACCTATACTAGGGTTTAAGTAGTAGGAAACATCGTCTTATATCCTCTAGCCCTAGTTAACGTAATAGCGAATAGTTTACGACGCGTCTCGTTATATATAATTTGCTCCCTTACTTCGAGTAAGTCCTTCTTTCGATTTAAACGTTCTTTACTAGAAGTTATTAAGCCTTTATCTCGTTTCTTACGTCGTTTTAATACCTTTATATCGTCGCTCCGATCCGCCCTATTGTCTCTCTACTTCCGTTTTAGCCTTACTAGATCTTTACTATTCCTACCCTTATACTAGTTACGTTAGTCCTCTATCGTCGTGCTCTAGTATACGTTACCTTTATAAATTTCGATCTAATACTAGTCGCTATATATAAACAAGTCTCCTCCCTATTTTCTTCTTCGAATCTAGTATCCCTATCTAACTCTATCGAGTTAGATAACGATTAAGTTCTATATTTATCTTCTTCGTAGTTGCGACCTATCCTAAGTATACTATAATAAATAGTAGTATTATTGCGAATCTAACGTAGTATATATTAGACTATACGCGTCTTCGTACTTATTTACTCTATAAAAAGGGGAGTATTAAATTACGGTTTTATTCTCTACTCTAGTATAGACTGCCCGAGTCGCCGTCTATAATCGCTTATTAGTCCTATCGGATATACCCTACTAACGCTAAAGCATAATCGTAGCCTATAGACTATTCGCTATTTTTGTACCTTATCGACGCTAGCCTGATTCGGTCGCGAGTCGGATTCGGGAACTATTAATCTAGCGCTATTATTAGTCTAGCGGTAATTATTACAGTCTAGGCCGACGGTATATAGTAACACTATCGACATTGTACTAAAGCAATCGGCGTATTTA